CCCCCCCCCCCCCCCTACTATTATTGGCCATGAGCATCACCTCATCCTTACCCTGAAAAATGATCTCATTTTTTAAAATAATTTTATGTTATCATCGTGATTGTAGACGCACTTTTGTGGGCTGTGAAATGGAATGGCATCGGAAGAAGCAATAATCGCGCTCATGACTACGCGCAATCATGGAAAGGGATCGGGATCTCCCAGACAGAAAAAAAAGCGTTGATCTCAAAAATTTATTGTCAACCAGCCAGTGAGGTTTATGCGGGTTTACTGTCTCGGCCAAACCCAAAAGCCAGCGCTTATGGAACGTGTATGGTTGGGGTCGTCAAAGGAATGCCTACATTTTGGGTTAACGGAATGTACGGTGCTGTTGGACACTCTGGCTATCCAAAAAATCCTGTTAGTAAAGATGGAACAGGGCATTTACGAAACTGCTACAACGAACACAAATTGACTGGTCTTTGCTTTTATTCGAATGTGGCAGAACGAGCGAAGCAAACTCTTCTCTACGCCATTGAAAACGATGTTTGTACTGATTATCCCAATCTCTAATTCAACTTCAGAATAGCTTCTCAAGTAAGTATTATGAACTCTGAGTTTCACGCATGTGATGCTGGTTATGCGTTAGAAAAAAAATTTTTTTACAGGGTGTGTGGGTGTGGGGTCTTAATGTGGTGTAAACGTGAACACCCACACCCAAACTAATTTTCTTCTCTTTGTTCTCTCAATTTTGGGACCATACTAAATCTTAATTATTCAGATAATGCTTCTAAAACTATCCACATAATCAAAATTTTTAACCAGATGCGTCAGTAAGTTCAAAATGTCATTCTCAGGCCAAACATAATATCATAAAAAACGAGCCGCAATGAAAATCTTTTATCTTTTCCGATCGTGTTTGTAATGAGTGGACAAAAAAGAAGGATCCTTGCCTGTAGTTTTTCCTATAACTATTTTCTATTTCAATTTTTAGGATTAATTTCAAGTTTCACTGTTTTCATCTTAACGATTCACGGTCCCAAACCATACAATGAAGTACTGCATGCCAGTTGCACGCTTTTTATGTTCAAAAATTTGAAATCAAAGCAATTTTCAATAAATATTTTCTTTAGTTTCCTTTGATAATGCTTTATTCAAATCTGTAAAATCAAGTCAAGAGCTATTAATTATAAATAGACGTGGGATTCATTGAGCTAATACCATTCAGCACTTGACCTATCATCAATGAGAATGAGGATAGTAATAGATTGCAACTACGACACGTCTCATTCTTGATAAAAGATCGCATGAAGTAGTTTTTACATAACGAAACTATCTCAAAACTTTATCGAATCCCGAGTGAAAACCCATTGGACCTAATTAACTAAATATTAATTTAAAAGAATATCAGAACTCATGTTGGTTGTTTTGTTCTGCGTATATGTTGGAAAATTGACGGAGTCCAGCATAAAACACTAAAAATGCCACTGTATTCGCCGTGAACACTAAGATAAGAAAGGCTAATCAACGATTCCTGTATCAGAAACTAGTCGGAAAATCGTGAAGCGTCATTGTTTCAGAAGCCAGTACAAATATGTAGCAATATCAATATACCTTGCCATAAATACATGCATATTCACAGATATTTATATAACTTACGTCTTAATTGTTTAATTGTGATTTGTTCGGTGCAGACGTGGGCAAGTCAGGTTTTTTTGTACCCAAGTCAAATCAAGTCATCTGTACATGATACTTGAGTCAAGTCAAGTCAAGTCAAGTCACACCTAAAAAAGAGAAGCGCTCAAGTCAAGTCAAGCCAAGTCAAGTCCCAACGATGGCCGAGTCAGTCACAAGTGAAGTCACAAGTCAGTCTTTAGCAAGTCAAGTCTTTTGACAAGTCATGTCATGAGATTGATATTTCTTTAAAATTTTATAATTTAATCCTGTATCAATGTATTCAACAAAAATTTTAAATTAGTCCTTGATTACATTTTAGCATTGTTAACATTTCTAATGTCTTTCTTGACATTTTCGATTTATGTTGTCGCAATATGAAGCTACTTTGAGAGAAAAACCTTTCTGTAGATGATGATGTTGTGAAATGTTTCATTTCTTATTGCATATTGACTATGCATATTCGCTATCATGAGAAATGAGCAATTTTCCGTCGCGTATGGATGACACAACCACTCAGTCAGGCAAACGTTAAAAATAACGACGTTTTTACTCGTTAAAAGCGCACATTTTGGTGCCTTTAAACGACTTGTATGGTAGAAACGCGTTTTAACAACCTGAAATGTGCTTTTATCGCATTAAAACGGCGTTATTTTCAAGGATTACCTGACTTAACAGTAACACTTTCTAGTAGAGCAAAAAAAATAACGTTAGGGTGTATGAATTTAACATCCATCATAGCTGCAGAAATATTTCTGACTTGACTCATGTTTTTTCGCAATTCACAAGTCAAGTCAAGTTGAAAAATTTTCGATGCAAGTCAAGTCATGCCCAGTCACAAGTCCCTGATAAAAAAGACTGTCCAAGTCAAAGTCAAGTCTTCGAGTCATTGAAAAATTGTTCAAGTCAAGTTAAAGCCAGTCAAAAATGACTTGACTTGACTCGCCCATCTCTGGCTCGGTGACTCAACTGATACGACCCTTAAGATTCTATATAGATAATTGCGTTTTGAAAAAAAAACACTTTTCAGCGAAATTAGATTGGATTCTTCGTAATCAAAAACAATTTATGAATTTTACTGCGAAGTTTCAGCCACCTAGGATGATTGATATGGACAGATAACATTTGAGAGTCTAAACAGATATGAAGAAACTAGCGTCTGTTAATATCGCATCTCGCTCCATTTTGGGTGAATTTATTTTATTCGATAGACTGCTAGTTACCATGACGACCGTTTCACCTTTGCTTAAGGAACTTTGCCAGATGTCTTGAAAGTTTTGAATTATAGTAAGTAACGAGAAGAAGTGATTCATAAGAAGATTGAGTGCTTTACTAATCTTGTCAATACTGGTTTGTTCATCTATTTTCATCGAAATGACATCAATTAAAAAACACATTAACCTATCTACTAACGAAAAGAGAAATCAATCTACTAGTCTTAACGCTTGCGTTTCAGCAAACGATCAAAGTCACAAATGAAATAATGCGATATATAGCTAACTGTGCTGAAGATAAAATAATTAAATGAAGAGTTTAGTTTCGGGTGTGAGAGTGCCTATGAACATGCATAAAATCCGTTAAGCATACACCTCCACCCCTCAAGTGTTTTAAATAGTCAGCGATGAAAAATATTTTGTTCACAATGTACTCAATCAGATCGTAGTTATAGTATTTTATTGAAGACTTCAATGTAATTCGATGAGCAAAACCAACTGTCCAAATTGTTTCATCACTGTGGCATCTACATATAATTTTAATAGCAGTCAAAGTATTTCTAAATTAATAAATTACATGTTCACGTATATTTTTCTTCAATTATATATTTCCAATAAGCTGTATAGTTATGCAAGCGAGTATATACAAACAGTAGATCCTTAAGCATGATCAAAGTAATGTTCAAATCTCACAATTTTTGCACTTTTGAATGTTTATATCGACGAGTAGAAGAATTAGAAGTACAAAAATTTTACTTTTGTCGACTATGAGCAACTATATTTAATGAATAATATAAGAACAGAAGTGCAAAAATTAAATTCTGATAATACTACATGCACTATCAATAATTTTGTTGGTTTGAAAAAACAGATTTTTATGATTCATTGTACATTTGAAAACAATCCGCTCATTTATCACAGCGATCGATTCATTCTAGTTACAAAATACATCAACAGACAAGATTATTTTCTACTATTGATGAGTCAATGTATTAGAACCACGATAATAGATAATGCAAACGGTCGATTTTTTTATATCAGTGATTGTTTGTACGGGGGGACTATGACTGTAAATTGAAATAGATTAAAAAAATCTCTTTAAGAATCGTACAGAATGATTGTTTGCCGCATTGTTTACATGAGCGTCCAGCCAAATCAATAAGAACAGAGAACGTTCTTTGTACAACGTGATTCTTTTTTTTTGCTTCGATTATAACGACGTAAAGAATGTGCTATTCCTTTTTGTTCTCATTCTATTCGTCACGTATCAATACACAATACAATCATTGCATATCATAAGGCACGCACATTTTGGATAAGGCTATATCTACTAATATTCTTTTTTTAACAGAATAAAATCAGAATCTAAAAGTTACTGCGGTTGCCGAGAAGATATTTATACGTTGCAATTTCTTTTCACTTTACAAAAACTACACATTTTTTTTTTGTTATTATTGTTTTCTTTGAGTAAGACATGCAGAAACCTATTTTTTTCTTTAGAAAATAGCTTCAACAAAATGATTTACGTATAAATTGACCACACACTACTTCATCATTTATTTAAACTTTCAATAAAACAAAAAAAGAAGAGTAAGACGAGAAACTTCTTAAGTGTAACAAAACATTTAAGTTTAAATGCTATGAATTTTTCTAAGGTACCTATAGATTAATAGCTTTCCAAAAATAAACTATTGAACGAGGGAGAAAATGTATGCTTAAAGATCGATACCAACGTAGTTTTCATGACCAAAAAATGCGAGAATGTGAAGTTTAAAACTTGTGTAAGTAATCGTTCTATTACTTTGATTTTGAAAATAACCATTTTTAAGATGGAAGCGGACACATGCTCGCCTTTTCGAAAATGTAAGAATTTTGAATATTCAGTAATTTAGATGCACTATTGTTGATTTCAACAATTGTCAAACGCAATGGATAAGCTCTATAAGAAATTTAAATCTTATCAATCGTTCCTATCGTCGAAAGCTGGTGACGAAGAAAACAATATTCTATCAACTTCCGAAACGTCGTTACCGATCACTCAAAACAAATGGACAAAACGTCGTATTCGAAACTGGGCATCTCATGGTCTTACAATCCTTAGTTTAATTTTTCTTATTCCGGGTCTTGTATGTCCTATGCTTATTGTTCATATCTATCTCAATGTTCCTGGAACACGAATTCTTTTGGAAACTCAAAAGCGAGGCGTTATAACGACCGTTTCATATCTATTCAAGCGTGGTGGTTATTTTCCAGGTACTTTAGTCGTGATATTTTCGATACTAATTCCATTTACCAAAGCTTTCTTGTTGCTTCTGATGAAGTAAGTCTTTGGAAAATTAGGAAACTCTTGTCTGATTGTGTTTGTCTTTTGCTTTTAGCTTTGTGCATAATCGTAAATACAATTACTTTGTTTATACGCTTATTCGTGATTGGGGAAAATGGAGTATGACAGATGTATTTGTCACGGTGATATTTCTCTCTTTCTTCGCTTCACTTTTGGTCGCAGACATCGATGCAACCATATTGCCGGGATTCTATTTTTTCTTAACATACTGCATCATATCATTAGCAGCAACACAAACTATGTGCCCGCCACCCCGTCCAAGCGAGATGCTTGAAGAAGAAATAAAGAAACCTGTTGATCGAAGACCTCTAATTTCTTCTAATACACTTACTGACGACAAAGGTGTCAAAGAGATCGAACAAACTGCAATATCACCGCCCCGGAAAGATTGAATCCATAATGAAAGTTCCTGAGTGACATGTATTAACGAGTGGTGTCGGAAATTTCAAAGAAAAAATTTTCAAATATATATTTTTCGGTTCGTGAATATCTAGTTAAAAGATTGAAATGGTTTTTACTTGAGACATCACTGTGAATATTTGGTCAGTAGATGCGAGATATCCTCATATTCACACTGTGAAAGAATATAGGAGCACGATAAATCGTTGAAAATCTTTCGACTAAAGATATTTTTGTTTGAGTCGATAGGAAATAAAAATTGGGAGCTTTTAATCGGATCTAACGAATCTTAATTTCAATACAACTTAGTGAAGTATGTGTGCTGTGGCATTCATCTCTTTTTTCGAAAGTAAAAAAATTCGTGGCAACTGTATATTAGTGACAAAGCTTAGTTCATTTACGATTGATGACATATTTTGCACCAATAGTAATTTAAAAGAAATGACTACTACGAACGAACTTTTTGTCTAGTCATATAACTGAAGTAAAAGAACACGATTTTTATTAACAAGAAATACGATTACCGAACAATGTCCGTTTCTACACCTCAAACGTTACTGCTCGTATTATTCAAATCTACGGAAACTCCTATCAACCCAATAGTACAATCCGTATTGTCATCTTTCGGTAAAATTAATATTTATGAGTCTATTGTTCCAAACAGTAATCAAGGTTGGACACATGCTTGTATTTGTTTGATTGATGATGAACAAACATTGAGAAATATTGATTCTAGCAGCATCATCGAGAGCATCAAGAAGGATGGTCATGTAGAAAATGTTCTTCTAGCACCACTTTTGTTCTCAATTGAATGCGTCAAAGATAGGTCGAATGATCCGAACAATGATATCATGTTTTTAATTGGATTTAGTTTACCAAAAGAGAGAAAGGAGGATTTTCCACAGGATTGGTTTAAAGCAACACCGTACATGTCTGGATGTAAGTTGGATTCATAAAGAACGGGGAAACAATAGAACTACATATTTTATTTATTTTAGGTGAAGGCTTTAAACGTGGAACTGTATACGAAGTAGTCGCGGAAAATCCAGTTTTTCCATTCTTTAACATAGCAACATGGGCAACTCTTGATTCTTGGAAACAAGCAATAGGAACCGAGGAAAGTAAACGAGTTCATGCGCATCAAGATTATGTTGGTCGCACGCCATTTATTTGCAAACAAATGAATTTTACTTCGACCTGAGTAGAACAAAATGTATTTCATGAAAACATTCTATTTGGCAATATGCTCAACAATCTTTCTTAGATTGTACGCGATTTATAATTAGCTAACCAGCGACTAAGAAAAATAAAATATACATAAAGCAGAGTGAATGTCCGCCCCAAAAATTTTATAAAAAAGAAATGAATCATTAAAATAAAGTATTCTGTTGAAGATTAATTTTTGTTTAGCCAAATCAGTTGATTTTACAACTCTTCATTTCTTCTTTTAGAAGAGGTAGACAAAACGATAAAGTTTGCTTCACGCATGAAAAAATTTCGAATATTTCTTATCTCATGGTATTGAGAACTTCATTCAAAATACAAAAGTCACTCTCCTTTGTGGTATGAGCTCAAAAGCTGCTCTTTATTAAAAAATCGATCGCTATTTCATCAGCGAAAATCTCAAATTATTTTTACACTTTTTTTTATCAATCACTGAACTGCAATATCGTATTTTTTGGACAAGTGATTTGATATCTGGAGGGATTCTCATAGGAATTTTATTTGTCAAGAAATGCGTACATTTAAATTGCTTTGATCTTGAGTTTTTTGGATAGTGCAAGAAACATTTTTTTCTTCACTTAAATTGTGTACGATGAATGATTGTTGGCCATAGCTATGACAGTACTCAACAAATCATTTAAATTCAACAATCGGCTCCTTGACTTTTCTACTCGTTTGATGATAAATATTAAGTCCTTGACTACAAGTTCACAATCGATTGCAATATGTAGATTTAACGTGAACCTTGTAGTGATGGTTTCACCCTTGATGTGAACCATACTCCTTAGAATGACCTTAGACAAAAAATTATTTTAGCATATGGACTCGGTTGTGCAAAATTCTTCTGGAAGTAAAGCCATGCAGTTTATTGTTTGATTTTCTTAATATATAACTATATCTATAAGCAATAGTATTCAAACTACAGTCACATGAGATGTAATGGACTCTCATCATGAAATAGAAAAATAAGATTTAAATTATATCGCGAATACACTTGAGAAAATATTTCAGCTTACACGAAATTAATCGCTCTGAAATAATTCTATTTCTTTAGAAAATCTTCTCAAAATACATTTTTTCAGATCTGATCTAAACACAATATTAATGTATATACAAGATAATTTTACTAAAAAAAAATGGTTTCATTCTAAAATAAATATCAATGGTTGTTATATTTCGGTTGAATGATTTTCTCGTATGTGTTATCTCTTAGCTCGTATACTATGCACTTTATCATTCATTCATCTGTCAAAAATTCGTTCAATTAACTATCGGAATTATATAACTGAAATTCAAGTTTTCTGTTCTACATGAATAAGCATACTATTGCATAAGAGGTTTTTTCTTCTAACTAGCATCCTTGAACACAGATGGCGTTTCATTCAATAGTGATTTATCTTTCTCTACAATTTGGTAATTTCACTATGGCCAATGTGTGTCTTATGCAGGAATCGAGATTTTAGAAGGTTGCTTTCTATGTATAATAGAAGAATATTTTAATCATGTTCGACTTGCACCAGTGCGCTTTCGATTTATACACAAAGGTCGACGTGTAAGAGAGAGAGATAGAGAGAGAGGTGAATAGACCTGCTTGGGTGACTATAAATACCCGTCACTCCGCTGTTTCATATACACAAATTCATATTCTCTCCACATTCAGTTCAATTCTCCATAAGATTCAACTATCAACAATGTACGGCGCATATAATCAATTCGGTAGGAATAAAATAAAATATTATTATTGCAATTCTTTATAAAAATATTCATTTTAGGAAATCAAAATGGTTTCGGAGGTTATACCTCAAATCTCACCGGTGCAGGAACCTTCGGCACTGGCTTCGGAGGTACAACAGGCTACTCAAACTTCGCTACTCCAAACTACTTTAACTTTGCTACACCTCGTTATGATGGTTATGCTGCTCCCACTTATGGAACTGGTTATGATGCTCTTGGTGCTTACGGACGTTTCTTCAGTTCACCATATGGTTACGGTACTCGTTAAGTTGGCTTGAGAGACCTGGTCTCTACTTTGATGAATTTTAAACAAATTTACTATTATAGTTACAAAACCTGTTATTATAGTATCTTTTTTAAGAATCTTCTACGGTTTAACCTTTAAGATAAATAAATTTCTTCACTGAAAACTTCGTGATTTTTCTTCCGATACATTCAAAAAAACTCGATAGAAAAATCTTCTATACGATGTAAAACTATATAATACTAAATGTTAACGTTGAAAAAAACAACGCATTGTGGTGCCTGAAATGAGCTATTCGAACCGGCAAACGACAAGATTTTACTATTGACGTTGCGTCTCTTCTAGTATCCATCAATTTCAAAGTTCATTGGTGTTGTTCAATCGAAAAATACTTTTCAATCAATCAATCTAATTTTTCTTTATGAAAATATCATTCATGTGGATTTATTCAATTCTCGACGTACGATCAATACATTGACATATTTTTTGTTATATTTTAAATTATTAGAAAAAATTCATTCGTCTCTCATATCATTGTATAACAATCGATTGAAGAATTCATCGATAATCAAAACTGCGAAGTGAAAAAGTAAATAAATTTCGTTGTGGACTTAGCTATAATAAGCCAATAGAAAACATATAAATGTGTTTTCGAATTTTTCGGGTAAAGTTTTTTTATTTTAGAGTAAAAGAAAAGCTTTTCTTCCGAATGTGACTAGGACGAACCTGTCGAATTTTTTTCACCTCAGATGTATGTGTTCCGATAGAGTTGTTAAAAAAAAAAGATATCTATTTTCTGAATGGTTTCGATTGAATTCGTAAAAAAAAATATTCGATCGGATTCAGTAAGAAGGATGTGGCTGTTTACGTTAAAGAAACATAAATATTCAAGTACATACAACCACGTCCTGTGATCTCCTGATAACGGAAAAATAAATATAGTTGCAAAAATACAATTAGAGTTCAGCTATGTTCTCCAACAAAGTGTGGAATACGTCATCGGTATCGCCATAGCAGAGTTCATGAATTTGAGCAGTTGTATGTTCACCTAATGCATAAAGAGTCATCTGTGTTAAGGATGATTGAAATTGATCTTTCACTCCTTGTTTGACTTTTTCGGCGTCGAAATTTTGATCAAGATCAAGTTGCCGCATCAACCATTGTCGTACATCGGCCAGTCGTTCTATTTCTTTTCCGTCGGGTTCTTCGTATTTTTCTAAGAAAAACTGATGACTATTTTCTGTTTTACATTCAAGTTCACCGGCAAAATAGCGTTCGAGTAAATTGGTCAATTGCTGAACATTGTGAAACGTATGAAAATACTTTTGTCGATCGTCTTTAACATTATGTTTTTCTGCTACTTCGTAAACTAAAATATGTTTATGATCGTTGAAATAAAGTGCTTCAAATGGAATCGACGAATCGGAATCGCAAATAAGCACTCGAGCACGTTCGATTAATTTCAATGTATTCGTTTGCGAATTCGGTAAAATACTTTTCGATGTATGAAAACGATCGATGTGTTCCTGTTCCAATTTGCTTAGTGATAGCATTGGATTGTCCTCGTTTCTGTTTTGGAACGTAAGCGGATGCAGTTTAATGGCATGTGGAAATGTGAAAGCAACGATTTTCTCGACAATTTCTTTGTTGGATAGAAGACTATATGGAGCAGATTCAGATGAAAAACTCGGACAGATGATAATATCAGCACTTCTATCGACGTTAATAGACGATAGACATTTTGTACGCATATAATTCGTGAACGTAATCGGTAGTCGATGTGAATGTGCATGAGAACAACTTTGACATCCATACATGCAGTGTCCGGTGGAATAAACATCGATAATTGAAGGTGCATTTTTTTGTATAGCACAAAAGAAACGAAATTGTAATTGCCCGAGCGAGTAGTTCATTGAAGCAGTGAGTAGAACAACAACTCGATGTTGTTGTTGCTGTTGTTTGACTAATTCTGCAAGAATAGTATCGATACCAAATTCATGAACTTTAACATTAGTTGACCGTGAAAAGTAGTCTCGGACAATTTGTTGAGCAGGATTCCATTTATAAACGAAGAGATGAACGTCGGCAAACGAAGCAAACGAATGAATCAATTCGACATGAGCATAACCTGTATGGTAGGGTACGAAAAATATCAAATTATTCGGCATTTATGTTAAAACACCGTGTTATACAAATGAATATATTAAAATAATATTTATTCATAATTCAATTGCGGATTTACAAGTTGATGTAAGTGACTCACTTCATCATTTCTTCAACGGACCCACCTATGCACTTGCTCAGTTTACTTTTTTAGACTTGAGCTAAAAGAAAAAATAAGTATGTAGAAAGGTTGTGTATGGCTAACTACATCGAAATAGGTGAAAAGTGTTTTTACAAACTATATGACAGAGATGAAACTTACATCAGATTCTCGCATTATCCAACATTTAGAAAAAAAACCAAGGGTTTTCATACTATGACATGTGTGCATCAATCGTAATTAGTTGGCTTCGAGCACCATCTATCAATTTTTTCTAAAAAATGAATATCAACATATTTATAAGAAATGATTACTATTCGTCTATGATTCTATTCTAAAAGAGAACTATTCACACAGAATCTTTAGAAATAGCCAGTAGCAGCTAACAAAGTGCATTCGTTTTTATTTAATCGTAAGTAACTACATTTAAATGATTATTTTATCGATTGTCGAGACTGCCGACATGAATCAAAATATTTCAGACAGACGGTGTCGACAACGAATAAACTTAATTTGAATGCAGTTTATTACAACCGCTCGCTTCATTTCATCATCTACCAGTCGTTCGTGCACTTAATTGATCTTTTTAGTCATGTTTACCAGCTTCTTCTTTAGATCATGCACACTCTATTTACATTGGCTTTTTTAGAAAAATGAACAGATGACGCTCTATGCTGATTGTCTTTATTCATGTCGATGTTCAAACGATTGATCCCAACCGTCAACACATTTTAATTATCGTGCTGAATGCGATTTTAGATATATTTGCGCTAGATAATTATTCAGTGGTATATAGAAACCACCAGAATACGAGACATCGATTAAGTCAAGTTTTTGAATTCGTCTAGGAATTGCTTCCGGTTTTCAATTCGTGTTCTAAGCAAAAATGGCTGAACTCTTTTCAGTGATACTGTCAGATTCACTACAAGGTGTAGATTCGCTTTATGTGAATCTCTCCGTCAGAAAATTCATACCCCCTAAATGTTGTTTGACGACTCACACGTTTTGTCTACTAATTGTGTCTTACCGATTCACTTTCTTAACGTGACACGTAAGTTTTCGCACGTGGTATGCATGACTCTTGAAGGTTTAATCATTCGTTATATTTTTAAGTTACAATGAGAATAATATTGTTTCTGGTTGAGTAAATTCTCCAGTTTCTTTAGGTTTGTGTCATGTTTTGGGTTTCAGTCGTTGATGTTTGTTTAATTTTCTTGTTATAAATCTATGTTTTAAGTTCCTTTGTATTGAATAGTCATTCTCTAATTTTTCTATGTTTGGTTGGTATTTCCGAAGTTGTTTTTAATTTTTGTACTGGATAATCAGATGATCTGTAGATTAATAATTAACTTTCGACAATCAGCTATTTTGGTTCATTACGTACGGAATTAGGCAATGTTCCCAATTCATTTTCTGATAAATGAGTGATGTCGATAGCCCTCTTTCGCAATAAAATATAGAATATCTTCACTTATCCAACACCAACTTCGATTTTATTCTAGAACTTGACCGATGGTTTAACCAACACAAATAAAGAGCATATTGTTAACAAAGTTCAACTTAGAAGACGCTTGAATTTTTATTTCAACCGCCTATATACTAGAACCGAATCCGTCGAAAATTTGTTCTTCCTACGAATCATTTCTTTATATGACATTTATGTTTTCTGTGACGCCTATTCATAGGCTCATTCTTCTATTTCATCATTGCCTATTTAGTTTATATCAGCATTAAGCTACTATTAAAGCCATTGGACATCATTACCAAGATTTAGATCCACACTTTTTTTTACATATGTACAAAAATTAAAAAGGCGCATAATTCGCTTGTAGTTTCTTATCATAGAACGATATTACAGTTATTCACTATAGACTCCAACCAACCCATAATTTCCATGCACAACATCTTGTGCTGTCATCGATTTCGCGTTTTATTCAAAGAAACAAATTTTGCTAACGTTGGAATCACTACTTATTATAGTAACTTAATATACACACCTTTCATTTTGGTTTAATTACTCTAACTTTCAGTGTAGTCTATTATATTTTAAATCAAACCAAGTACTTCATTAATTCTAATCAAAAGAGAATGAAAAGATAATATGAGTATTAAGCAAAATGCATATCATTCTTAATAGTTGGTTCTGTAGTCATGACTCGTGGCAGAACATGAAAATAAATCTATCGTGGCGATTTATAGTCTAGAGCGTATTAGAAAATAGCAAAAATTTACATTCGAGACGAAAGACGTTCAAAATACTTTGCATTACGTGAAAGCCTGAAGCAACAATGAATTCATTTGTCTGCATTGGGACTCCGCAGCTGTATCGGTGAACATGAGCGTAAATCTCTCTCGATACTATCAGGAAAAAAAAGAAATGGTAATCTATAATACAATCATACTAAATTAATTTGACTTGCATTTCAAGTTTAAACACTATCTGCATCTCTTAGCCAAGCTCGACGAAGCCTCACATGGGTTCCAATAGTTATCATAATCATGTTGTTTTAAATTGATATAGTCGAATAGGATAATATTGATCAAATAGATACTATACAAAATTGTACATGACAGAGAATACGTAGTAGTAACATGTACATAAAGTTTGTTGGGGCGATATTAAGTTAGATAAACAAGTTTAAATGCAACATCTATTGATACATTTTGGTTTTTTGATAACAAGTATCATATGATGAACAGGTAGAAAATACGTCAATTCCTTCATCATGGCCATTCTATTTGTAAAGCAAGTTTAAAAGTTAATTTTATTTTAGATTGATAAATTCAATTTTTTACTAGACTGATATCTAATTATATATGATACTCATGTATTTTATGAAAAGCTCTTCGTCATCATAATACACTAAATGTAATCGTAGATAAAACTATCCATGCTTGTTGAGTAATTGCGCCATACAAAATACCTTGCGTAAGAAAACTTTGGTGTTTATATGCGATGTTATTTCGAAATGTGATTACTCAACTTCAATTTGATTTCACATTAACATACTGTTTTATTCTAACAATCTACGGAGGTACGAAAGTGATGGTTTATCATAAAATGCTATCAACCTAACTTCACCATGACTCACTCACGACCTCTCTGAGGTCCGAAAGTGATGGTTTACCAGAACAACGACAACAACCTACCTAACTTCACCATCACTCCATCATGACCTCCTTTTTTTAGTGAAAATAAAAAGATGAACAAATTCATATATTATTGAAGATAGCAATTCATATAGCTGCTGTAGAACTTTGTACTTTTTTTCAGATTATATGTGGTAGAAATGATACAAGTAACTTCAATAATGAGTAATATGAATGAGAAGATGATGTAATTGCTACTAATGCTATTGAATATTGTTTTTTATGTATTAAAGATAAGACACTTTCAATGAAAAATGGAGTAGAAAGTGGTTTATAGATTTTATTGATCAGTATGGTATTGCGAAAAGTGCGTTTTTCGAAGGCAGCTACGTCTATAAATAACTAGCAATAGTAAATCTTCAGATTTGTCTTTTCTATAGCATGTTCAAACAAAAGTCAAATTCCTTTATTTACAGTAGACATCTATTCGTAAGCTTCGAACTCAAAATGAATATGCCTAAATTCAAATGCAAAAAATAGTTTAAGTAGAAAAAAAAATCATGTAGATCTGTAGAATTATTTGTGGATCAAAATTAAAAACTAGCTATTCAGAGAAAAAGAACTATAAAGCAATTCGTTTGTTCTAGAGTTCATTTGTTTATTAAGAACAGAGCACAACTTATAACGAAAAACAAAAATGAATTATGAATTTGAAATAAAGACGAGGAAGTCGATACAGTCGTTGGAGCCAACGAAGTCGATACACTCGTTGGAGTCAAGGAAGTCGATTCAGTCGTTGAAGTCAAGGTAGTCGAAGAGAAATCGCAACGATCAGATATCCAATGGCAGTGTTGCAATCTGATACATTCTTCTCTAGTCGTATAAGCATGACAATTATCACTATCAACATATTTCAAAATGATTGGGCACTGTTTGATTAAGCGTTCGCCAAAAGTAGATTGACTTTGCATGCTATCATCATTGCTGATATTGAATACAATTACAGTTTGATTCACTGTATATGATGACCAAGGTTGTTCTTTCAAATGAAATGCATTGAAATAGCGAATGATTTTCATTGACAGATTGAATTCGGCTAATGTAAATTTAGTTAAAGCAAAATCATTGTCAAATACGTAGGGTATTTCGGTCAAATGAGAAGCATTGAAATGGAACGGTGTAAAAGCCCAATTTTCAGTAGCATGTACAAAAAAGTAGGCATAAATGGAAGATGACCAAACTGAAAGATAATCGAAAAGAAACAACGTAGGACAATGAATGTAATAGTCGCCGAATAGCCAAGTTAGGGCAGTGAAATAATCTTTATCGGTTGTTGTAGGATCATACAAATCGGTTAGATTATCAGGTATTCTGTACTCAGTAGCAAAAGGACGGTATTGTGATGAATTAATATTCATATTGAATTGATTGAATGTCAGTACGCTAGTCTGACCTTCATTTGAATTTATACCACTTATGATTGGTACGTTCCTATTGAAAATACCTTTTCGAATCAATGTTAATGGTTGATCCTCCAATTGTGAACGTTGACCAACACAAGGCCACAATGTTATCCAGTTGATGGTAAGTGTTTCATAGAATAGAGAGGCGTTCAATTGGCGAAAACAAGTAATATTCGATTCGCATTCGGGAAAAGATGTTTCGAGTAGTTTCAAATTTATCTCTTCTCTTTCTTCACATTTATCATAGATAAAAGGTGCGCCTGATTGTAGAATAGCGGAAGAGTAGAGTGGCCAACTAGACTCTATTAGTAAATGTGCCATAGTAGAACCACCGCCGGCCGATTGACCGAATAGCATGACATTAGTTTTATCGCCACCGAACGATGCAATATTCTCTTGAACCCATTGTAGAGCTAACTGTTGATCCGACCAGCCGAAATTTCTCGATTCAACAGCCGGCAATGGGAAAAATCCGAATATACCAAGACGATAATTGATTGTAACAATAATTGATTGAGAAACATCGGATAAATTTCGAGCGTCATAATCATTACTATCACCTGCAGTGTAACCACCGCCATGCAGCCACAGACTTACTGGCAATAGTGACGCATTTCTCTCACTTGGTACCCATACGTTTAACGAGAGACATTGTTCACTTTCTTCAAACTTGAATGGTGAAGTGAATGGACCAAACTGATGACATATTGGACCGAACGATGTTGCATTTTGTATTCCTGTCCATGGCAAAGGTAGTTTAGCTGGTGTCCACCGCTCTGAAAATTGTCCATAACGAACACCTAAGTAAACATCGACTCCATTCAATGTAAAACCTTCAATGTCTCCACTCGGAGTGTGGGTAGTAACACATCGAACAGCAACAATACACGTAAAAACCAATAACAAAACAAGCAGCTTCATCGTATGCTATAAATGCGCAGAAGAAAAAACCCTTTTTTTTGTTTTAGTTCTGTCGAGTCAATACTTGTCTTAAATATCAAAAATATCTTATCGCCCTCTTTATACTGCTTGCGTGTAATCTTAGTTAAATGACGCAAGAAATAATTCTAACCAGTATTAAAGTTACTCTTACAGGCCAACTATTTTAGAATGCATATCTCTCCTTGAAAAGAATTTGTAGGAAAAAATCGAATTTCGGTAGACACTATTATCAGATTAAAATATCCTTTAAAACGCTACGGTGAGATATTGTTTAAAAATTCGCATACTTACCACAAAACCTTCAAAATAAATATATAAATTAATTGAATTAGCTACTTTTTATATACTAATAGTGTATCTGAAGATCAGCATTTCTCTCTATCGCCCTTAAATATTCGTTCAGATAATTTTAATTTGAAAAAGTCATAGAACAAGAAATGTGAGAACCTATAAATCTTGTACATCCCATTTCGACTCGTCGATCAACTATTGCAGAAGAAGACTTTTTATTAGAATAGTAAGTAAACGTGATTTTGTTTTTGCATTAGTCCTGAATGCGATACATATTCAGATGTTTTATCAGTTGAATGAAACAGTTTTTTATTTAGGAAATATAGTATGAGATGATTCATGTCGATATTCTATAAAGAAAACCGTATAAAAAAAACTAAAATAAAATGATTATTCTTCTTAATTTAGATTTTCCACAAAAACTGATGGGTATTACTAATTTACGCGAACAGCACGAACAACGAACTTTGTGAGATCGCATATAAGTCATCTTTACGAACACCCACAACGTGTAGAGTTATATTCACGAACACCCATTTTCTAGGAGCAATAATGAAAAAAAACTGTCAACAAAGACTAAAAATGAACCCTCTCAACACGAACACCCACAGAACTCCATAAGCTACATTTTGACCAAAGGACATGGTATCCACAAATGAATTCTTATAGGACTTTTGTTCTCAAAATACATTTGATCGGTCGAAATGTGAGCATATACACACAAGAGGTTTCTTTTAGCATGTTAATAATTAGCGCGAAATGTAGGCTTATCAGCACCATTATCAACTTTTTATCTACTTATAGATATACGGTTCAGTTAGTTGCTTAGGTAAGGGGCCCGCAACAGGCGCTCACATTGGAAAGTTGATGTAGAATATTTTGAGAACGGCTGATTGTAATAAGTTGTTCTCGAATTCTAAAGCGTTTTCCGACATGGTCTTCTTATATTCTAGAGAAATTTTTCTGTGAAAGGGTGTGGGTTTGACTGTGACTGTTGGTAACTTTTTCGTCTTTTGAAAACGGCTATATCCAAACCCACACACCCCCAGATTTCATGATTTTATGTACGTTGCAATGATCAATTTTTAGAGGATGTTCACGAGAACCTACCTCAATTTTGAAAGTTTTCACTGCGTGTTCTCTAATAAAAAGCTCATCATTGGAGTTGGAGCTTTTATGACTTTTAAAGTTAGCAATTATCTAAGATATTATATTTTATTCAATAGTCAATTTCTTATTAACATCTATATAATTATATATTTTGCCATAAATATGTACGGTGATCTTTGATTTATTCCAGTTCGTTCAATAATATCGTTACATTTCACATAATCAGCCAAATAATCAAAACCATCAACACAACTAACAAAAGAAATGCCAAAGCTGAAGTCAACGTACTCAACAATATTTCAATGACAATAGACGAAAAACGAGGTAAAGAAGCATTATAAAATTTAAACATATTAAAAACAAACACATACGCAGCAACACCAATAGGTGGTATAGGTAAAAAATATCTTAAACGAGAAGAAATAAAAGAGCGTGTAAAATAAAGTATAATCCCTCCAACCGCGATCAAAACTCCTGCAAACGTGATTGAGAGCGTGTTGATTTTTAAAATTTCTTCATCCATGTTGATATTCGTCCTGTGATGATTAGCTTGAGCTGCTTGTTCCTCTTCTTGGAGATTACTGTCGTGAATTAACGCGGGGCTTTCAGTATCAGAGAGTTGAGAAGAACGAGAATCGACTGGTGTGTGTGGTTGTTGCTGGTTTCCTTCTAGTGTTGTTGAAATGACAGCTACTTCCAATTCGATTTTATCTGCTTGCATTCGAGAGATAGTGTGAGGTTCTCGTGTTGCGGATGTGGATGACTGCTTCAACCTCCGCTATTGTTGTAGGTTAAAAATATAATATCCGGGACGTCAGTCCACCTATCTTGAGAAAACTCGCAATGAAGATATCTACTGTGAACTGGTGACGTGATGATGATGGTGTCGTACTGTTTATTATGATAAACGATGATGAAGGATGATCAGAAAAAAAAACACGAACAGACGAGACAAAGATACTAACGACGAAGGGTTGCCGCTATTGAAGATGAAAGCAACCAGACTGAAGATGGAGAGAGAAAGAGAAAGAGAAAATCGAAAAATGAAAAATGGAAATAAAGAAAATGCACGACAGTGTGGTTAGCGTCACATAGGGACACTAACAGATAACGAGAAGCTGTCATGCAGAAGAGTATGCATAAGTACTGCCGACACTGCACGATGAGAGAATAAAAAATACAGTTGTGCATGCATGTTTGAGAGAGATCATGATCAAATCCACATTCTTAAAGCATCGGATGATAAATTTCGAACAAATGACAAATTCTATTCTGGCTCAGGAAAATTTCATGATCAAGATGAATCAGATTAAATTCAGAAAAAAGAAATTTCTCTTGGGTCCTACAGTTGAGAAGGACATAATGACAAGAAGACATTTACGCTGAAAATCATATTTTGTATTGAAATAAATGTTTTTGTCAGTGTTATTGGTGTGCTTCTTCTTTTTCTTCTTTTGTTTGACGAACAGTTTCTGACTTTATTGCCTCTACTACAAGGAGAGCAAAACGCCGAAATGAGTTCCTTGCGTTCCTAAATCAATTAGAAACAGACCAGCCTATCCTTTGAAGAAATGAATATTTGTAAAAGTAAACTAGCTTTATCTAGGGGTAAGACAGTTGTTGTTGTTTATTGTTTTGTTATTTTAACAATAACATTCATTTTTTGACTAAAAAAAATCAGTGAAATAAATCTAATCATTTTTGTAATTACGAAAATCCAAGAATCACTTTACTCACGCAATATCTTTTCTTACCATTGATATAAGGACCAGTTGTAAATACTTTGAGGAATGGTAAATTAACCTTTTTTGTTATGATTATTGTTATTAGTATCAGCAATAAGCAGGGACGGCGCGAAGCAACAAAAATATAGGGGGTTACTTGAAAACGGGAGGTTTTTTTTTCAAAAATCGGAGTAAGTCAATAAAAATCTCTTCTATTTTCTTCAAAAATCGGAGTAAAATTGAAACAAAAATTTCCAAAGTTGGGCCCCCCCCCCACGTTCGCGCCGTCCCCGGCAATAAGAATAACAAAAGAAGTTACTTTGGTATTTCTCAAAGTATTTACGACTGGTTCTTATATCAATAGTAAGAAAAGATACTGTGTAAATAAAGTGATCCGTTGACGTTCGTACAAAAATGTTTAAATTTTTTTTTATTGATCTTTTTTAATCAAAAAGTTAATGTTATTGTTATAATAACAAAAAAAATAACAATAACTTTCTCACCACTTGCTCTATTTAAAGACAGAAGAAGTTTTGGAGGCATATTGTAGCATTTATGCCAATGAAAATGTCTAATAGTGAGTCGAAAATGTTTCGAGATTTTTAAATCAGTATGGCGAATGAGAGACAGTAAGGTATAAAGAGAGCCCCCAAGCTGTATTAAGAGCCAATAAAAAGATAAAAGCGACCTTGGAAAATATGCATTTTGCATATCTTGACATATTGGAAATTGAAATAATACTTATCAAGAATGTAATATTTTTAACATCTGTTTCATTACTTAGTAATGGGCAGGTGGCTTTTTGAAAATGGACATAAAAATGTATATGTTTTTTGTTAAACAGTTCTCAAGGATGTTTCGCTTCTGTTTTCACGTCAATAAATGAATGTTTTAAAGGGAGAATTATGAATAAATTGAATGAGAAAGTTATTTAATATCCCAACTAAGATAATATTGGATTAAAAACAAATTTAATATGACATTATAAATTGAAAGTTCAGCGTAGAAAACAGAAAATGTTGTTCCCTCTACTGAAAGGAGGGTATTACGAAATACGAGTTAAATGCGTTCGTTTGTCCAATAGAAAAGCAGATGCATTAACTTAACTAACCTCAAACAATATCTGTAGGGATAGGTTTGATCAAAGGTAATTGTGGTCGGAAATCACGATAGCGTTGTAAGTTTTTTGAAATTTTGTATTTTATTTTCTTTGGGAGAGAGAAAGACTTTTTTAGAAAAAAATAGTTTTTTTTATAAGGATTGACCGAAAGTTTTTGGGGTGGAGTTATTCGATTTAAAGTATAGTTTTTCAAAAAACATTTTGTTATCGTTTTAATAAACAAAGAGGGTTACACAGAGATCTATTGCACATAATGAACACATGAGCTTTCGAAAAAGTAAAACTAAGTGACCAGCAACTGACGAGTGACTGGTATTTCGAAAGCATTTAGGAGTACCATAACGATGTTATTAGTGGTTATGATCCTAAACAAATAAATAAAGTTAATTCAAATAAGATAACGGCTATCGCTGGATTGAATATTAAATTCTTAGTAATCTTTCATAGCCCAGGACGATGTTTCCGGCCTCCGGAAATGAGCGGATTTAATTGGAACCAGCCAGGAATATGCAGGAAACGCACCGGAATGTGCAGGAAAACGCCGGATATCACCGGACCCTGGAAGCAGTATTCCGGGACGGATTTTTCCGGTGATTTCCGATGATGTCTGACGGGAACCAATAGGAGCATGGCGGAATTTACAGGAAAAATCCGAAGACTTCCCGGTCCGGAATACTGCTTCCGTGAAATCGCGGGAGTGGGCGGGAACCGACTTTTTCCCGGGCCGGTTGCTTGGACCTGGGAGTTCAAGCAATTTTATAATGCATAAGGAGCTGCTTAGATCGTCGCATCTTCGTGATAGGAATTCTTTGCAGGGAAATGTTTTAAGGGTACCATGCGATGATGTTTATATGAGATTTTATTACGAATAGGCTATAGGCATCCTGCGGTGGAATTGATATTCAAATTGGCAACGGCTAGCCACTCAACTGCACTAAGACGTTGAACTCTTTTTTCGCTAGATAGTTTTGGATACCTACGTTGTATATGACTAAATCCTTTCAGTTGAGGGTTGGCGGCGCTAACGCCGCGTTACCTTGTTAATAACTGACCTTTTTCTGTTTCTTTCGTAACTTTTTCTAACAAAACTGACCTAATACTCAATGAAACTTACAAGTACGTTGTTTAACACGAGCTCCACAAATATGAGTATGTATACATAATGATTTCGTCGACATATAAATTTTGATGAAATTTCCACTCTATCTAATGAAAACATGATCTATTTTACGATGACCAAGACAATAAAAACTTTTTCAGCAGTTGGTAAGTTGTCAGATCCAGATGACTCAGACTTTTATGAGGAGATTCGGACGTCACTAATGCACTTTATATATAGCGTTTTCCCTACAACTTCTATTAAATCATTGAGGTACCAAAAAAAATCTAAATTTAATTTACAATCGAATGATATAGTTCTTTTCTCCTGGAGATGCATGTAAACTTGACTTTTAGACCAAAAACATTTAATTGGTGTCGCCCTCTGTAATTTTCGCAATCGTTGTGGGTGTTAATAAGCAACACGACAGATTTATGGTGAATTAGCGCTAAATTCATTGTATTTTATTCTCATGTACTAGTTTTCAATATCAATTTGTTAAAAAGTACTTTTTTTTATCTTCTTCAGTGTACTTTAGATTTTTCTGTAACAAAATACTACAATAATGCCATACACATGTGTTCTATGTTGCTGAACAACAAAAATAAATAGAAATCTACTCACAACAGTAACCAGTGTTGATGTTGAAGAAAAAATAAAGCAAGCATATTAATATATAAATGGTATTTCTTTATCAAGAATAATATTAAATGAAACAGTACACAGAGAATGTTACGCAAAATACCATCGTCGTTACATATATGCATCAAAAACCAAAAGATCATCAATTGAAGTGCCAAATCGTCGTTTACCAGTTACTGATTGTACACATTTTTAATATTCATCAGCATCAGTATCAATAACACCAACTAGTCAAGATTCTCGAGAACGATCTGCAAATAAAACTTGCATTTTTTATCGATTCATCTGATAATTCATGTTTTGACATTTCACCATTTTCAACAAAGACAACTGAAAAGGTAACTTGATGAAAAGAGCAATAATCAAACGGTCTTGTAGTTTAACGAGATATTATTATGTGCATTCAACATTTATTCTATAGCTGTTGTCGTCTTCATTATCATCACAAGCACGAGCCGAAGCTATTGATTTAACGTGAAACGATAATAGTATATATTTGAAAGTTTCACAGGTAAGTAGGATATTCGATTAAAAAAATTAACATTCGATGAATTATGCAAACGAAGCCATTCAATTACAATGTAATACATTCTAATAGACTTCAATATCATATAATGCTGATGGTGTTGCTGATTTACAAGAACAATTGATCAATTCATCTAGTACTATTGATCCAACATTTTTAGTAGTCAACAAATTATTATCAATCGATCAAGTTCATCAAAAAGAATCTGCTGAAACAATTGTATTTATATCTTTCGAAGAACTTGTAGAACAGACTCCAAATACAAGTATATTTTCACCGAGCGCACAAAGTTGGGTTAGACTAATTTTTAAATGATAACAATAAGCTTCACTAGTTTTTTTTCATTTAGACTATTCGACGCAAAAAAGGTCGTGATTTGCCGATATTTTTTTTCGTTTTTCAAAATATTGCTCAGTGTTATTTTTTATATTATTTTGTACTATTCAATGCAGTAACAGATATTTTTTTAATAATTTTATGGTTTACTTTTATTTTGTTATAATAATAAATAAAGTTTTTCGTTCATTCAATTGGTGTCAAAGAGCTAAAAATATTCTTGATTGAATCTATAGAAATAAGCTCTTTTTCAACTGACTAGAGGCGGCGCCAGGAATTCAGACTAGGGTGGGCTCGAACTATCTTAGTTTTGAAAACTGAAAAAATGAATGGAAAATTTGTCGAATTTTTGGATCAGTCAAAACTGTTGCTTATTCCATGCTAAATAGTTCGCATGAATGTATAGAAGGCTTGGAGTAGTTTTTGATCGGGGTTGCTACACTTTCCGCTTTTTCACTAAAAACAAACTTTCTTTTTTTATTGAACAATTCTGCGTACAAGAAACTAGATAAGATGCTACTCGATGAAAGTTTCTTAGGAAATTATTTTCTAACTCATAATTTTCTTGAATTATAGTAAAACTTGCGCATCGCACAATAGATTTTCCAATAGATTTTTCCGTTAAAACACTTCCGCTTCATTTTGGCTTCCAATACGAAATGCGTTCTCCTTGACTTGAAATGCTATTAAATAACAGAAAATTTCTTTCGAGTTCTTGTTCATCTGCTAATATAATAGATGAAACCGAAGTCATACTCGATCGCTGTATGTAAGAAATAATACTTTTCTCTTGGTTTTGTGAAAAGCAAGCATTATTTTTTGACAGCGTATGTTTTTCGGGCAAACCTTTTATCTTGTGTGCCAAAAAGGAATCATCTTCGGCGTGTATATGAAAGGTAAAATATATAATTTCTCATATTGCTGTGAAACTGGGTTAAAATGTTTTTGATTCCACACTATTCGCATAAACTTCCAAAGCCATGTGTTAAAAAGGTGCTGCCTTCAGTGGCATATTCACTTCGTAAACTCGTGAACTGATAGTTCCAATACCGTCATTTCAGTATTACAGAAGGAATATTTTTGGGAAGATAAAAAATTTTTCGAAACAGCAGCTTTCCACTTTTTTCCGCTATTTGCCGCTTTTTGGATCTGATGAGGTGGCAACCCTGTTTTTAATCGTCATCCAATAGAAAATACGTAAGAATCTTTCTTTATCTTTATCTTTATCATAGCTAGCAGTCGTATGCTGGGGCATCACTTGTATAAAATGATCATCGATTTTTTCAGAAACCTTAAAAAATTTCTGGGTGGGCTCAAAACATTTTAGTGTGGACTTAGCCCACCCCAGCCCACCCCTCGCGCCGCCACTACAACTGACGCCATTTATTCGTGCTGAATTCAGACAACATGTTCTTGTGACAGATCAATAATTTGTGAATACTGACAAATCAAGGTTGCGAAGAAAACCTAGTGATTGCTGCACGTTCATACTTTTTGATGCCAGTCTCTCTGGAAACAAGCCTCTTTCAAGATGCATTTTTAGTAAGATGATATCAGCTAGAAATGAGCTTATTATAATGATGTTAGTTTTTCCATCCTTGATCATATTATATAAAAATCTTGAGAAAATATTCATAGGGAAAATATAAAAATAGATGTCACTGCTGAGAAGTGCATCTGCTATTAATTGCACGAAAGAAACGACGTATCGCCCTTCTGGCAACATACCATTACGCTTTTCTTTTTCTTTCTACTACTACTCAGCTTGACGAGCACGTTTCTCTGTTTGACTTGTTCTCATTGAAAAGACAAGACATCCATTTACTTTTCAATGGAACATAACGATTCTTCTTGCACTCATTCATCATCACCATCAACTAATTATCATTTGGATTATTTAGATGAATTTTTAAAGTTAATATGTGCTCCTGATTTGTTAACGTTAGGTTTGTTTCCAAATGCCAAAGAAATTACAGAATCATATGCAGTTTGGGCAGCATTACGACGATTTATCTTTTCACGATTCGAAAAATCATCTTCAAAATCGATCGATCCTATTCCGTCTACTGATCATCGTCAAAATGCAATTATTGTTGTTGGCGATGGTATGACACCACGTACAGCTGCGCTATGTGCATATTTAACGAAAGGATTATGGCAATGTTATAGTATCGATCCTATCCTTCAATATGATACGTATGCCGATATGTTATTTATTAATCGAGGAAGTAAAACCACAGCTGAACATTGTACAGAATGGAAATCCATCAAAGGATTACGAATGGTACGTGCGAAAATTCAAACAGTATCTGTGCAATGTCGAAAAGCAATCGTCGTTATGATGCATGCACATGTAACCCTCGAAGATGCAATTGCAGCTATCGATGCAACCGAAGGCATCATTGGTATTATAACATGCCCATGCTGTAATTGGGCTCCGTTTCAACAAGAGTGGCTCGGACAACGACCTCATCATCATTATGCAGATTCTAAATTGCTGAGTGGAAAGAATGAAATGAATGTATGGTATTTTCCAGACGGTTGTGATAGGAAGTCATCTACTCTTAGTACAATATTTGAAAATACACAACTTCCAACGAAACAAATCATCGAACATAATATATGGGGCATTGATACGAGTACTATTGAAAGCAAATTATCTAGTCGCGATGGTGTTAAACAACGAGCCACTGAATTGTGGCCACAATTATTTGCATATGGTAGTAAAGCATTTATTAACACAATTGATTCTAATCCATTAGCCGAAATGAAAGATTTCAATATGATTCAATCAACGTCGAATAATTCAGAAGCATGGGCCTGGGCAACAACAGCATGGTCACCTAAAGATGTATTACTTTTAATAGAATCATATAATAATGAATCGATATCAACAACAGATTTATCCAACGATGTGTCAGTTTTACCGCCGTGGCTTGGGAAACCTCTCTTAGTAGTAGGTACGATTGGATCCATGCGACGATGCAAACATACACTTTTTTATGAATTAAATACTTGTGCCATTCCACCAGAACCGCTTCAAGAAATTCTACGACTTACTTGTGATACTTCAACGACGACAGTTAACACTACAATCGAAAACAAACATGTATTAGCTGGCACATTTCCTGCATTATTAAAAACTGCTGATCGTATGTGGACATGTGTAGAATATCAACGACATCGTCACGCAGTTGCTTGTTACGATGCAACAATTGGACGAAAAACAAAAGATCGTAATTCAAAAACACATCGACTTGATACAGCAGTACCGTCGAATACTGACCGTATTAATGTCGTATTGCCATTAGGATCTTATCAAGCTAGAACTACAACCGATAAACAATGTGAAGATATTATGAAGATGAAATTTCCAGATTATAATCCACAACCTCGTGAATCTCTATTTCCTTGGGCTATGCATTTACGACCCGGTGATATCATTGTTGCATATTGTGAATTAGTATGTAATGCAGCGCGACGACCACAGCTACGTTTCATCGATGGAATCCTACTATTCGATAGTATGTTACACATGATCTGTGCTCATCGTCGTAATTTACAATAGTGAATGCATCACCAACTACTTTTACATAGTCAACGAATTGCAAGAAAAATTAATTAAACAGTTCACGACAAATTTAGCATATGTACGAAATCAAAAATTATCATGAACTCAATGTAGAAAAAATGGCATATTAAATAGCTACCATAGTTGTTGATTTTGTAATTAGTATTGGTTTTTTTAAATAAAATGTCATTTGAAACAATGGATAAAAGTTACTTTCATAATGAAACTTTTCCTACAAAACATAAGCATTCATTATTATCACTAATCAATATTCTTTCATTACAATATTACAATAAGATCGAATTGATAATACAAGAATTTAATGATAGAGGATGGATTTTGATTGTAAGTCATTTGACCCCTGATATCAATACTTGTTATTATTTTTTCTCTTGTACCTATAAACGTAGAAAAATCTAAATCACTAATGCATGCAGCTATAAAAAGCATTAAGCATCTTCTACGTAGTATGTTTCTCTTTTAATATTCGTTATTTCACGGTATAACTATCCTATAAAAACAAAAATTACATTAGAGAACGCAAGAGAAAATAGTTGACTTAGGGGGAGTCACATAAAAGGGCTGTTATTTTTGTTTTACCATCAATATACATAAACGCAACACAGCACAGTAAACAAAGTCATGCCGTTGTCCGCTGAAGATTTACAAAAATATGTTGGACAAAATCTGAGTGATGTAAAACAACAATTAGAAGGTCGAGGTAATAGAACCATTAAATCGAATGACATTCATGAATCTTTTCTTTCCACTAGGCTGTGAAGTTTGCGAAGTGCGTACAGGGCACTATGCTACTGGACGTGTGCCAATTCGACCACTTGTTGTTGGAGAGTCTCAAACTGAACAACCGCAACCGCAACGTGTCGTTGTCGTATTTAATGGTGATGATCCAGACAAAAAAATTACTTCCATTCGACAATGTTAACAATTGACATGGATATTCTCTATTCACAGACTTATACACGAAAAAACATTTCTATTTTCCAGTATATCATAGCTTATTTTTAGTTAGTTCGAAAATAAATGAACCGTATATTCACAGGACTCATAAAGATGAGATTTATCTGACCTTGGCACTACACAATTCTCTGATCATAATGAGCAAAACATTTTCAAGTATGAGTTATAGTTTGTGAAAATATGAAGAAAAACGAATATATAATCCTGTTCTTGTTTTTTTTTTATTGTGGAAATTTTATTTGGCCGAAAAAAAAGATTGAATTGAATATTTATCACAAAGAAAAAAACAATGCACTGATATCAAGATTTTACATCTTGGTTTGTTGATTTTTGATATTCTAACATCGCGTCTAAAACTTTCCAAAGACAAGAACCTTGAGGATAATCATTATCGACTAAATTAACAAGAAAATAAGTATTTGAGACTTCTTCAATAATTGAGTATGAAGGTGATCCAGGTTCATATAATTTGCCCCAACGTTCCATCCATAAGCTGAAAGCTTCATCCTTAAAATATAAAAAGAACAATGAGAATAGTTCAACACAACATGCAACTATCTTACTTTCCAGATCATGAAGCTAACTGGATCGACAACGGTAGGTTGAACAATTTCTTTACCAGGAAAAACACCCCATGTGAGTGCAGTTGCTTGTTCACCATCGGCATTTGTTTCATTAACTTCACCCTAGAAATTATTTTTCTTCAATTAAATCTATATATACGAAAATAATTTCATACTGATTTATTGACAAAATGATAATTAATATTAGGGAAATCTTTCAATACAGCACGTAAAGCCGGAATATTGCTAGCACTTGTAAAAAATTCCAAATAAGCCTTAGAAATAAAAAATCATAATGAAAATAGAAAAATCTTTCTCCTACGCTAAATTTACCTTTTGATATACATAGCCATTTGGTACACCCCAACCGACAATGGGATCACTACTTGGTTTTCCATTGACGGGTGGCTGGGAATTAATTGTTAAAATTCCTTTTCTATTATATTCAACCAATTGACTTTGAATTAAGTTTGTTTCCAATGAAACTTCCTCATCTTTCCATGGAAAATGACGAACTGATTTTCCTAGAACATTTTTTTCTCCGCTTATATAGCAAGCAAACATTTTCCAAACATCTTCTTCTGATGTTAAACTGTGTCCCCATTCATCGAGTAATGCATCATGTGATGCATCCATTTTCATATAAAATAAATGGTAATCAGTTAAAGCACCAAATGATGGTGCAAATGAAAAACCCCACCGTCCATTTGGAAATTCATTCCAATCGGTTGTACGATGAATATAAGATTTTGGTCTGAGACTCCAAAATATAGGACGAACATTTTCTTGTGAACGTGCATGACTTTGCGAGGTTTTTTTCCATGGTAAAGCACGCAATGGAGTTTCTTCTAACCAGATACCAAGTGTTTTTAAAATTTCCGTCGTTGCATATTCACGATTTAATGTATAGAAATGAATGCCAAGAACTTTACCCGAGTCTAGTAATTTTTGACAAAGATCAATACAGGCTTGAACACCATAATCACGAATGGCTTCATCATTATCTCTCATTGATTCAATAGAATCAAGCATTTCTTTAGGTACATCCAATTTAGCCAGTCGAATAACACTTCTAAAACTTGCGTGACCCTAAAAAACAAACAAAAGTTTACGTTTTACGATTTTTCTCAATTGAATTTTGTTTTTTACTTGAATGGGAAATATTCCAGGAATAATTGGACATGTAATTCCAATAGCTCGGCAATCAGCTTCAAATTTAAGAAAGGTTTCTGCTTGAAAAAATAGTTGTGTTATAATAAAATCGGCTCCAGCATCAACTTTTTGTTTGAGATAACCTAAATCTTCTTCATATGATTCGGTATCGGGATGTCCTTGTGGATAACCTTAATTGAATCACGATATAAAAAAAAAGTACTTAAAAACCGATCATCGAAATTTACCTGCAACACAAATGACAAAATAATCACCAAACGTTTCTCGGATAAATTTAACTAAATCAGTTGCATATCGAAAATCAGTTTGATCCGGATCCCATTGCTCTCCTACGGGTGGATCTAAAATAAATTCATAATTTTAATTTGAGAATTTTTTTGTTTTTAAATTTCAAATTATTTACCTCCACGTAATGCAAGTAAATTTCTAATACCAACTTCTTTTGCACGATTAAGATATTGAATCATTTGTGGTTTTTTAGTTCCACAACATGTTATATGTAACATAGTATCGATATTACAATAATTTAACATTGTATTAGCAATCATCATTGAACTTGTTTCTTTATTACCAGCTGGATCACCAGTTGAACGCCATGTTATATCACAAAATAATGGTTGAGCCAGAGCCATACGTTCAACACTAGTTGACAATAGAAAAGCAGATGTAACGAGAAAAAAAAACTATCTACCATCCAATAAGATTGGCAGCTGCATTTGATGTAGTCGGTGGAAAAAACTCAAGTGAAAACCATCGTTCGTGATTTGAAATACGTTCTTGGATTTTTTCTGCTAAACTAACATATTTAGCTGGTTGAGGAGAAGAACCTTTAGTAGTTCCAATTCCATTTTCACTTTCCGAACGTTTCAAGTCAACAATATCATTGGATGAATTAGATATTGTTTTTATATTGATTCCATTGTCGAGCATCGTGTGATGACGAGAAGAAATATGGTTTTCACTACTTGTTCGTGTTTTGAAGCTTCTTTAAATAGAGATAATCACGTTTTATCAAAAATATCTAAAGAAAAATATTGACTTAAAAGAGTACAAACGTTAGTCCTTGTTATCATACTTTGGTTGCATGATAAAAATCACATTTATTGGAAGAAGAAAGAGAAAAAGTACATAAGACCAACGATAAGTATACGCAGACGGAAAGAAAAAGAACGAATGTGCCTTGAGAAAGCAGAATGTGATGCAGCTGCAACGTACGAATCGTGTTCGTCTTGATTACTAAAGGCATGTTTTTTTGATAGAGGCAGTAAAAAGTTTCGATAAGAGAAAAACATTTTTTTTAAAAATATTTTACACTATGACTGAGTTGCGTTTCTACTTGCTACAAAAGAACTACCAATAGTTTTATTTTTAGAAACTTTTCATAGAGTTAAAAGATGTCGACTAGATCGTATTTGGATGGATATTTATTGTAAGAGACTATTTCATAAGAAAATCGATTTTATAATCGAAATTGAAAAGAAGAAAAAAAGGACAATTTTTTTTTTATAGGTTGCAATCAATGCAAAATACAAGTAACTGAAATGCTATATACTAGTTACAATTCAATAAGGTAACGTTGATTTGCATTGCAATAATAATAAGAAAGGTAAACATGAATCAAATAGAAAATAAAACGAAATATCTTCAAGTTTTTTTTATATCTATCTAAAAGAATAATCTTATTCTCGATTGTTGAAACGAACAAACAGTTTTATAGGCCGTCTTTTTTATTTCACTCGTTGTTCGGTACAAAAGTATAAACGAAATTATGGGCGCGCACAAGCGAAGAAAAAACCATTATCCTACATTTTTTTGTCATGGTCAGCCGGTACGAATCTTAACCTTGCTATAGACACATGTATTCTTTTATTTCTTTTCGAAAGAATGATCATACGTATTCATCAGGTGAAGTTTTAATATTTTCAACATATCAAGGAAAAACCATAAAAAGAGCCACACAGATGTCAACAATATTAAAAATCGAATGAATATCATTGAAAAATAAATCTATATAATCCCCTTTAAATAAAAATATCAGAATCTAGTTTCCTGTCGTCAGTGCATCATAGTACACTTTTTATTTGGTGTGGTAATCGCGTCAAAATCAGTGTAACATTCAAAAATAAATTTGACTGCTTCTCAGAAAATTCGTGTATCGATACATGCAAATAAAATACTCTATAGTATGGGTGTGCATGAGTTTGATTATTATTTTCAATCAGCCACACTCGCACCCGTATTGTATATTTATTTCTTGTTTAAATTATCTCGGCTTAACCGATTATTTAAAGCTAAGAGCTTGAAATAGCAAAGTAATCTTGGATTTTTCTCAAGAGATAATTCAATCTGTTTTCGATTGATTTATTGTTTTATTTTGATTGTACAATCCGATTTCATAAAAATGTCAAAGGGTGATTATTGCTATTTTTTGTAAATAATAGATGCCCATGCACAAGGCTCACTTGAATGGTTGCACTCATGCATAAAAAAATTGGAGTAAAAACTATAGATTGACGCAATTAATCTACTGACATCATCGATGCGTGTCAAAGTTAATCTAGTGGAAAACTAAAGCTAGGATACGAGTGTTGACATTATTTTGATATACCTTCAGATGAGGATCTCACCAACCCCTATTACCAAGATTCAAAAATAATAGCTACTGGATTTTTATTGTTAAACAAAAAAAATTGAAAAGCAGCCATGCAAATGCCACAGTCGATCGATAAGAGAGGGAGAATGCGTTTGTCGGTAAATGCATTCATTCAATAAAATTCAGCAGGCTTGGCTATGATCGGTGAGAATTCTATCCATCCACAAATATCTGTGTGGAAAAACTCACAACATAACAGTTCTGAGACTAAAGATGCATTCAGTGGACCTAAAGCAAACACAGCTTCATCCACTAGAAGTTTTCATGCAAAGAACGATCAAGGAATAGGGTGAGTAGATTATCGAGTCTGCTAATGAATGTGTACTTCATTGTCGTCATCTTTCAGTTCGAGATTATTACGGAATGCAATGCAGTGTTCTCGAAATATACCAGGATTTCTCGGAGGACTACTGCCTGGTATGCTATTGGGTGGTGTAGCTTTCGCCGTTGTACTTACTTTATATTTAACATCAAATCAAGGAACAACAGGTATGAAAAAATACAAGCACTGTATTCGCTTTGTGGGTGTGGCAAGTTGTATTTTCCTAAAAGATTGAATAGATGACTCTGAAAAGTTACGATAGATAGACTTTCTATGTTGCTTTTATTCATATTCGATGTTGGTAATTGCAGAAGTAACAGCGAGCACCAGCACTGCATCAGTGACAATGACAATGACAGCAACAGCAACAGCAACAGCAACAACAACCACTACCATCTCAACGACAACAACTACTAGTGTCACAACAACCTCTACGTCAACAACCACAAGTTTGGAATGCTCGTCAGCTGGACTTGGTAAGATAACAAGTCGACCGTCAGACAATACAAGTCCATGGACTGGTTATTCATTCAATTATACAGTGACCTTTCCAGCAACCTTCATTCAATTTTCAATTCAGACAGGATCTTTACGTTGGTATTACTTAGACGATGTATCTGTAGTTGACATGACTGTAGCATCCGGTGAATTGCTTAATAATCCTAGTTTTGAAAATTCAACAACAGGTTTGACTGGCTGGACTGTTTTATGCAACTCCACCTGTACTACGGGAAACAATACTGGTGCAAGGGTAGCAACTGGCGCTAGCTGCTATCTATCGACTGGAAACTGCTACAGTGATAATTGTTTCGGTTCGGGACAAATTAATTTTCTAAGACAATATTTGACGTTCAAAGTTGGTCACACATATAGTATTTCATACTATTTAACCGGAGTAGGTGGTATTGCGAATCCAAACCAACAGTTCTACCTTGATATCATGTAGTAACTAGGAATCTTGAGCGAACTATTATGATCGATCAGGCGAAGGAGTTGAAACAGTCAATGTCTTTTACAAGAACTATAATATAAAAATTGTGCACTTTAGCAAGGGCAGAAAAGCGATTTTTTAAATTTAATTTTTGGAATGAATTTGAATGAACATGTGAGAATAGTTGTTGTTGATTATGATTGATCGGGGTTTGTCTGGAATAGAATGTATGAAGTTCATTGTAAGCTGGGGTTGGTTTAAGTGACAGGTGTGCACATGTGTTATAGATATGTATTTCAAACGAAGAAGGCAATGATAATATAAGCATCAATTTACCTTCCCATTTAAGTATAATGCATAGCCATTTTTATCTTTTCTCTCCATGATTGATTGAATAGAACACTAAGCAGATGCAACGTGTTTATGGAGTTATGATCGACGTCAAATATTTATCTAAATTAGTTCAACATATTTATCTGAAACATGACCGGTCTCATGCATTAAACATGCATTCGAACATCACAATGAATGTAAGTACCTCATTCAATCGATCAGCATATGAATTTGCATTAAAAACTCTTTTCGAATTCGTCAACATCCTTCTCTAGCATGGGAAAGAATAAAAGTGTGAAAATAGAGTCATATTAAACTCTACTGTACAATGAATTTTAGTTCAAAATTTGTCTTGGATATTCGACCCTCACCGGTCCATGGTGCATGCTATAGAATTAGAGTTCATCACAATATTGACCTAGAACGCCACGCGTGAAGGTAGTATAATAAGAACTAATTTGTACTTCAATTTCTATCGACGTTTTGGCTCGCTTTATTTTTGTTGCGGTTAGTCACATCATTTTTAACTTTGTTTATTATTCGGAACGTGCATTCCGCTCTTTAGAAATTTTTTTCATTCGATAAGGCTACTGATCTTCAAGCTTTTTATCTATACAATGATGATGACGACAAAGAACAATTGATTGAGTACAATGTATAACAATGTATTCATTCAACTCCATCAACGCTTCCAATAAGGATTAGAATGAAACGGTGCAATATTTACATGATTTGGATAGTTAAATCGTAATAGCATGGAAGTGCTCACTTCTCAAACGCAACCTCAACAAGCAAAGGTTAAATTCTTAAGATACACGAATTAAGGCTAGTTGATGGAGGGTTCTTTCCTTTTTAAATGTTTTAGGGAAAATAACAGTCTCTTCTTCGGATAACTCCTGACAATGTTTTGTACTAGCTATTGGAATTCTACGTCAAATGTGCTCCGAGATCTATCACTAGTTAAGTGATGACAATCTAGATTTGATTAGTAAATATTATATGTTAAAGTGACTATCAAAATCGGTGAACATTTTGCCAAGATCGTGATGCACCAGCAGTAGTGAGAAAGGACGGTGTGATCTGGTTAGTAATCGATTGTAAGTTCAATGCTATTTTGCAGAGGAAAAATAAGCAATAAATTCGCTGTACGTGCCGTTGAACGACTACTCATTCTTTTACTGTCCGTCAATATCACACAAGTATCATACTTTAACTTGAATGAATATATGAGAATTTTATTAATTTTTTTGCATTCGTTTGATTTGATCATTTATAATTTTACGTTCATTAACAGTATTTGCTTATTCGTGGATGCTGATGATAATGAACCAATGTGAACCGTAGAGATTTGATCAATTTTTTATATCATAGTGGGCTGTTCTGTTAACAATCTTCTTGCAATAGTAGATTTAAACGCATATGATGGTTTTAGTAGTTTCTGTTTATAAAATGTTTGTAGCTGATTAATATCAGCTCTTAATTGACAATCTATAATTTCACCTAAAACAAAAAGTATTCTAATCTAATATTATCAAATATGAGCCTTTCAAGTATAAGGGGAAAACAATCATGAATATCTTTACTAATTACTACCGTTAATGACTGTTCACTGTTATGTCCTATGATACGAATTGGGTTTGTCGTTGAGACCATAGCATTTTATCTGTCATGGTACCTATACGAACTCGAGTCGAAAGAATCTTAATTTGACATTATACATCCTTGTATTCTAAAGCATTAATCAAAACTGTAATTGCCTTAGATTCTCCCAGCATATGTAGAAAGTGATTCGTACTGTTAGTGCCAATCGATGAAAAATAGCAACTTTTTGGACTGTAATATGTTGATGCCAATTTTTGAAAGAGTAAAGTTGAGACAGTAATATATTCCTGTACTGAAAACAATCTATTGATACAATCAGTTTGTGTACTGGTTGTTGATGTAAAGCGTATTTCTGAGTTAATTTTGTGGAACTCGCATATTTTTTCGAAGAAAATAGGGAGCGTAAGTTTAAAAGCGAGATTTTTACGCCCTCCCCCTCTCCACTACAGATATTAATGAGCTTAAAATTGTGCTAATTAGGCTATTTTTGTTTTAAATTACAGACTATACGAAAAAGGAAAGAGCTATCCTTTACAGACCGTAGCAATCAGATAGGGATAGCATCATAGACCTTAGAAACTAGTCTCTGTAATTGTTAAAGATACCAACTAACATTTAACCCTCCATTTATAATGACGTAATTACAGGATATTGGACACTAAGATAGATTTTTCCTTTGAATTATTTTAGTAAGCCTAACCGATATGTGAGTTCCACCCTTTAGCCCGAATGGACTGCGCTAACAAACTTTTTATAAATGAAGCATATTCGAATGTTTTCCGACAAATTCGGTCAATCAAAAGCTACTGATTATTCTCATCTACTATGTCTAGTTCAAATATAAGACCGTAGCATCAATCCATACAAATACATAGTGATCTGCTTTCTTAACTTTTCATTTCCTTTTGAATAGAAAAATATATTTATCATCCACCAAATTTTCTCGGAAGAAAGTTTATTGAGAAAAAAAAACTAATATTTTTATTTCCAAACAATTATTCGATTGTTTTCTATATGAACATTATAAAAGGACGAGTATTGACTTGGTTTAATGATGTGAGTGAAATCATAATTTGTCTTGAAACTATAATAATGAAGACTGATTAAATTTGGCAAACGAGTAAAACTTTGTTCTATTGTTCGTTCTATACGTAAAATTTCATTGCTAGCCGCTTCGTTGAAAAGAAAGATGAATAAGAACTGTAGCGATGGAAAGTAAGTTTCATCCAAAAAATCGATACTCGCATCAATCCAACTGAAAACATTCAGACGAACGAGTGTAGACGATTGAAATGTAGCCAAAGCTGTTAATTGATCGATGCCACCCAATAACTCTATCACACGAAGTTTTGGTAAAAATGGTAACATGCGTGAAAAAAGTCCTCCTGCTGTTGTTACACAAGTCGCAAGAAACCCACAATGCATAAGTGGCTGAGAAGTGCCTTGAAATGGAGGTGGGGTAATTGAACGCGGCCAGTGTATTATGAGACGTTGAATCTGAAATACTCAATAAATTTATTATTTCATACTTATCGATTTTTTTTCGCATTAAAAGTAGTGTATTGGTCTTCTTAGAAAAAATGGTCTGTTTTAATAATAATCCAAATACTTACTTTTGGAAAACATCGAGACAAACGAGCAAATTCACCAATATCACTTTCATTTTCAGCAGACACAATTGAACATTTTTTTATAGAATGATCAATTTTGATAGAATCTATTAGATCATAAACTTGCAGAAGATATGGATAATTTTTCACCCACGGAAGTGTGTAAAGGTGTGATTCCTTTAGCAATGGATCAAAACACCATTGGGTTCTTGGCCAAAAAGAACTCTTCCACCTAAAACAAATAGCATAGTTATTGTTGGTTCTAATCATTGATAACTGTTTTCTACAGTGTCGATGCACTAATTTAAAGTTCCCGATAAAATCAACAGTCTTAAGACAGCGAGGATTCATTTTGGGGAACGTGCCAAAATAAATCCTCACAATACCATTACAAGTCAAGTGCTCGAAAGAAAAGATAAACGGTACTGTCTACTTCTGACTTTTACCTGCTTTCATTTGGTTTTTCATCACAATCATGTATGCAAAGCCGAAAAGATATGTTTATTAATTCTTTAAGCGATTGTAAAGCGGTCGATAGATAATCTGCTGCTGACGAGTTCCAGTTTTCGTCGTCGTCTATTTCGGTGTATCGATGAACATTATGAGGTGGTGGTGCTGATCTGATAAAATAATCAAACGATAACGTACGTAGTCGAATCATCGATCGCACGAGACGTACAAATATTGACCATGGAATAAAATTTATTCTACTGATAAATGTAAAAGTTTCAATATTACTTAACATGTTCATATCAGTAGATTTTATCATTTGTAATAATCGTAGACGTTCTGCTTCATCAACAGAAAAATTCTCAAACATATATAATTTGAGATGCTTCAATTGAGGTATATGTACAATAAACACTAGCAAATCAGACAATTGATATAGAGGAACGGAAAAAGTTGATAATATATAAGGATCAAGAGGGAATGCCATTTGTGTTGGAAGAGAACTATCACACATGAATGATTGAAGACGATGCAAATATTTCTCAAACACACGTTTAATGTTTGTATCATTGACATCGCTTAAACATAAACGATTCAATTGAGTTGCTTGTTCAAGAACATATGCGAGATCGTCGCCCTTAACAAAAAAAATATGATTACCGGCGATATACGTCGGATATTAATATTAAAAACAATTTTCCAATTTTTCATTCTACTCGAGAAAATTCATAATGATCTTTGAAAGGTTTGAAAAATTAATATAGATGAAAAGTGTGCCCTTTGCTTTACGTGTAACTTCACTTGTGATAATGTGTCCGTTATACAAAACGACTGTGCTCGATAAATTTTAGCGACTTTTGAAATGGACATAGATGAATCAAACATACCTTTAAGGATTTTAAATGTAATGAAGTTATATTAGAAAAGACAGTAGATGGTAAGTCATAAACAATACGACTGCCAACAAAATCAGCATTTATCTTCAATGATTGCATATGACATGATATATATGGAAGTACATTGGTGCACAAATAACGAAATATGTTGGATTTCATAAATGTTGATAGATGATGAATATCAACTGAATATCGACATTCACGAAGTAAATTATTACAACGAAGTTTATTATCAGAATCGAAAAATGAATATAAGTTTTCTATAGATGTCAAATATGACATAATTTCGAGTAAAACAAGATCGGGTAACGCGATGAAACCAGACATATTCGCTTCTTTATCGTACATGTCGCGCAAAACATATAACTTTATTTATTGACCGTTCCCCATTGTAATAGACACTCGCGAGGACGTTTATTGTTTTAATAATAGCCAATCAAACGTCCTTTTTCCGACAATAATATTTTTGTATATATAAATGATTTATTTGTAGCCACATTTATTACTTACTGCTGCTTCAACCGTTGGGTCTGAAAAAGTTTTGAATTTGTCAATAATTGTTCGGAACGTTAATAAGTTATTTTCTGTTCACTAAATGGCTCTTTTTTCGTTGGAAAAAGTTCTCTCCATTAGACGAAACAGTCGTACTGTTCTAATTTTCTTTTTTCAATAGGAGAAAAGTATTTTTCTAAGAAGTTTTCGAAATTAGGATTGATTTTTTTCGTACAGTACATATTGACTTCGAAATGATAGATGCATTTAACTAAATTGCAGTAATAGGTTTATATCGATGAAGAAAATGGAACTCAACAATATCAGCAAGCCACTCTTAGCACTTTTCCAGCATAATTTAGTACATAGGCATTGCGCTTATCTCTTCAACAATTTGTATTTTCTGTGTTTTATAATGATTGATATTTTTAATACACATAAATAAATGTATAAAATTGACGTTGTTTTGTCGAAGCTAAGGGCAATATGTATACAGAAGCATGTCTGTTTTATCAGATTGAAATAAATTTTGTTTAAAAAGAATCTTTACTTTTTACAGATATATTAGTCTTGATTCAGTAATTTCAAGAAGACAATGTTTTAGTCTGATTTATTTTATCACACAAATAAATCTTTTTTGTTATAATAAGAAGTCGGCCTTATCTTTCAACCATACGTCGCTTCTGTTGTAAGGTTATTTTGTCAGTACCTTATCTGCAGTTTACGCTTTCACTTGAATTATATCAACAATGACGGAGATCGCTAACAATTTTTCATTCTTTCTTATTTGAAACAATATCATTAAAACAGCACTTGTAATATTTGATATTTTAAAACAATTGTTTCAATTGAGATTCAAATAAAAACCGATTCGACATAAAAACAAAACTAATTTTCTTATCTATTTAGGCAAATCAAATGTAATATTTTATCGTAATGCTGTTCCAATGATTCAAGCTTTCGTCTTGAATGTGTTAGCGCATGCATTATGAAACCCTACAAGTAAAACATTGTGTATTTTCATTTTTATGATCATTAGAATCAACAAATGTTATATTTCTTGCCATTATATGAAACAAAATGGTGAAATACATAAATTATTTTAGTGTAATTAGATTGTTTTTAGTCCGATGGCTTTTTGCTGTTGTATAAAACAAAGTTCAGCTTCGATTTTGTCCATATCTATTTAATTCTGCACCGAATGTATTAATTTGGGATTGAATCGTGTTCATTTCTGATTGTGCCCAGTCTGCACGCTCCCTGTGATAATCCGCGACATAAGCATTTTCGGTGCTTAAAAACAATGACCGGTGATGATTGTATTCATTTTGTAGCTCAGCCAATCTGTTTTGTAATGGAATGAGCTAGAATGAATGAATAGTTGGAGATAGATTCATCATATATTTCCTAGAAATCTTCTGTTTTCTGCTTTTTTAATTTTTTGTCCTTCATTAGCTGATTTTCCTATTTCACGGATATTTTCTTTGAATGTAGAAACGATTGAAACTATGGATATTGTCTAGAACCCTAAAATAGATTCAGCGATTTCGCCGTATTTCAATATCCTTTCGAATTATAAGTTTTTGTTGTATCAATATTTGCATTTAAAAATAAATCGATAGACATTAAATAAGACAATTTTCTAATAAAAAAATGTACCACTTGTTTTATGTGAACTCGAACGTTAGACTATTTTAAATAAAATATGAAAGTGTCAAGTAACAAAGTAATTTAAAAGAACACGGACCGCTTCCCGTAGCTCCCAAGAGTGACTTTATATGAAACCAATCGAAACTCATAAGAAAAAGAACGCGCCCATGTTTGATGGAAGTATGCACAAAGGGTATTATAAATCAGATAGATCTATCATGCTGTAGAGACGGAGGAAAAATTACAATTTTTTTCTACAATCTAATTGTAGAAAAAACAAAGAAAGTTGAACTCTTTTTTTGATTTAATGAAGAGCATCTTCTAGTTTTCTCAGATTTGTTCTGTATAAAATGCAGCTTTTCAGTTCTTAATATATGTTCACTAAATACAGAGAGAGGGCACTTAAATCGATCGAATTACTACAATTGCCCAACAAGAAAATATGCAAAATTTTGGTTCGCAAAAGCGGATCATCTGGAGATTCTATGAGCGTTGATAAAGACGAAGAATTCTATAATTTTTCTTTTTTGAAAGAAAACCCTATAGTTTGAAAATCGTGAGTCTAGATAGTAGCATTTTTCTCTAACTGAAAATCAACTCGATGCGTTCAAAGCAGAGACCAATGTTTTCTGCTAACTTCATTAAAATCAATCATATCGATTAAGCGTAAATCAGCATTCAATTAACTGATAGTCTTTTAATCATTAGAAGACAAATAATAAAGAAGTCTTATCTCTATTTCAAATTGTTGCACATGAGACAGGATGCATTCTCTTCGAAAAAAATAAATGATCAACTCGTATTTCTATGAACAGGTTATTTATGTTTTAACATCAATATGTCTTTTTCAAGACTCTTTTACTTCTTAAATGATGTGCAAGCTCTCATTTATAGTTTAACTATATAAACAGATGATGACATTAGTGATGATCACATAGTTTAGACGATATCAATACAGTCACCAATGATAAAAATAATATATAAAAGCTTATATGAACGAATAATAAGATGATAATCTGATAGTGAAACACGAAAGTATGATAGAAATTGGTATAAATGACAAGAGCTGATCATATCATTGCTGAGAGATAGCTAAAGCCAAGATAGAAATACGAGAGAAGAAGAGTGATTACTGTTATCTTTCTTCTTCGTCATATATTCTACTATTACCAAAAAATCTGATAGGATCATCTCTTATCATAATTTCATATCACTGATTATATATTTACTTTTTCCATCTCTATTCGTAGTGACGTCATTGGTGTCTAAAGATCAGCAAAATCTTTTGATACAAGGAAAAGTAAATAAATGAAAACAAAATATGAATTTCAAAGGCATGAAAGTTAATGTTTTTAGAAAACCAGTACTATATATATCGATTTTTAAACAGTGCAGAAAACACAAATGTTTTTCATACGCTGCTATTTATTGACAGCTCTTCTGCTATTCTTGCTTAAATTTATGATGTTTTTATGAAACATGTGTGCGAAATTTTAGTTGGAGCACATATTGTGCTTGAACTCATACTTAAATGTCATCACTAGCAACACATGGAATAGCATGCTCAACAAACCACAAGTTATTTTGGCGAGTGTTGACAATTCCAGAAAGAAAATTATCAAGATTCTTTATTTTTACGTTAAAGCTAAAAATATCAATTATAAATTGGGACAAACAGAATTTGAGGCACGAATTAGTTAGCCCAGTGGGACTATGATTAGTTAATGGCTTCGACAAGGCCATAGATAATAAAAAGTCCAATCAAACTTAAAATAAGAGTTGTTACAAAGCCATATTTCAAATAAGTCCAAAAGTCAAATTTGTACTGTAGTGAACTTGTCAATGCTTTTTGCGCAACAATCAAATTGGCCACACTACCGAATAATGTTAGATTACCTGCAACGGTTGTGAGAAAGGCGAGATAGAGTACGAGATTGAGATGATTGCCGTCAGGTTGAATCTGTTCAAGGATAAGTATTGTCAAGGGAACGTTTGAAAATATGTTGCTACCGATAAGGATAAAAGCATATAGAAGAAACAGTGAGGGTATGTGTTGGAAGGAAGCTGTATCGAGATTGAGTGCCGCCCTAAAGAGACAAAGCGGTAAAATTCAAAAGCGAAAAAGATAAATTTACCAGATTCTACTCGGAATACCAGTTGAGTTAAGTCCATCTAACCAGACAAATATACCGAAAAAGAGAATAAGAATATTCCAATCGATCCGTTGAAGAATCACTGTGGGCGATCGATGGTTCACAAAAGCATCGGCAAGAAATAGAACAATAGCTGCACCAACTGGAATCAAACCTGGAAGGATAGAGTAGATGTATATAAAACAGAATCTTATGGCAAACACATACCAATATCGAAACGAACTTTTTCATTCGATGCAAAGAGCAATGCGATGATGATGATGATGACGATGAATAGAATGGACTTGAACAGTCGCGAATTAGACGGCTGATAATCATTTTGAGGTTTAATCGATACAGCTTGTTCCAGATTGAGTAGACTCGACGTCTCACGAGTTGTTTTATTTGGCAGAGGTGATAAGTGCTGCTGGTTGATACTATCAAGTTCCTTTTTAGGCAAGTTCGATGACGATCGATTACTGATGCGCAGAGCAAATTGATGATGAAGGAGGAGAAAAGCAAAATTCAGCAACGACACCACAAAAACAGGAAGCCACAAGTAGATTACACATGTTTTCAATTCAAGACGACTATGCTGATTGGCAAATGCATTGGACTTAGATGCAATGAGTGCCATTTGAGGATTACCAAAAATAGTCAATGCGCTTCCTATGTATCGTAAATGTAGCACGATCAAAACTAAAAGTTCGACTCATTTTAACTTACCAATATTAGCCTGGGTAGCAATAGCCAATAGTAATGTTTTCAATTCCCTTACATCTCGTTTCTGTTCTATCCATTTTTTAAGTAATAGCGGCGTGAGTAAAATACATGTAACATCGTTAGTAAAAAGAGAAGCAAGCAGAGAACTGGTCACGCTCACACGTAAAAGCCACTGAACAAAAGGAAGTCGAAGAGGAAATAATCTATCCAATAAATGATCGATTAATTGCTCTCGTTCAAAATAGGATGATATGACCATCATACCCCATCGAAGAAAAGTTGTTTTCAAATTATTCGTATTGCCAATGACCGTATATACACGAGAGGAATCAATGACCGTACAAATAACCATGAGTAAAGCACCAACAAGTACGGCGCCTGTACTACCGAGTGGGTACCGATGAATATGAAAGACGACGAATGGTAATGTAAGGACGAAGGTGGTACATCCGAGTACTACCTGATAGATATGAGGTAAATGAGCATTGCTCGTAATGTTAGTGATGTTTACCCAGTTCTCCATTTACCTACGGAATCGAAAGTGAATTAGTTAAATCACTGAAAATGGGATAGCATAGAAATGGCAACCCTGCTCGGCAGCGCTATGATATCTTCTCTATCTAATCACATTCTAAGTACTGTTTTCACTATTATTGTATCATATTCCATATACTAATCTCGAGAAATAAAACCCCAGTCACACAAAAAGAGGAATCGAACCACAATGGAAAATGATACTCATCTTGAAAGTGTTTGTCACCGTTTGTTTTGAAGCAGTTTGTGGGTAATCATTCTACGCAATTTCTAATTATAACATGCGACATATCACCTTATTATCTCGAATTGAATAATCTCGTCTGATTTTTCTAACAAATATCAATATACTTGCATTCACTGGTGCAAAATAATCCTCCAAAATGCGAGTGAGCATTAAGGAACTCATAGTTTCAACGTACCTATTTTGTGTATATTTGCAAAACAGTTAGATCTCAAAAACACGTGAAGATTAGTGATACTGGAAGCAAACGAGAGAATGAAACAGAAAAGCATGGTGTATCGAGAGCTATTATAATTCATTGTTCTTATTCTATTTTCGTCAAGGCCATCGCTGTTCCTTGTCGCGTAGATTCTTTCTTCAGTATAGAACAAAATGAGAGAGACAGAGAGAAGATACACGCTGCAAAGAATTTGATCAGCTCTTATCTCCTGTATAATAACTGTATAAAATTGTGCGATAACAGTTGTGATGTGAATAGAAGCTTGCTCTCTTCAGCTTCTTTACATAATAAATTGTGTCTCTTCTCTGGCGACCTAGTTGTTACACAAGTAGCGTAAGTTTGGTTTTGGATGTAAGTAAGCACAAGGTTCACATCTTAGATGGTGTGGGTGTCATTTGCAATGAAATCGGTAGTGCTGTGTACGAAAAGTAGGATTGAAGCTTGCGCTTAAAGATTTGAGTCAAACACTCGCAATATTTCGCAGAGCTCCTCCATTATCTCATCATTGTAACAAAATATACTAAAGGCATGATGCAATATACAAACTTGATACTATTGAAAAAATTGTTGAAAGCAGACCAACTCTCTTTTTTTATGAAAATGAATTCTTCAGATATCTTTATTGATGCGCTTCCTGTTATGAATGCGTATGAACAGAATGGGGCGAAGATTCACGCCCATGTTCACACTCAGATCCTAAGATATATATATATTCAGTTAAACGGTATATAGTAGTGGCGTCACGATTTTTTTTATCTGGGAGGGGGGGGGGCTGAGGCGGGCTCAAAGAGCATTCTGGAGAGGCTTAACTTCTTAATTAGTGAGAGCTTCACATTTTTCTGTAGGGCTCAGATCCCTCTAGCACCACCCCATGGCGCCGCCACCGCTAGGTATATTTTTAGCTTATTTAGTTTGAAATTATGATGATAAATGCTTTGACCGTTGTATTAATACTGTGATACAGTACTCTGCAATATCAATAGATCAAGCGGTCTAAGACTTCAAGATTTCCATAGGTTTTATCAGAATTCACTTATTCAATCGCTATGATTTCTACTGAGTTATTCAATTAAACACATCATACACTAGCATAGTAAAAATGGCATGTTAATTACAATGAATTTAACCAAAATTATTTATTCTTTCGATTTTATTTGAAGATTAACATAAACTATCGCAATCTTTTACACGTGTCTCCGGATCATGCTTAGATTGATGGTGCAATCAGATAAAAGATCGTCGTCTTTAGCGACTTGCACTGCTTGCTGTAAATAATTATGAGCTTGTTCAATGTTTCCAAGTCCGAATTCGAATCGGCCATAACTATTCAGCACGGTTGCTAGTTCGTCGTCGGATCCTTTTTGTTGAAGAGCCGCTTCAAAATATTGTCGAGCTAATTTAGAGTTCGCATCTTTCCAATACAAGACACCCATATTATAAAAAATGTGCAATTTAGAAGTGATATTTTTGTGCGCGAAAAGTGGTCGTAGTCGTAATGGCTGATTGAGATTCGACGCTGTTTCAAGTTTGACCAATCTCTCTACTTCTTTTAAATATTTTAGGGCCTTCAAATAGTCACCTTGGTCTTCGGCTAACATGGCCTGATGTACAAGGATGTCACAACGAATTTCATCAGTAAGCTTTTCATCCGTCAGCATACGTTCATAAAAGTTACTTGCTTGAGCATGATCACCGAGCTCTGTCAAAAATTTTCCCACAGTTAAGTAGGAACAGTTCCGTCTTGTCTCTTTAATATGCTTTATCAGGTCATTATCTTCATCTGTGCATGATTGAAGCTTAATTTTCCAATAATTCCTCTCAAAATTCATGGATTCTACTCTCCAAACAAAACCTGTGAAAAATAGAACTTCATTTTCGTCAGGCATCGCACTAAGCTCAGTAACGTCTGCATATGGTCTGATTAATTGCATTGTTTTGAAATCGACATGTATCTCAAATATGGCACTTTGGTAATTACCTTGAGCTACCCCATCTCCTGCATATATCCTGGCGATATTATAGCTTGTGCTTGTTGAAAGCAGTCCATTTAATGCAATAACATGTCCTATGCTATCTTTCAATTGTTGTAAAACACACATTGAGATTCTTTTACCGCGGTAAAGCACCATGATACCTTCGATTTGGTTTAATAATCTTTGGTTATTTTCTGTCTGTTCTAATTGTTCATGTAGATCGGATAGATAGCAACCAAACCGATAGAGACGTTCAACATCCTCCATTCGAAAAGCTTTACTAATGAGTCGAAAAAGACATGAGTTTTGAGTGTAATAGTAAATAGCCATGTGTGGTTCATAGGTCTCTGCATATTGCTGAATCCTATTGATTTCTACAGGATCATTTGCATAATCTTCTCGGAAAATGCGCCACATGTGTTGAAAAGAATTTTCGTCATATTCCTTTCTTATGAGTATTTCAATTAATGATTGAAACAGAAGGAATTTCAGGGACTCGATATTCAAATCATATAGCCAGCTATCTTTAGGAACCGTATTGAAACTATCAAAACGTACTGCCTCCTCTTTGATAGTTTTCTCTTCTTCCGCCAGAGTTACAGCAGTTGGTGACGCGGGTGCAGTTTGTTTGAGTAGCTCCTCGACAATACTATTGAAGCTTTTCTCGATATGTGAATGGGCAGAATCAATATTTGCAGAGGAGAAGCCGACATGCAACTCACGTGGTAGTAGACATAAGTCGAGGCGTTGGCCACGATTTTTGACAAGCTTAGCTATGGATTCTGCTTCCTTCTTATTTTTCATACTCAAGATAAGAACTGTACGTTTAATTACGAGCTTATTACCAAGGTAATCCAGTAAGTTTTCTTTTTTGCTAAAAACACGCGAATAAGAAAAGTTCTTATAAAGATGCTTCTTCATTTGACGCATGGTATCAATCGAAACTTTGTGATCATGATACCAAATGCTCATTAAATTTGGATCAGTTACCAAGCTTTCATTGCGAGCCATTTCTAGGTAAATGCTATTGAATACTCAACAGTGACTTTTCTAAAAAATAATAATAAAATAGTTTTTCAATTGATAGATATCGATGTAGTAATTAATTTAATGGTTGAATCTGTAAATTGAAAATTACAAAAAATTATTAAGAAAAATCAAAATTAGTTTTCGAAAGAGAACAAATCTCAATTAAGTTTTCCTTAGATCATCAGAATACAGAATCTTGTCAATTTTTTCTTGATAACACTAGCGCAAAATCTCATGTAGTTCTACATCTAGCGCACGGTGGTAATAGCCAAGTGCCGTTTTCTTATTGGCTTCAAGAGCTAATTTCTGCTATTTTTTGTAATGTATCGATCTTGCTGGAAGTAGATGATTGAGAAGTTGAGACGCAAGCAGTAGACTGAGATTGTTGTTCTACTTCTACAGTCGAATTATTGACGGAGAATGTTGTTGTTTTCTCAAATAACTTCAGTACTTCTGTGTGATTGTTCCATTCAACATACATCAATCCCTTGTTATTGTAACATACAACAGGGTTTATGATTTCAATCTGAATTTGAAAGAAAAAAAGAGCACTTCATTTCAAAAAGAAATGAGAAAGTAGGGGATCTTTTGGATAATTCACTTCAAACCTGAATTCTGAATTCAGGGTGTGGGTGTGGGCAAAGGGGAAAAGCGCGAATTCGGTACTTCGAAGTACGATAGGTGTACACTAAGAGTGCACAAAAGTACAAGGGAGTACCAGATTATTACAAGTGAAGTACAGCGAAGTATACATGAAGCAGCTGGCAGTACAAGGGAAGTACGTGAAATACAGAAGTACCGAAGTTGCGCTTTTTCTCCCTTGGGTGTGGGTGTAGTCTGTTTGTTATCGAATAACCACGCACACACCCCGCTCACTATTCGATTGAAAACGCAATATCTTTATGTTATAAGTCATTTTGTATAGTGTTTCTATCAGAGACCGAAACGAATGGCAAAAGTGCCATTCGGTTCGATTCGGCTTTTTAGGACCGGGATTCGGATTCGGCTTTTTTAGTTTTTCAAAATTGTAATTCGATTCGATTCGACTCAAATTGGGTTTACAGAACATGGCATTTACTATTACATAGTATTGTTGTTTTCAGACTGCCATCTTCTTAGAATGAGAATAGTCTGTTGATCTTCTATAGAAATATGTTGAATAAATATAGTTTATCAATATATATATATATATGACACATACATAAGAATTATTCATTTTTTCCAAGAAGGAATACATAAAATATAAGTTAATGAACACATCTAAGTAGGCTAATTAAAAAAGTTTATTTTCTATAGAACTAAGAAAAATAATGTCATTTACTGTATATGGATCTATATTTAAAGTTGACCGTAGCCATATTTAATAAATAAAGAGGTTGATATCAAGATCCCAATCGCACTGGAGATACATTAAGGCCCCATGCACACCGGATAATATAAAACAAATCAAGCAACGTGATTGGTTAATTCATACTTAAGTCATCTTTTTGAGACGATTTAGTGGTTAATTCTGTTTTATCTTTTTGGTTTGTTTGGGGCCTTAGTGGTTAGTTCTGTTTTATCTTTTTGGTGTGAATGGGGCCTAACACTAGAACAAAGAAAATGATTTTGAATAGCCGAATGTAACTGAAAAAAATGAATCGATTCCATTCAACCTCTTTTCTAGAAGTATCATTCTATTCGATTCGGCAGTTTCGAAGTTCCATTCGGAGTCGGTTCGATTCGCCCGAGACGAATCGAATCGAATCGAATTATTCGGCAATTCGATTCGATTTCGGTCTCAGGTTTTTATATAGTAGAGCATTTAACATGTCTACGTTGGATAGATCAGTTGATCATTTTTTGAATTTTTTCCGAACTCAGCTGTGTTCAGCTTTATCAGTCCACTAATGTTTGAAATCAAATATACTTACATAGTAAATTGTATTGGAGAGGGTGAGTTTTTTTTCTGGTATGTTTGCAATGGCTTCCCATGTAAAAAAATTTAGGGTAGAAATCAGATTAAAATCGATTTGAACAATGATTGAAAATCGATTATAATCATACACCTCTACTCGATTTTTAATCGATTCGGAATCGATTATAATCAAAAATAATCCAAAAAACAAAATTTTCATCGATTATTCCTATTATTTTCGATTATAATCGATTAAAAATTCATGAAAAAAATTGATTATAATCGATTTTCGTACATGAAAAATGGCAAAATTTTTAAGGAATTTTCTTCGCTTTGCATCGATTATAATCAATTTTTTTCATGAATTTTTAATCGATTATAATCGAAAATAATAGGAATAATCGATGAAAATTTTGTTGTTTGGATTATTTTTGATTATAATCGATTCCCAATCGATTGAAAATCGATTAAAGGTGTATGATTATAATCGATTTTCAATTATTTTTCAATCGATTTTAATCTGATTTCTACCCTAAATTTTTTTACATGGGTAGTATCTAGGAAAGATGCTAGATAATTTGTGTGTTGTATCTGGGAATGATCCTAGATGATTGGTGTGTTGTACCTAGGAATGATCCAGATGATTATTGTGTGGTATCCAGGAAAGATGCTAGATGATTGGTGTGTTGTATTTAGGAACGATCCTATGAGTTTGAAGTGAGGTTCCTAAGGGAGATGCCATGTGATCGAAATCAGTATCTCGGAATGTTCCTAGATGATTGGCGTGTTGTACCTCATCGTGATATGGCTTATTTTTCAATCGAGATAATCCTGATGTGGCTTATTTTTCAACCCTCAAAATCATAATATGGATTTTTGTTTAATCCATATAATCTTAATGAGAATGACTTAGTAATCCGGAAAAGCCGATAGTGGATGTTTTTAGAATCCGGGAAAATCTGTTGGAGGTGCATTGGTAATCAAAGCGATGTTTGAGAGAAGGGAATCTCTATATAATCGGGACGAATCTTGGTTGAACTGCATAGGAATCCGGCGGAATCCGGTGGAATGTCGCAGGAAGTCTTTCTGTTACGGCTTTTGTCTATGATCGGTTCCGATCGTTTCCTGAAAATTCCCATGTAAAAATAAATCGCGAAAAATCTGATTATAATTGATTTTCGTGTGATTATAAATCTATTTTAATGGCACTGTTATAACCCTAGTTTAATCATTATTTAGATCGAAAAAATTGATTATAATCGATTATTTTAAAATCTATTATAATTGATTATTGAGCAATCGATTATAATCAATTTTTTTCGATCTAAATAATGATTAAACTAGGGTTATAACAGTGCCATTAAAATAGATTTATAATCACAAAAAAATTGATTTTAACTTATAGCTATCTTGATGGGAATTCATCGATCCACATATTCTCATTCACTTAATCTATGCTTATATTTTTTATTAATTGTAATATATTATCATCTTAAATCCATAGTAATTCATTTCTTATATGGTACTCAAGGTATTTCCATTTTACTGATTCATCGATTTGAATCTATGGTTACGTGTTTTATAAATATTAATCTCTTATTATCTTTTAATCCATTTAATCAATTTCTAGACTATAAACCATTATAATTTATTATTTCCTTGCAATTGATTTTAATCTATTATCACGTTGTAATCAAATTTAATCATTAGGCGCCAAAGGCGTGCTTTTCCCGAGATTCGAACATAAAATCCTAATTTTTTAATGATTTTTTTAGATTCCTAATATTCACAATCAATTGCCTGTGAATCAGAGTCATTCAAATATAGTTAGGTTGGAACCCCTATATAAGTTAATTCCATTTGAGATGGCGCAATTACATCAGACATCAATTAAAATGGATTATAGTAGAAAAATCAATTAAAATGGATTATAGTAGAAAAATCAATTAAAATGGATTATAGTAGAAAAATCAATTAAAATGGATTATAGTAGAAAAATTGATTAAACTTGATCCCCTTGCATACTATATTAGAATTTCGTCCTATTATAATTGATTTCACACAGTTGACTTCGTTAGGAAAACGCTTGTAGTTTAGGAAGTCTTTTACTAATTTTCCTTGTGCTCATCAAGCAATATATAATGACTGAAGATGTGTTTTTTTACGAAAACTTATTTCAAAAATGATTTTCCCATTTGAATAGTCACCATACACAAAAGGCAGGGCCGGCGGAACGATTTCAGTCTAGGGTAGGCTCAATTTTTCAACCAAGACAGGTCTACCCATGTAAAAATATTTGAATTTAAATCAGATTAAAATCGATAAAAAATTGATTAATAATTGATTATANCTGCATACTATATTAGAATTTCGTGCTATATAATTGATTTCACACAGTTAACTTCGTTAGGAAAACGCTTGTAGTTTAGGAAGTCTTTTACTAATTTTCCTTGTGCTCATCAAGCAATATATAATGACTGAAGATGTGTTTTTCTTCAGAAAACTTATTTCAAAAATGACTTTCCCATTTGAATAGTCACCATACACAAAAGGTGTTCAAAAATGAAAAATGAATCAAGAGAAACACTTCACAACGACATCTATACGATAAAAAGTTTAATAAATGTATTTGTTGCAAATTTTACATGGCTGCAAGTTTATGTTTATGATAACTCGAACTGATATTATATTTGATTTTTAATGAATAAAAAAAGTCATTAGAGGTTATTAATGATCCTTGTCTATTGTTCACAAATAGTGAAATAGAGAAAGAACTATCTCTACTGATTTACTGCAGCATTACATCTACTAAAGTATCACTACGACTAATATCGACTGTAAAGCTAGTCTATTTTGTCTATTGTATTTGTAGCTAAGTTATCACATACTGGAATGCATTTATTATTCAACAGATGTATTACTTGTAAAATTTGTGTATTTTCTCTTATATTTAAGATTTTTAAGAATAATTGGCATTATTAATGGCTGTGAAGAATCACGTAAAAAACAAGACGGCTGCTGCACGAGGAAAGCAGCGTGTACCCGAGAAAAGTGAACAAATGATATTGATGCGTGATGAAGCATCACAATCACTCGTGATTGTGAGTGCCGATGATGTTTTGTCCAGTAATAAAGCGTCAAAGTTGTCGGCGGGTATAAAGATAGTATGCGAAAGTGGTTCCGATGAACCAGTTTTTGGTCCAATACTAGCCATTGGTTAGTACACCTACAGCCTGATTCATCTTGTATACTGAATATATTTTAGGAACCCAATTGGAATGTTCGAAAGCGATGTCTACAATTGAAAAAACTCTTGGAAATACTACTGATGATACAACCAAAACAGTTGAAAGTCAACCGCTGCAAGCTACAATTACTATTGAAAGCCATCCTGTTCAATCTACAATTACTGTTGAAAGTCAACCGGCTCAGTCTACAATTACTGTTGAACAAAATATTTCAAAAGAGAACCACGTGAACGAAGATGAATCAAGTGATACTAATATATCAACTTTATATATAGTTGACGAAGAAGAAACTGAAGAAAATATTTCATCAGTTTCAATAGCAGGTACCTCGAGCAGTTTGTTTCTTATGTTATTCTTGGAGTAACATTAAATTTCACATTTAGCATCAACAAATTCTCGTGGTGAAAAGAGATCACACGACGAAAATTCTACAAATTTGGATAATCGAAAAAAACATTCACGTGGTTCTTTAAGCGTTCCATATTCTACATTTTCTGAAAAAGCAAAGGAATGTTTGTCCTTGCAAGCACAAATAACATATTTTCAAGAAGAATGGATGCGTAAGTAAGACGGTCTTTCGCGAGTTATTCAGATCTTATACATACAACGTTTTATCGAATCCAAATGTAATAACTTGCTCTAAGAAGGAAGTGATTATCTTTCCATATGGCGTAGCCTTTCGATTTTCGATTGCTTTTAGAATTTCATATCTCATGATTCTATTCGCCCAAGAAATAAGTTGATATCTATAAGGATAATTAATGTTCTTATAATTCTGCATAGGGATGTTACTTCATCTTTAATTTATGAAACAAATATAAATACAATCGTTGCATTTATAGAATAAAAATAAATAAAATATTTATATTTATAAAAAAAAAGATCTATGAATTATTTATTTCCAAAAATATAGAGGACTCAAAGACTAAACAAATAGTTATTCTCTATTATCGGTAAATAGACGAATACCTAGTATAACAGCAGGAAGTCTTAATCGGTATAATTTCAGATCAACAATATTACTTCGATGAACGATACTATTTGAAAAATGAAACTGATCTATGAAAAGTAAAATAACTGGAAAAATATCTCTGCACACGATTTTAGTCTTTAGTATCATGCTGTCTTCTGGCCTAGTTGATAGTAAATAAATATTAGGCTTTCAAAAAGAAAAAAAAGATTTCTATTATTTAATTAATTTTAATTTTATCTCTAAGAATAAAGAATTTATTTATCTTTATTGTTTAAATATGAATCTTTCTTTATACTGATTTTACAAATATGTAGATAAAAAGAATCTTGATATGTTTTAAAATAAGAATTCATTTTATTTTATAAAAATTAAGATTAAGATTAAATTTATAGTCATCATTCTAAAGCAAAAAATTGAATGATTACCTCTGATTTTATGTTCATATAATCATTTTTTTTGCAGCTCGGCCAAAAGACCCGAAGGTCATTAAATATTTAATTGAAATTACGAACATACTAAGCGGCAGTAATGGTAATCCAGATGAAGATACAGGTGAAATTTTAGAAGGCATCATTCGTGATTTAAAAATGAACGAAAAAGAGTTGCAGTTTTGTCACGGACGTTCTGCAACAATTACGGCAAGGCGAATTATGAAATTTAAATATCCGAATCCTGCAAATGATTTAAAAATTAAAAAGATTGATGAATCTATTCTTACATCGATAATCCGTAAATAACTTTCTCTATGTTTTCTTATTTTCTAATTTTTAAAAATTTTTCTAGGTTATACAAGAATATCGAATCCAAGCGATAAAGTTTCTGAGACAAATATCCGTCATGCCATGAGCAACTATGTTGCTGTACAGAAATTCAAAAATAAAACAAGTTCAATTGCGAAATCAAATGATGTGGTTGAAGAATCGGACCAAAATGATGATTTAAACTCAAGCAATAATTAGTAAACAAGAAGATACACGTGAATCCGAAAGAAAACGTTTTTTCATTCGATTTTCTTTAGCACTACGTCAACTTTCCTTCTTTATTTCGTGTACTATATTTTGTAAAAATATTAGATTTTTCTATTGATGACTCATTATTTCTGAAAGTTGATCATATAGTGACGCAGCTGAAGAATATCGTATTTTTGATTTACTTACTATAAATTAGATTTATTTCGTTTTGTTAAACTAGATGAAAACATTTAAAAATACGATATTATTTCTTTTTGCTTTTATATTTACGTGTTATATTTTTCGTGATAATCAGAAACTGATGCTTTTCTTTATTTAAATACAGTTATTAGAAAACACTATTTTACATAGCTTTTTCTATGCTATATATAATCTAGTTTCCATTTCTATTTATTTATCATAGATCAGATCGATTTTTGACACTTCGTTTTTTCTTAATTATAATATATAATGTCTAGCAGAAGATCAGTGTACAGACATAAAAAGATCCAGCAACAAAACTTAGATATTGGTGAGGCATTTTCTGAAGATTATCATAATCTTATTTAATAGTTCTCAGCTTATGCACTAGCCTGTTACAATATATCTGAAAATGACGAAACTTGCCTTCCGAACCAACATACTCTAGAACATAAGATAGATGATGATGAAGAAACGAAATCAGAAACATCATCTCCAGATTTTGAAGATCTGCTTGAGATGGATGTTTCATCGGACACCAGCGACGAATTTAGCGAACATGATTCTATGGAAGAAGATAACATGGAAGTCGATGAAACCAGGTGCGTTTTAACATCAGCTCAACTTTCATTTAACATAGTAAAACATTTTTCTAATGCTCGTAACAACGCATTTTAATGACAACATTTACTTAAATGATTATACTCGAAATATAAAGCGACACCAGCAGTACATCTATATTCACTTGATATAAAATTTTGAAAAAAGGCTTAATCGAACTACTGCTAATGCAACAAACACATAGCTATCAACGTTTGCATACAATACCTTATGAATAGCTTCATAGCGAAAATACGTGAAAAATATTCGAACGACCACGTCTATTACATAGGATAAAACAAAAATTATCCTGAAACAATTTTTACAGTCGATTGATAATCACCATCGATTTTAATCGATTAGAAGAAACATCGAGTTAAATGCATTTTTTCAAGTAAAATCAGAAAAATCGATTGATAATCACCATCGATTTTAATCGATTAGAAGAAACATCGAGTTAAATGCATTTTTTCAAGTAAAATCAGAAAAATTGATTGATAATCACCATCGATTTTAATCGATTAGAAGAAACATCGAGTTAAATGGATTTTTTCAAGTAAAATCAGAAAAATCGATTGATAATCATCATCGATTTTAATCGATTGAAAGAAAACTGTATTCAAATGCATTTTTTGTCATATTTATCGTGATAGTCGACGATGAAGGTATCGGTTTGCTATAGCTCAGCACGATAACAAGACGCTAAGATAATTTGGAGCCAGTTCAAGATAGGGCCTAGGTTGATATAATTTACTGATAGAAAGTTACTATGACGATTATACTGGAGTGATGAGTAAACTCATTTGAATATTTTTTTAATGCTTTTGATTGAACTATTTATAGGTTTGAATATGACGATTTCATGCCTGAGACAGGTATCACTCCAAACATTATTGCTTGTCTGCTCGTCATGTTCAAACGACGTCATCGTTTGTCTATACAATGTATCTCGGATCTTTTAAAATTATTGTCGATTTTGGGAGTTGATAGTGCACCTCGTTCATGGCATATGTTAAAACGACTGATTACTAAAATTGATGTTGCACCATCCTACCACTATCCATGCTCCAGTTGTTCTGCCGCATCTACTTGTTCACGAAAATGTTCAAATTGTGGTTACAGTTTTTCATCAAATATTCCTCGCGATTATTTTTTGACGTTTTCAGTTAAAGATCAGGTTGAGATTATATTGAGCAATAATGCTGATATCGACATATTTTCATCATCTTTAAACAATCACATAAGTGACATAAAAGATGGAAATTTTTATCATCAGTTAAGTAATATATGTCCTGACAAGTTTATCACACTTACAATGAACGTTGATGGCGTAGAAGTGAAAAAAGGCTCTAAACAATCAATATGGCCTATGCTACTTGTTGTCAATGAGCTTCCAATAAATCGGCGGAATGCTTTTGAAAATGTAATAATTGCTGGTATATGGTCAGGATCCCATAAGCCTTCTCGGGAGCAAATGCAATGCTTTCTGGCCCCTGTTGTTGAACAGTTATCGTTATTGGAACACGGATATCCTTTTTTTGATTATCAAAATTCAGAACGTTTACAGAATACTATTATCAAAGTATTTTTAATTGCTGCCTGCTGTGACAAGCCCGCACAGGCTCTCGTTCAAAACATTGCAGAACCTATCGCAGCGTTTGGGTGTGGTCGTTGCGAACTCGAAGGTATAGTATGAGAGTAGTTTAATATAATCCACAACCGGTCGTATCTAAATTAGTTTTCAGTCTCAATTAAATAGTTAAGACAAACATAAAATATAGACTCGGATAATCAGAAAAACAAATTTAATCAAATCAATCAGATTAAAATCAAAAATAAAATAAAATTTATTGGACTGAAATAGGAGCACATTTTTATTAGTCAAATATTTTCTGACGAACATTCAGCGAGGTAGTTTTTGAGCGTCTATAAAATTTGCGTGGTCTACTATGTACCGTTGGTTAAGAGGAAAATTACGAAGCAAATTCTTGCATATAGCGATCGGTTTTGTTGGCATATGAAGTTAATACTAAAAAGATGTTTGAATAAATTACTTTATTGTTAGGAAGGATGGTGAAGAGCGAGCGCGGTCATGTGCGGTCGTTTTCCATGAACAGAGTCAATTTAGAACAGATTATATTACGATCTAATGAGCGCTACGATACTGTTCTCAGCTTGATACAATACCATGAGCAACAGCAACAGATGAGTACTTTTAACCAACGCTCAAGCAAACAAAAAAAGAAATTATTGAGCAAGTACAAAAAAGCTGAAAAGGGGATTACGGGAAAGTGCCTTCTTCGATCTTTATCCATTTTTGATGTGGGTACTTCGTTTCTGACGGATAGCTTACATAATGTTTATAGCGGTGCTTTTGTAAGCTGAAAATTAAAAAAAATTATATTTCATCTATTTTTATTCATAGAAACGATTACTAAAATTGTGGTTTGACCGAAAATATTCTTCACAAAATTGGAGTATTGCTAATAACATCAATGAGTTGTCTTCTTCATTTCTCCAATTACGTCTTCCATCAACCACAAGTCGACTTCCTAGGAACTTGCTTCAATATAAAAAGTTCAAAGCTAGTGAACTACGTATACTCCTTCTTTTTGGTCATATTATTTTCTCTCAAATTCTAAACGAGGTTTATTATTCTCATTTACTGCAGCTTGTAGTGCTTATGCATATGGCAGAAGCAAGAAAAATTTTACCACAACATCCTCCTATTATACAACAACTATCTCATTCGTTTGTTCTTGACTTTTCCAAGCTTTATACTGTTCGCCATTGTGTGCAGACCGTGCATTCTCTTATTCACATGCCAGCAACGATAAAAGATTTTGGACCACTTACTAATTTTACTACGTTCAACTTTGAAAATATATTAGGTAAAACGGTGAAACTTTTCTTTTTGAGGAAATAACTAACAATTAATGATTATAGTACTATCGAATTGCTATTGCCTTCATAACGAATTCTTATAATAGTTAATGTAAAAGACGGTGAAACATTCAAATTTTAATTGCCTACTGTTAATGTTCCTGAAAAGTTGATTGAGTATTTGACGTACTAATTATTTTCTATGCCATAAAAAAGTCAATCGTTTTTGCAGAAATGCACACTTTAAAATTTTTTCGAAAGCTCAGTCTCAAATTAATGCATTAATAAATACAGGAAGCCAATTTTATATCGATCTCATTCATTACAATCTGAAGTAACTGAAAAGTTGAAATAAAACTGATTTTGACGATTAATCTCGATTGAAACCTAATAATAAAAAAGATTACAATGGATAAAAATCGATGAACAGCGCCCGAATATTTTTTCGTTATTCATAACCAAATTTAAACAAAAGTTGATTTCAATAGAAAAAAAATTTGTAGAGTGACTCCGAAATTTGACTCAAAATTTTTCATGAAGAACCTTTTTTTGAACAACTGCATATACACTTTTATTTCCAACCTAGGTCAAATAACGCGTACCACGAAAAGTACTCGACGTCATTCTGAAGAAATAATTTCAGCACTTCACTTATATCAAGCAGCTACGGTTCATTTGAACACATCATCATTAAACCATCATCTGCTTAGTTTTCTATCTTCTAATCTTGGTTATGCAAATAAGAAAGTAAACTTTCATGTAAAATTATTGCATCACACAAAACAACAACATCATTTGGCGTCTGTTCTCTTTCCTGGTGTTCCTATTACTTATTTTCACGTGCTGTACATAAGACAATTGAGAATATCAACAACAGAGTACTCAAAAAACAAAAAAGCAGATGATAGCAACATCATTTTTCGTCAAAACAATCTTAGTATATTTGGACGCGTTGTTTGCATCTTCTCTGTTGAAAATAGAGAACCGCTTATGTTGGTCAATTATCTTGAAAAAACAAATCCTCTTCTATGCACTACAAGCTTAAATAGTAAAATCATCAAGAGCGAACACATCAGACATGGAGACGATTCTACAGAAAAAGTTTGTCTCATTGAGGTCGCTGATTTTATTGAAAAATCTGTTTACTTCCGATCTTCCGACAGCATGAACCATTATTTCCGTTTTCCTAACCTTTCTCATTCTTCGTAGATTATTTAATACCAGCCTTACAAATACATTCAACTATTTAAAAGAAAATTCTTTTCTAATCAGAACAAACATTAAAACATATCATGTAGATGCCATGCATTTAAAATGATGCAACGACAGAAAAATTGTTCACAATCAAATAACTCAGAACCACAACAAAGCTACGATGGAGACTACATTTACAATACTCCGAGAAAAAGAAGATTTTCTTAAATCACACATTGAGAAGATAAAACTAAACAGATTTTAATGGATTATTCTAGGAATTGATTTAAATAGATTCGGTTTCTTATCAAATATCTAGATTTTTCTCAAAAAATAGATTTTAAAGGATTATTCTAGGAATTGATTTAAATAGATTCGGTTTCTAATCAAATATCTAGATTTTTCTAAAAAAATAGATTTTAATGGATTATTCTAGGAACTGATTTAAATAGATTTAATTTCTGGCCGATTATCTAAATTTTTCTGATTAAAATTGATTTTAATTGATTATTGCACATGAAAATCGGTTTTAATTGATTATTTACGGGAAAGTAATCTAATATTAGCTGTTTTAATCGATTTTTCGAACAAAATCAAATTTAATCAGATTTTTCGCGATTTATTTTTACATGGGTGAGACGGATAGTATTTTATTTGAATTTTTCGCTTCGAAAAACGGTATGAAAGATTTTTCTGTCTGCGTAGCTCGGCGGATATCATTATTTTTACGTGTCAAAATCAAACGAGCTTGCATATTTGAATATGTTGATTCTGAATACTAAAATAAGAGCTCTAAAATGTTCGTCGTTTCTGGAAGAATCCTAACTACTGACAGCACTTCGTTTGTTTTATTAAAGCTCCTATAAAATAGCGCCTTTTGAAAAATTCAGTAGAAGACATTTTTTCTAATGAGAAATTTCAAGTGCTTTACAAATCTGAACAATTGATGCTTAAAGAGTGTAGTCTTTGAAGAAAAACTCCGATTCTCCGGTAGATGTTGACCCTTGTTTTTTGTACATATGTCTTTATCGTGATTACTTTTTTTTTGAAACAAGCGTAGCGTGAAAAATACGAAAAAAACCTGTGCAATATAATTGAAAAATTAAAATATCCGCTGGTCTGTTGCTTGAATATTATGTTTAAATACTTATGTATAGTTATCATCGAGAAATCACATTACTGCGACATTAGAATTTCAATCAAAGGGAATAAAGTTTTGAGTTCTATCGATCGAAAGTCATAAAAATATCTCTCATGTAATGAAACCTAGTAATAGCTTTCATGAACAAAATATTTTACATAGTTTCTATTAAATTTATGTATATTTCTGTGATTTATAACAATAAACCGAATTTTCAGAAAAAAAGCTGACAACATAAAGCCAGTTTTTAACTTTCTCTATTATTGATGTCAGAGTTACATGAAATTATTTGAAAGATGAAATAAATCAGTTGAATTCGTCGAATAGTCTGATGTACGCTGTAAATTGTACAGCAAATTACTAGTAAAGTTTGGTTAGAGAATATTTATGTGGCAAAGATACAAATCTAATCGGGTTTTTATTATAGTGAATCGAGAGTAAAATCTAACATATAGCCAAGTAACGAAACCATTAACTTGTGAAAATTCAAATGTATTTAGATTAGTTATTCGTTTTTGTCTTTCGTATCAAAGATAATATGGCAGGTTGAAATAAAATATATCCATAATATTTTCAATACAACCAAAAAGACGAATGTAACGATTAATAGGACTCTGTTGGGTTTATATCGTAATGACAAACTGGATAGAGGTGGAGTAGCATACCGCCACTCATGACAATGATGTTTATTAGCTTCTTCACATATCCTGAGTGTAACAACTTCATACATAACACACGTATATACTCTCTAAAAAAAAAGGTATTCTAGGAAACTCAGAATAGGTTTCCGATAGTAACAAATTCGGAAACCTTAATAGGGTTTCCGATCAACGGCTTCCGAGGCCTCGGAAACCCAAAACTGCAAATAACAATAACCATCAGAAACCCTATTTGGGTTTCCCAGCTCAGGTTTCCGAAGCTTCAGAAACCTTATTTGGGTTTCCGAGCTCAAGTTACTGAAGCTTCGGCAACCTAACCATACCATTAATAATACCGATAAGAAACCGGCTTCGGAAACGTATAGAAACGCTTACGAGAATTTCCTCTCAACGTTCTTAATCGTAGATCACGAGAGAACGGTAATCGGTCTGCTTTCACTCACAAGGAACTGAGAATGCTCGACATGAGCGATCAGTTTTTGTCGATCGAAATGAATCTCATTATGATCATCGTCGAATGTTTTTCCACGATCTATATATAGAAAAAAAGAAATCAATCTTTTTAAATGATTCAATTGAAACTTACTGAAAACATGTTCCACTGATTGTAACAATCTAGAAGTGTTTAAAAGAGAATTAATTCTTTTGAATTAATAAAATTACACACCAGAACCATCTTCGAATGTATGCAACGATCTAAATATAAAATAGAGAGATAAACTGTGTTAAATTGTTGAATTAAAACTCATCAGAATCATCTTGGAATGTTTGTGACGACTAAATAAAAAAAGAAATGTATTGCTTTGAGTGATTAAAATAAACTCACCAGAGTCATCTTGGAATATTTGCAATGATCTAAATAAAGAAAAAAGAAAATATCGTTTTGAATTATCGAAACAAACTCACGTGAATCATGTTCCAATGATAGCAGCAATCTAAATAAAAAAAAAGAAAGGAATTGCTTAGAGTGATTAAAATAAACTCACCAGAATTATCTTGGAATGTTTGCAATGATCTAAATATAAAAAAATAAATAAATGCTTTCAGTTATTGAAATAAACTCACCGTAATCATTCCGATATGTTGATAATGATCTAAGTCGTAAAACAAATGCAGGAGTGTTTTTTTTATTATTGAAATAAACTCACCAGAATCATTTTCCAATGATAACAGCAATCTAAATATAAAAGAGAGAGATAAATTGCGTTAAATGATTCAATTGAAACTCACCAGAATCATCTTGGATTGTTTGTAACGATCTAAATAAAGAAAAAAAATGAATTGCTTTCAGTTATTGAAATGAACTCACCAGAATCATGTTCCAATGGTAGCAACAATCTAAATATAAAATAGAGAGACAAATTGTGTTAATTGATTGAATTGAAACTCACCATAATCATCTTGTAATGTTTGAAATCTTCTAAATATAAAGAATAGAAATAAATAAATTTTTTAGTTTTAAAATTAAACTCACCATGATTGTTTCTCAATATTACGAAGAATCTAAATGTAAAAGAACAGAAATGAATGGTATTGAATTATAAAAAGCAAACTCACGAGAATCATATGTTATTGTGTCAAATGATCTAAATATTGAAAAACCCAGGAGAGTCATTCCGAGAGTAGGATCCTATCGGATTCCGACAAGGGTCAGCCCGTGAATATACCAAATATCCATGAATTCCAATAAAACCAACAAAATCCTATAGGATTCCGGGATCAGGACCTACAGTCAGATCCATGGTGTAGGAATTCCATAGGACCCAGTGTTGGAAATTAACGGAATCCGACATGAACGAATGACCCTAGTGTTCTTATGAGTAAATATGCATATTCACCCGTAATTAAGAAAATGTTTTTTTCCGTCGGAACCGACCGTCGATCCGTAACCCTGAATCCCATCGGATTCTGTTGAGTGATAGGATCCCATCACATTCGACAGGATCCGTCATAGGATTCATTCACCTGGGAAAAGAATCGAAATATTCTGAGTTTTCGATATGAAGCTCATTAGATGAGTTTGCTTGTGTTTGGAAAGATCTATATAGAAAAAGAAAAGAATATGTCTTACGTATTGAAATGGAACTCACTATTATTATTTGCTCATTCCATGTACAACCTCAATAGAAAGATAAGAAACTGAAATTACGGATAGAGTTATACTTTAGAGTAGCGGAGTTCGTTGTAAATGAGCTGGTGGCTTAGCTGTATTAGATATAAATCACTGTAGCTGTACGTTGTGGCCAGCTTTGAAATCAAGCAAACAATATGGATTAGTTTCTCAGTATGTGTAGGAAGTGATAAAAACTAATAGATATATTAGAAATTAGACATTAATTACGATTGTTGGTTTTGTTTTCGTAATTGTTTTCACAAAATGAATGGTAGTCCGTGATAAGTTAAAATAGTAGAAATTGTATTGTTTATACATGTCATACAATTTACCTTGTCTGGTGCTACGTTTTGAAAAATATCTTGATAAGAATAGTCAATTTCTTATACTTGGCTCTAGTCTAGCTTTTCTGATGATACGAGCGTGTGAACATGTGCAGTTTCAATTGAATGTATAATTTTTTTCTGTACAGAGTAAAACACTTTCAATGAAAACGATGGACACAAAAAAGGAGTTTTAGTTACTATTTTTTCAATAGAAAAATGATTCAATCAAAATGTCATTTTCGTCGAGTAATTCTGAGTCTTTTTCTTTGATGGACTATTTTCTTCAACTAACTGCTCAGAATCATCTATTTGATTGGCTTTTCGTCTTTGTGTAGGTTGATGATTTGTTGAGGTCAGTTGAGATGGTGTTATATGAACTTGATTTGTGAATTGATCACTATCATTTTTTTTGCGAATAACCTGTAAGGTGACTCGCAGATTTAGGAAACTTTCAAAGTATTTTTTCATTGTCATCTTCATTATTTTAAGTTCATCATTCTTATGCGATGAACTTTGAAACATAACTAGACATAGCCGTACAATATGAAATTAACTATGATGCTAACGATCTAGAACAAAAAACGAAGTGATTGTTGACTTGAAATGTTTTCTATAGTTAACCACCAAGTATGACTAGTTAATGCCCAAAATATTGATTCACAGTTCAAATGAGATACGACGAAAGTAAAAATGATGTTAACTGATGTATAGCTTTATCAAAATTGATAAGTATTGAGCGACAATCGTTTAAAATCTGGATCATTAAATGAATTATTTTGATAATCAGTTTTGATTATTTCAGTTTTTTCTTCCACCCGTTCTATACATGCCACCGCAGGAACTTGATATATCGTACGTTAATTGAAAATTACGTTCATTTACATGATATCCGATCACTAAATAACTTTATCTTATAATAAATGAAAAGAACATGATTTAAAAAAAGAATGTAATCTATCACATAGCACGATGCAATATACTAAAAACCAAAACGTGCCTTTAATTTAGTCAACAGCAGATCTCTATATGAATACGGCATATTCCATTCGAATTGAACTGAATAATAGTCCAACATAAGTACATCGACATAGAGTGACACGTGCGTTAGAGCCTTAATCTTTCATTGTTATTAAACTGCACAATAAAAGTGATGAAAATATCAGACGACGAGAATAAATTGAGAAAGACTATTGAAAGCTATTTTCAGAACAATATACAAATATTGCTGAAAGCAAGAATTGCATAGGTTTTTCAATAGTAGTAATTGATTGTTTCCAAAATGTTAACAAAATATTTATCTTCGAATATTCAACATTGAGGTTAAACCAAGAATTTCAAGAAAATACTATATTACTTCGAAAGGATGAAACAGTTTTAGATTTTTAAATTGATGAATAAAAGAACGATTCACACTGAAACAAGTCATATAAAGTAAATAAAGTTTCCATCATGTTAAAAATATGTAAAACTGCGTGAAATCGACGATCGAAAAATAAAAGTCGAACATCTATATTGTTCCTCTGGGACTTGCTGAATTCGAATCAGGCTGGTTTTATGAAGGATTATGAAGATTTTTAAAAGTTTTGAAACCTTTCACAAAATCACAAAGAACTCGGAAACTGATTTCGGTTCTCCAGTGTACTTTTTGATATAAAGTATGGTCGGAAACCGAAAAGGTTTCCGAAGTCTTTATTCGGAAACCAAAAAGGTATCCTCGCAAACTCATTCGAATACCAACTCAGTTTTTCGGGTAATATTAGTTTCCTAGAAAACCACTACGGTTTCCGAGAATACGATTCGGTTTTCGGCATCAAGAAAAAGGTATTCCACAATACTTTAAGGGTGTCAGAATTGGTGTTTACGGAAACCAACAGGTTTCCGAGCCCTCGGAAACCAGAAAGGTATTTTAAAAAACTGTTCTAGTTTTCGGAAACCCACTCGCAACCCATAGAAGTTCCCGAGTGGGTTTCCGAACCGGTTTGGGTTTTCTAGGAAACGGATTTTTTTTAGAGAGTATAGGAAAGAGATAGAAGGGAGACAGGAGAGAGATATTATAACAATGGAAAGAGAACAGAAGGAAGAGGAAAGAGAATCATCGAAGTGCGCCATCAATATCGACACAACGAACTTATCAATCTTCTTAAAATTGATCAGCAACTCAGCCACATCAGATGCGTGACGGTGCATGAGCACTTAACGACAAATGTGTTGAATCTTTAATTACATCTATTGTATTTTTTTTGTTTTCAACTTTTCTTGCGTGTATAGGTCGTAATATAATAATTTTTATGCAAGCTATATATAACGGATTAATAAGAAATGGAATTCTAATTTATACTCTCTGAAAAAAAAGTTGTCATACTGAACCATTTAGAGTTTTAATGGAGGTCTCGAACCTTTTAAGTCCAACAGTTCTGCCTAAAATCATTTTAGGTTCTAGAATTTTTCACTAGAACTTGTAAACGGTACCGAAAACAAGCTCAGTATGACACTATTTTTTTAAAGAAAGCACCAGAATTATACCGTTATGTATTTAAAAGATGATCAACATCTGTTATTTTTATAAATGTGATGATATCGTTGAAGTATGAGCACCAATTTACATACATATAGTGAAGAGTAACGAGTGCTTGTGATTAGAACTTACTATATGACCAGATTGTATGGAAATTATTAGTTCCATTCCATTATAGATGACACTGATACAGGAGATATGGCACTCATGCTCTTGTATAAGACGGCAGCACTCATGTGATTTGTCAGACGTATTAATGAGATTTTAATGAGTTATAAATGCGTAACTTTTTAGATCGAATTTTCTGCTTGCTTTCTTGCCGGATAAAAAATGGAAGAAACACAGACTTTACTATCGACGACAAGAAAATCTTTGGATGATGGTATCGTGAGCAAAGTGAGCCGAAAAGTCGCAAACCTGTAAGCCTTTTTTTTTATATACATAGATCATTCGCGAGAAATTCAATATGAATGTTATTATTTTAGCTTTACCAAACAGCGTCGATATAGCGAACACGATAGTGACAGATATGAGTCGCTCGGTGATCACGTGGAAAATGTTCTAGACGACTCATCTGTTGGTTTTTTGCAACTGGTATGTCAGCACGAAACAATATATTTTTTGTATCTATTATTCGGAATAATTTTAGTTTCGTTATGCTGATTGGATTGATATCGTTTTAACATTGGCTGGGTGGTTTTTTTCTGCATTAGGAGGTGTTTGTTTTATCACAAGTATGATTATCTTTGCGAAACTCACTGGTACATTGGTTGAAAAAGTCTTCACTGAAAACTGCTATGTTCAACAGAAAAATGCATCAATCACAAAAACAAGTAACATTCAATGTCCACTTGGTATTAATATTCATTCGTCTAATTATGATCGATTCGAGAGGTTTGTGACTAAATTAATGATTAATTCAATCTTGAACTTTAATTGTTGCGATTCATTGCTATTTTTAGATTTTGTCATAATGTCAGTACTAACTCATCTCACATACTTATTTCAGACATGTCTGCATTTCGAGCTAAAGTAATTCACCAAGTGATTTGGTTATTCGGTAAGTATTTTATATGCAATATTAAAATTACATCGATCAACGAAGTTATAACTTAGTCGGAGAAAATTCATAAAATCGTGACTTTATCTCATATAGTTGTTTAAAAATTTTAATTTCGACAAATTAAAGTCGCTGAAGTCACTTCAGTTGTATTGCTTTAGAAAAAACTATTGATTAGTTCATGACATGATAAAAAAATTCATCTATTCGCAGTTAGTTTTCCATCGAAAAAAAGCAGACTTCCATAATGTCATACTCTATATAAAACTAAATGTTGAATTTATATACATTAGGCCTAATTTTTCTTCAGCGCTCAAAAGTACCAGCTTCAATTTTTCAAATGTTTGAAATTGTATTCGAGAAACATTTCGTGCATTTTTTCAATGAAAAGCTAACTGAAGACATAAATATTGATAATGTCATGAATCAATCGATGATCATTGTTATGCTAACTAAACTGAAGGTACTGAGATGATATTTATTTATCAAAGTTAGAAATTTTTTCACAAGCATGCGGCGAAGTTGCAGATTCTTCAATTATGCCTGATACAACTGTACATTCTTCGAATACGGTAACTTCGATACAATATAATCATATACATATATATCTATGTTCATATGACTGAAATAAAATATTCTGGCTTCTTAATTTACAGTTATTGCGACTTTTCAATTTGTATGCTTGTTTTTCGAATATTATGCACCAACACTGGCTGCCAGACGACAAGTCTCACGCATTAGTGTGCTACTCTTTCGTTCACTTCTTCGGCGAGTAAGTTCGATTTAGCTTACAGCAGTAGATATTGCAGAATCCAAGTAATTGCTTCACATAATTTGAAGATAAACAAGTTCTTCACCAAAGAATTACTATTGAAGAAATTTGAAATAAATTAAGTGTTATAAAGAGTCTTAATTTAGTCTGTGCCATGTAACACTTCTATGAGACAGTACTAGTGACAAGTACTTTTTTTAAGAACTGGTACCATTCATTCGTTTCCTTTCAAGAATGCTGTCCCCAGAAGGATTGTTTTCAATCAGACTTTTTGTTTCTATTTTACTGATGACCAACTTTATTCAGGCATTGATCCAGTTCGCATAAAAGCAACTTTCTAGTGCGTCCAGTTCTTCTCAAAAGCGCTGAGAAAATGATAGCAGCTCTTGCTCTCGCTTCACTAACTGTAACAGGTCTAGTCTCAATCGTTGCTAGTAATCTTCTATTAGTACGAACTGGTAGCTAGGTGTAATCATTTTCAAACCTTGTCAGGCTTTCTTTGATAAAGAGTGGAATTACACAGCGTTATCTATCAGATACAACTCACCCACTTTTCCTGAACTTGAAACATAATTCTAGAATTCAAATTTACTAGGAATTTTTATTTGCAATTCTTTGAAAAGAAAACAACTGAAAGTTGGTGATAATTAAATCCCCTTACTCTCTAAATGCTAACTGATTCACCAGTCTGTTGAAAATCGAAACTAAATACTACGAGAATAAATTCATGGAAACTGATAATGAAAAGAAAAGTTTCGTATATGATTGAAGTACACAATTTTTGCTTTTAGTACCTTGGTGAGTACGCAGTAGTATCAGTTCAGATACATATCAAAAGTTGTATAAAAAGCACTTATATTCTCACAGGGAAAATGTAAAAGATAATTTATTTTATTCATTACTAATGTATAAAATGGATAGGCTATAACTCATGAAGCAGCAAAAAGACACAGAAGATAAAAATAGCATTCGATGTTTAAGTTTAGTGTCTGTAGGAATGCTCAAATTTCTGTAAAAACAGGGTACTGCACGAGTCGTGGTTCTATATGAGACAATGTGCACCCCTCCGATGTAACACTGGAATAAAAAGTCAATTACACGTGCACATGTTGCGTTAGGCAGTCGAGTTACATTCATATTCTCGTACGATTAGCAAATAAGTAACACTCATCGAAAATCGATTTACTTGGCTCTACAGTAATGTACTATATACTTACATAGAGTTACAAAGAAAAACAGTGATAGTTATTGAGTAAAACAATGACTCAATAGAAAAATAATAATGATAAAAGAAATTTGCAACTATCTATTCTACCAACAAATTTTTAGAATTGTAATGAGAAACTGTTTTCATCTTTTCTAACATAAGACTCTCACTTTCGTCAGTGAATTGAAAAACTTTTCACGGTATCGAATTTTTTTTCATCTATAAATTTTTCTAATTTATACTACATCTCAATTAATGATACTTAGTACCACCCATGTGACCGAAACCGGCAGTTAACCGGCAAATAACCGCGGTTTACCACCGGTTATTTGTGAACTGAAAGAATCTTAGTATGGGATTTGCTTTTAAATTTACGTTTACCAGAAAATTTTCAAAAAATCTTTTTTTAGTTTATCACCAATTTCACATAATGAAAGTATACACAATACGATAGACATACAATTTCACGAAAGAAATATTTCACTTGAATAACACATACAAGTAAATTAGAGACAACACACGAACACAAAAAACTTTCTGAATAATCAATTAAAAGCAATTTTAACACAAAGTAGAAAAAAGTATAGTAAAACATATACTTCTATATCTAATTAAGTGGACGATCATCATCTGTCGTGACATATTTTACAATAAAAGAAAAGAAAACTATACATAATCATATTAGTCAGTGACCATCATTGATCAGATTCATTTGAATCCTGATTGGGAACTGCATCAGCACGTCTAGAGGATATTTAACTTTTCTTCAAATTTCGTCGTTTATTTTAAAATAGCTTATATACAAACTGAATTTCCTGTTGAACAACAATATGAGAAACAAATATATATCTAGAAAGACAAAACAAAACAAAAATATTCAACCTATAAAAATAGGACAATTTTTATTTACCATAGAAAATTAAATATTTCGTAAATGAATTTCCTGTTGAATAAACCCAGGTGGATGAATCCTAAACCGGATCCTATCGGATCTGGTAGGATCCGAAGGTCCGACAGTCGATCCGTCACCGGGAATCCCGTAGGATTTCATCGTTTTATTGAATTCCTTATAAAATCCGATGAGATTTCCGTCGGAATCTGATAGGATCCTACCATCGGAATGACTCTTCTGGGAATAAATAAATATCTAAAAAAAAGGAATTTATCGTGAAACTGTTTTCTTAAAAAGGAAAAATATATTATTTAGAAGAAAAACAAATTAGCTGAGAGTAGTTGCTAAGTGCATCTTCAAATGAGTTGTTCATTGTGCAAGGTTTACCGTGAGTTGTTGAATCGCCAAATTTGAGAGTAATACTTTTGAACGGATCAATCTATTCAATACGGAGAGAAGAGAAAATGTAGAATGTAACCATTAGATTCTAACGGTTTACCGTTATACAGTGCCCTCTAGCACACATTCTTTTTTTATATCTGAGAAAAATGTAATGAGGATTAGTTAGCGCTCTGTGTTGATAAAAAGATGGAACCATGGTGAAGAAAAGTATTTTTGGTATAGATATCCGGAAAACCGAATTTAGAGATAGAACCGTCGGAAAACTGTGGTAGACTGCCGGTATTTTTAATAACCGGAAGAAACGGACGGTTAACCACCGGTATTCTCGAAACCGCGGTATACCGGCGGTATCTATGAAAAAGTGACGACATGGGCACTGCTTCCTATGAAGGTTCTACATACTACAGTTAATAAATAGGGTCAATTGCACCATATGTTTTATGTCATATGTGTTTTATGAAGATAGAGACAGGCAGACAAACATACGCACATAGTGGCGGCGCCATGGGGGGCTAGGGTGGGCTGAGCCCCCTCAGATTCTGTTTGAGCCCCCCAGAATTTTTCAAAATTTTGATAAAAAAGCAGCTGAGCCCCCCCCACCCCGCCACCCCAGAAATTTTTTCAGCCCCCTAGAAAATATAAGCGAGGGGCTCAGCCACGCCAGATCAAAATTTCTGGCGCCGCCGCTATACACACACACTTACATTATCGTTGATAGCCCTTATCATTTTAGTCTAGGGATGAGTTTTGCTGATTTTAGTGTCGCAACATTTCCGAAGTATAAATTTATAATTTGTATAAAATTTATCTGTTACTGTTTACTGGTCTGTCATTGAAACAGGCGTGCTGGTTCTTTTTATTCATACTATTATTCGAATTCATTGAAGTTATTCACCTCTTCATTGATACTTGAACTTGAATCAGTCAACTTATGGTCTTGCGTTAATCTCAACTTCAAATTTTCACGTTTAATTTTCTAAAGATTGTAAGAATAAATCTTCGAGAAAAGAAGAAAGCTTTCGTCTTTACAGCTCGACCAGAAAGATATATTAGCGAAAAATATTTTCTATTCTTACGAAGCTAGTTGTTGCTCTCTTATATTTTTACATGGGCGATGACTCTTGTCTGATGCAAGAAAGAAAGAAAACTGTAGGTAAAAACTGTAGAATCTCTTAAAAATTTCATCTTTTTAGAAGTTTATGTTTGCATTTCTTTTTTATCTAGAAAATTTCTTACTTCGATTTGGGTGCAACTAGTCAGCTGAACAGCAAACTATTTGAGTACTTTAGTTCTAAATTATGCAACGTGCATTATTTTTGCGTTGTCTTTCGTAGTAATATTGACAAAATCGGCAAAGGCATCGGTTTCGAATTGGCAATGACAGTTGACGCAATAATAAATGCCATATTTGGCATTGGCGTGGCTATCTTTCTCGATTGGAAGTTGTCGTTAATAATGCTATGTTTAATACCACTAGTCATCGTCGGTTCAAGCATTTTTTCCAAGGTATACACTTTTATTTCGAATATATATGACTTCTATATATTAGAACAGTTTGTAGCTAAAGAAACAATAAATCAGTTAAAAGCATATTCGAAAGCAGATGAAATTGTTCAAGAAGTATTCAGCTCTCTGCGTACTGTCTTGTCGCTTAATGGTGGCAAGTTTGAAAAAAAGCGGTAAGTTATATAAACATACTGAAATAATCCTTTCTGTGGCAAGAGAAGCCTTGTGACATGAATTATCTTTAGATATCAAACGAATTTACTTACAACTAGAGAGAGTAATATTCGCAAAGGCATCGCGCTTGGTATTTTTTTTGGCTGGAACTGTCTTATACTTTATGTGATATACTTCGTTGGCTTTATAACAGGATCATATCTCACGTACACAGAGCATGAAAAAGGAAGCATAGGTAATATCATTGCCGTAAGTTATTCTCTCGGACATTTAATGATAATGAATATAATATATCTCTATTCGTGCACAGGTTGTGATGATTTTCGCACAAGATATCAGTTTTATTGGTTATGTCGGCCCGTTCTTGCAATCTCTCGCAGAAGCTCGTGCTGCAGCAACAGCGGTATATCGACTAATTGAAGAGGTAAATTTATTTCACACTATCTTTCTTATCCATTGACTACAGCGCTCTCCATTTACATATACAATCTAAAAATTCAAGGAAAATATCACTGAGATGCAAATATTGGATGAATACGAGTCAGGCCACAAATCAACAGATATAAATGGTGATATTCAGTTCGAAAATGTGAATTTTGCTTATCCAGCTCGAAAGGATGTGGAAGTTATACGTCATCTTGATTTAGTGGCTCGTGCTGGCGAGACAACTGCATTGGTGGGCAAAAGTGGCTCAGGTAAATTTTTTTTTCTAAAGAAAAATATGTCTATGGCACGACAATCGTTAAAATAAATAGGGAAGAGTACAACTATATCATTGTTGCTTCGTTTCTATGAGCCCATACTGGGTCATATTAAGATTAACAATCAACTAATCTCGGACTACAACATAAAAAACCTTCGACAAAACATAGGAATTGTCAGTCAAGAGCCGGTAATCTATTCTTCATGTTTATATATTCTTAATATTAGTTTTAAAAATAGTATCTGTTTGGTACCAGTATTTACAATAATATTCTTTATGGCAAAGAAGATGCGAGCAATATAGAAATCGAAGAAGCAGCGAAGCAAGCCAACGCTCATGATTTTATTATGACACTGCCCAATGTTTGTATTGCATATCTATATTTTTAAAAATAAAAATGAAAGTTCTTCTCGTTGTTGTTGTTGTTGTTGTAGAAATACGAAACACTCGTTGGAGAGTCTGGTGTTCAACTAAGTGGTGGTGAAAAACAACGCATAGCGTTAGCTCGTGCTCTTGTTAAACAGCCCGCATTACTCCTACTAGACGAAGCAACCAGTGCACTTGACAATGTCAGTGAGAGAATCGTCCAAGAAGCCCTAGATCGAGCCAGCATTGGTTTTTATATTCCTTGTCATTTTTCACTTCTAAATCATTATTTATAGGCCGCACGACAATTGTTGTATCTCATCGTTTATCTACGATAAGTAATGCACATCAAATTTATGTTTTTGACAACGGAACTGTGATTGAGCATGGTACACATGAAACACTTATGGCAAATGAAGGAAGTGCATATCAAGAATTATTTCAAACACAACAGAAAGAGCATATGGAAAGTGACAATTATCAAAGTACTAGTAAAATATGTGATGAAAAGCAAACTGGTATGTAATTAGTTTTTGATTAAATTGTCATGTACAACGAATAATGTAATATCTATTTGAACAGTTGGACTTCCGTGGTGTCATAGTGATGAGCAGAATACTATAAAAGGAGAGGTATGTTTGAAAATAGAAGAATTTATGATAAATCATCATCAGAGACTACTTTTCAGAAAAGATTATTGTCGAATCGATGGACTGACTTTCGAAGATTAGTGTCTATGAATAGTCCGGAGAAAATTGCTATTCTGATCGGTTGTTTCGCGTGTTTAGCTGCAGGAGTAACTCAGCCAATATGTGTCGTTCTATTAGCAAAGATAATCCAAGCAAGTTATTCATTCATAGAATTTTTATTTTATGATAATAAAATTTTATCTCATTATTGCAGGGATTCGAAAGTTGCACTAGCGCTGAACGTCAGCATCAGGTTCTCATTTTCAGCATCATATTCTTATTGTTAGGTGTTGCAACATTTGCAATTCGTTTCTTACAAGTACGTGTTTAACTGAATAGAGAAATCATTTTTCATCATTATCGTGCGTAGTTCACAGCTTTTGCCGTATCGGGTTCAAAATTAACTGAACGCATTCGTGTCAAAACTATTGAATGTCTTCTTCGTCAGGAAGTTGCTTATTTCGATCGACCCGAAAATAGTTGTGGTGCTGTTTGTACTCGCCTCTCCTCTGATGGATCGGCTGTGCAACAAATGACTGACCCTCGATTGGGAATATTCTGTGAAACTTTTTCTATGTTCCTTATTGCAATGATACTTGGATTTTTCTACAGTTGGCAAATAGCATGCATCGTCTTCTTGTGCATTCTACTGATATGTGTTCTCGGTTACATTAATATTAGGGTTCAAGATCAACTATCCAAACATTCTGGGATGTTACAAGAACGCGCGGGCTCAGTAGGTTTTGTCTATTCTAGATTATCTATGTTGCATAAAAGCAATAGTTACTTACTCTGTGTCTTACATATCTGTTTCTCTATTCAAAAAGATAAGTATTCATTCAAATATTTTTCTTTTGTACAGCTGGCTGTCGAAGTTCTTCACAATATGCGCACCATAAAACAGTTGACAATCGAAGATGTTGTTTTACAACAATATTCTGATTTCATCTGGGAGAAATTTAGGTGAGTATTCTTATTTATATTGTAAGAAGTTAATCGGTAATTTCGTTTTTCAGAATCACCCGAAATTATTCGATAATAATTGGATTAATCATGAGTGGTATTTGGGCCATGATTGCATACAACATTGCGATAATATATTGGTGTGTTCTTGTACTTATCGAACACAACGAAATGAAAATGAACGACATCATAAAGTAAGAAACTCTCTAAGAAATAATCCTTTACTGATAATATTCTATGCTAGAGTTTTCGCTTTTGCTATGTTTTTCATTCAATCTATACGTAGCGTCTTGACCATGTAAGTGATTAACGTCATACATTCTGCCTACATTTCGTTCTCTTTTTACAGGATTGAGGACTTTGGTACCTCTCTATCTGCTATTCATTCTTTTTTTGAATTATTTGATCGAACGCCACTTATTGACAATGGTTCAACAACAGGTCAAGAACTAGTCAGTCACTATTGAAAAAATGCATCAAGTTATGCATATGTAATGTTTTCATTCATTCCAAATTTCACATATAGGTTGACTTTCGTGGTCAAATTGATTTTGTTCAAGTCAATTTTTCATATCCCACTCGATCACAAGTACGTGTGTTAAACAATTTTCAACTCTCCATCCAGTCAGGTAAGTAAGACACGATATTATGAGTCATCTATTTTGGCTTATTTACTTTCTGGATCAGGTCAACGAATTGCTCTTGTTGGTATGCTTTGACGAATAACTATTTCTCCCCATCGATAATAAATTGTTATTTTTATAGGCGTTTCTGGTTCAGGCAAATCAACAGTTATTCAACTTTTAGAACGATTTTATGATGTTACAAATGGTAAATTGGTAAAATACTATCCATTTCAGATGGCAACATTTTTAAATGAGTGTTTCTTTACCAAATATAGTGCATTGATGGAGTCGATATTCGGCAGCTAAATATACATTGGGTTCGATCTTGTTTTGGTCTTGTCAGTCAAGAGCCGATCCTCTTCGATTTAACAATCGCTGAGAATATAGCATATAGTAGAGATGATGCATCTATCATCGACATAATTGATGCAGCTACCAAAGCTAACATTCACGAGTTCATTCAAAATCTTCCAGAGGTACGTTTAAAATTTATACTTAACGTCTTTTTATTTTTGTTTATGCCATCAGGGCTATCAGACAAGGGTCGGAAGAAAAGGTAGCCAGCTGTCTGGTGGTCAAAAGCAACGTATTGCTATTGCTCGAGCTCTTTTTCGTCGGCCAAAAGTATTGCTACTTGATGAGGCCACAAGTGCAATGGATTCACACAATGAAAAAGTTCGTTCGTTACTATTTTCTAATAAAACACTCAGCGATTGTTTATAGATTGTGCAAAAAGTCCTTGAAGAAATTCAAACGAGTAATCCTCATCAAGCATCACTTATAATTGCTCATCGTCTTTCTACCATTCGTTCATGTGATCTCATCGGTGTACTTGACAAAGGATATCTGGTCGAATGTGATACACACAACGAATTGATGCAGCGTCGTGCAGCCTATTATCGCATGGTTTCTCGAGACAGTGAAGAATTATAGTATTGTGTCTATCCGTAAATAGAAGATTAATAAAAATATTGAAAAGCACCTATTAAAGCTTTTATTTGATTACTTTAACAAACCGATTACTTCCTCCTTCCCACAGTAAAAGACCCAGCGTCCTATATTATGTTTTAGCATAAATATCTTCAAGAAGGTCTCCCATTAAGTTCCAATTTGTTTTTCTGAAGACTAAATTAAAATAGTTATTAAACAAGCAAAAGCAATTTTTAGGATTTCCATAAGGATATTCAGGGTTTTAAGGGTATACGTATAATTGTGAATATACTCTCTTAATATTTATAGCTGAAAGCACTGACAATCAGGTATATTTTGATGGAGAAAAACAAATGAAAATTCCTAATTATCATAAAGATGAATTAATTAAAGATGGATTTTCTATAATGAGGGGGCGGTGGTACAACCAAGACTTCACATAGAAATAGTATGCATCCCATTATGTATATGATTCCACCTTTTTCAATCAACTACACAAAACATTTATTGCATGGTGGAAAAAGCACTTAGGATATGAAATGTCAACGTTGAAAAACGCTACAATTAGATTGATACGAAATATCAATTAAATCCTCGAAGAATATTTAATTTATAGGAAACCACCCACAACTATCTTGGAAGCAACACGTACAAACTAATAAGTGATCAGTAAATCTTCATCCCAGCAACGAAACGAAAAGCAGATCGCATCCGAAACTTATCTGTCAGTCGTATGAATGAATTTAGTAATAAAACTTTCAATTTTCTGCATAAATTCTGTATTTCGAGTCAAACATATCTTTCATAGGAAACTGTAGATGAAACTGATCTATTATACGTTATAGGGAACCAATCTAAAATCATCCTGAATTTTGCAGTTGTTCTATACAAATGAAGCCTAGAGACTAGAAAAATAGAGATGATTTCGAATATACCTGATGATAACTCGTAAACAAGATCGAAATGCACCGTATTTTTAATCGTGTAGGACGTTAGTGACGCCATTTCTGAACTGATACAGACCATTAAATTTCATCTTTCAGATAACCTCACTGATCCACCTGGCTTGGTTTTCTTTGACTTCCATGCTAATTGAGAAATTTTCTAATGAATTAGGCGATCTCATAATATATTTTAAACTTTATTCTGCAACATTAGATTCTAAAGATGACTCATGATTACAATGTAAGTTGTCGAAACGCGTCGTATTCTACTCTGAATCTAAAGTATAATAGCATGCATGATATGAAAAATATGTAAACTAAGCGATTGAAATAGAACTCTTGCTTCGACGGTTCTTTAGTAAATAAAGAATTGGAACTTATTTTTTCAAGATTTATTCAAGTGATTAGCATGTAAGTTAGTTATGAATAAAGTAAGGTCCATCTAACAAAGAGGCAATGCAACTTCTCAATCTAGTAAGTGGGTAGAATGCTACATCTAAAGTAATTGTCAATATTATTTTCAGAAGGATTATTGTATTTGTTGAGCTGGAACTCCTGACCAGTGAGTATTGTAAGGTAGCCGATCACTTTTCAATACCAATGTAAGCGGAAAAAGACGGTTTCGTCCATCGAGTGTTGATCCAGGGAACACCAATGAAGCACTCATGAGAACACTTGAATGATGAATTGTGACTGGTGCTACTTTGAAGACACGCTGTTCAAATGTGTGACACTTCAAAGAAAATAAACAATAATTCCTATGATGGTATAGTGAGATGAAATGTTACCTGAATGCAAGCTCCCGTGTTGAAACGGACATGATCTCCAATGGTCACAAGCTGAGGATCAGTCAGACATTGTCTATCTGATAAAATAACATCGTGACCAATTCGAGCACCTAACGCACGATATAGAAAAACCAGAAATTGTGTCCGACAAATGAATGGTGCTATAAAACGATCAAAATCATCTGTAATGCTATTGATAAGTGATGTGATAGGATTGACTATTTCTGAATACGCAAACTTTCCAAGTATCCTTTGATTGAATGTTCTATAGCGTTGCAGTACACAGAATAAAGTTATTTGCGCAAAAAGTGCAGTAGGAGCCGCCAGAAACCAGTAAATAACAATTAAAATACTCTTGCCTATAAAGAAAAACATACATGCAGCGAACAGATCGAAAAGACAAGGTGACTCCAATGATAATGAATTGTCGCTGTAAAGTGCATCATTGGTGATTGCAAAAGATACGGAACGACCTGGAATACCTAGTAAGACCTTACTAGTATCAAAGTATTTTGTATCTTTGTTTATTAAAGTCAAAGATCCGACGACCTTGTTCTCACGAAGCTTTGTACCCGGCATAATTGTACAATAGTTTCCAAGATTCGCTGCCTGTCCAAGAACTATTTGGTCAAGAAAACAGTGTCCTGATTGCATCAACTCTAGCGGAACGAACATAACTGCAGAAAATGTTGTTACGCCATGATTAAGTTTGAGAAGATTTGATGGAAAATACAATAGTGGTTGCAATTCTGCTAATTTCACATCATCTTCAATATCAGCGCCTAACCACCGAAGTAAATAATTTGATAGTGTACTATATACGGGTAAGACTTTTATAGAATGTTGAAAAGACGATATAATCAATTGGCGAAGCCACAATTTATGTAAATAGTAACAGGAATTTATTCTATACTGACCAGGTTTTGTTGAACCTACAGCAAACTTAAGCAAAGCTATAACTACGAAAAGGCCAGAAAGGCTCCAAAAAAGCCAAATAAAGGCAAGATAGATAGGCAGTGCTATCTTGAGTGGTGCATAGGATGTATAAACCAGGAGGGTTACATTCAGAAGAATTAAATGAATATAGCCAAGGCACACCAGACAAATAAATTGATAGATTATGTGATGCCATGCTAGAGCTCTGCTCTCGATTGATAAACCAATAGCGGAAGGGAGGATATTACCGGTTATGGAAGTCATAGGCTCTATAAACACACCATCTGACATCTTAACCCCTTCATATAATACACAACGAGTGCCAATGGAACAATTGCATCCAATGCTAATCTTTTGGAGTCTATATGATTGATCATACAACGACAGAACAGACAATAATGTCTCGCTGCCAATGTACGTCGAATCCCCAATTTCGAGTAACCATGGAGCATCAATTGCTGTTGTATAAATATGAGCATGAGAACTGATTTTGGCACCACATAGTCGCAAATAATAATTGTAAAATTGTGTACCTAGTAGATGCTGTAACCAATATGTATTGTTGATTGACCAAAGACGATCTAAAAACCACCAACGATAATATCTCCCTGAATATAAATTATCAGTTTCATTCTGAATTTGATCGTTTCCAAATAGAATCAATCGAAACGCGACGTATGATATTAGGTGAAAGATAGGCACAAAAAGAAGAAAATACATATTCGGGAGCTTATGTGTCATCCAGAACGGAAATAACCACTGGCATGCGAGAAACAAAATCCCGCAAGTTTCAACTAACACAGATGGTTTCGGTTGAATTCGTTTTTCTTCTGACGGATCTGGCATTGCATCTGCAGAAACTTCTTTTCTAACCGGTAATCTGTTAATGACTTCAGCCAATTGGTGCACTGATGGATTCGACAACAAAATACCGATGTTAACGTTTTCATGAATTTCTTCTCGAATTATTGACACAATTCTTATTGCATCTAATGAAGTACCTCCCAGTTGACCGAACGATACATTTATGGCTGGAGATTCTTTACCAAGAACGCGAGAAAAAATCGATTGTATTTGTGTCTCAAGTGGACTAGAAATTATCATAGAAGTAGTATCAGAATATCGTAATTTTGAATAGTCTGGCTTTGGTAAACATTTTCTATCAACTTTTCCGTTCGAACTGATAGGGATCTCATTTAATTTGACAAATAAAGACGGTATCATATAGGAAGGTAACTTGGTGGCTAGATATTTTTGTAACATTTGTATCAAATGTATTTCCTTATTTGAACTCGATATTATTTTGTCTCTTTTCTGATCTTCACCTATTTTTCCAATAAAAATTGTATGCAATAGCTTGGAATGGGGTTTGAAAGTAAGAATTTCATCTAATGTATTTAGTACTGATTTATCACATAAATTAGAACAAGTCTCGATGGGACACATTCCAATATTGTAACCATTATTGTCCGTGTCATTCTTTTGAATTCCTGCATCCATCAAAAAATGTCCAATCTTTCCTGCTTCTATATATTGGTTCGCTTGACTAACAATAAATAAAGCAACTTGACAACTCATAAATATGGCATCAGTTTCAGTTAAAACAAGTGACTTATGTTGCGAGAGATTATGTTTCGTAGAGTAGCAAGAAAGTTTTTTTAGTTTTGCTGTATGATTTTCGAGCACATACCATTGATTTTTATCAACATTTTGACTGTATGAAGATCGAAAACAAAGATAACATGAAGGAAAATCACTAAGTTTTGGCTCCACGGTTTCTTCATCCATCACAACTGAACACTTAAGAGAGAAACAAGAATGTGTATCATTTGTATGCAAATTTATGAATGGCGAGTACTTTTCTCTATCAACGCTATATACTTGTTCAAAGTGCCATCCCATGGTAAGAGCTGTTTTCTCTAATAAACCAAAAATATATCCAGTTTCTAGTAAGCATAATGCTGAGACTGATTCTTCAACATATAAAGACAGACTAGCCGATTGTCTTCCAACCAAATGAAATCGAATACCATTGTCATTGTTGAGATGATCATACGAACAATCATAGTTGTCTTCACCTATATTCTCGAGAGAGTGTTCATCAGGATTATGATAATAAAAACCAGGCTCTATATTATCTATCTTTGAAGAGAATTCAACAAAAACTTGTATAGGATAGAGACTTCTAGCGGATGCATAACGATACTTTGGTAAAGTTCGGTCAGGAAGTATTAAGCTAGTTAAAGCAGCCAGAAGTCGACTCAAACTATCATAGTCACACAATGTTGGAGACGATGGAAATGTGGGTTTATTTAATGGAATAATCGATTTTAATAACATTTCAACTTCTAAAATTGTAATCGGCTGATTTGTAAACTGTCGATAGCTTTTGCGAGCGAAATAAGTATCTACCAACTCTTCGGTTTGCTCGGGTCTTCTCAAGTAGAATCTCTTTTTTAAAGTTTTTGAATTCAAATAGTTATGTCTTGCAGATTTTAAACCGGTACATTCATTTGAATTCTTGATAAAATTTTCTGATATATTGTAGTGGTGTTGTTGAGAAGCATGGTTGTAAGGTAAAACATAACCAATTAGATTATGTGATTGTTTATCGAAAGTTACGAATGCTTGATTAATATCTGGATGCTGTTGGAGATTATATTCAATATCTTCTAGTTCTATTCGATATCCGTGTAATTTCACTTGGAAATCGGTTCTTCCAATAAATTCAATATAGCCATCTGGAACGAAACGTCCATAATCTCCAGTTCGATAAAGCCGTTCACTAGTGTGAGGGTGGGTAATGAAACTAGCATTGGTCTTTTTCTCATCTTTCCAATAGCCTTTGGCCAGACCAATACCACCGATATATAATTCACCAGTGACCCATTCAGGACAATCACTTAGATCAGAGTCATAAACATAGTAATGCTGATTACGTAGTGGTGTTCCATATGGAATTGATTTCCATTCGGTTGGTATATTTTCAGGTAGTGTATAAGCTATAGACCAAATGGAAGCTTCTGTAGCGCCACCTAAGCTTGTAATTATGACGTCATTACCAAATGTTGTTTTTATTGATTTTGGCAAGGATATTGGTATCCAGTCTCCACTTAATAAAATATGTCGCAGTTGGTTGCTACTACTTTTATCATGCAAAAATTCGACTAGCATTTGCATCAACATAGGTACACTATTCCAAATTGTTACCCGATGTTCAAGAATTAATTCATACCAATGACTTGGATTTTTGTAATCGTGATGATCGGGTATGACAACAGTTGCACCTGCACTCAAGGCTCCAAATATATCATAAACGGACAAATCAAAGTTCAAATGAGATAACGCAAATATTCGATCAGTGTCATTAATATCCAGTCGAGAATTGATATCAAGAATTGTGTTGATAACAGATTCATGACTAATCATAACTCCTTTTGGTCTTCCAGTTGAACCAGATGTGTAAATAACATATGCCAAATCAGTTGCCTTTTGATTTTTTACGAAAAATGTGGTAGAATAGCAGTCCTCAGTCAGAAATGTATCCACTGATATGCAAGACAAATGGTCGAATTTGCGCTGTTGATTAGATTGTGTAAGAATTATTTTTACATTACTTTCTTCGATCAAACAAGATATTCGGTCGTCAGGAGAATCAATGTCAAGTGGTAAATAAGCAACTCCACACATTAAAATAGCCAAGCAAGCTACTATTTGTTCCCAACCTTTCTCCATTAGAATTGCGATAAATTGATGATGTGTCGCCATTTGCTGATGTAAATAATTTGCCATAGAATAGACACGGCTCATCAATTCTCGATAAGTAAAAGTTCTACGTGATGATAGAACAGCTAAAGCATGAGGTGTGCGCTCTGCTTGTTCGATAATTAATTCATGAAGTAGAGTATCCCGTCTACGAGTATCCCATTTGGTAGAATTAAATGCAAACCGATGTTCTTGCTGACTGAGACTAAGAGAAAATTTGTAGGGCTGATGCCAACTTTCATCCGATGATGCGAGATGATGAAGAAGATCGATAAATGCATTGTGCATATCATTTATCATGTTTGTTGGAAATAACTCATCAACATAATCCCACACAATTCCTAGTCTCCCGTCTATTTCTTCATAGATTTGATTATCTAGAAATACTTGCGGTGTCTGAGCTATAGCATATATTGGTGGATCGTGAAAAAGATGTTCAGCAAGAAACATAGATTTATTTCGATCATCACTAGTGGCATCTATAACACACGTGAGCACGATTGGTAGAAGTATTTCTTGACTATGATTAGATCGCTTAAGTTCATTGATGAAAGCAACTCCACTGAAACTTGCATGATCAAAGTCTTCCCATAACTGCGTCTGAATTGTGCGCACTTGTTCAACAAAAGTTGTTTGTTCACTTTTCTCTAAATTGATCTCAAGTGTAACAACGGACGTAAAATCACCAATAATATTGTCAATATCTGGATGCATAGGTATTCTGTTGAAAATAGGTAAATTCAAAGAAAAATGATTTTGTTGGCTCCATCTTGCCAGTATTATTGCATACACAGCTGCTAAGACGCCGGTTGGAGACAGTTTGAGCCCAATCGTTCGTTCTCTGATCATATTCCAGCTGTGTACGTCTATAAATTTCGAAAGGCGGGCAAACTTTTGATTCTCTATTTGACTCGGTAACGTTTTCATTGGCATATTTGGTCCAGAAGGAAATGTCTTCAAGCGATTCAACCAATATTTTTTATCATTTTCGTATCTGGACGATTTGCGAAGTTCCTGTTCTGCCAAAATATAGTCACGAAAAGAAAATCTTAGCGTCGGTAAAATAGTATTATTATTTAGATAAAGTAGACATAATTCATACCACATCAAATGATAACCTGTCCAGTCCATTAGAAGAGCGTCAAAGCCGACATGTAGGCGCAGATGTTGGTAATCCCAAAGCGTAATTTGAAAATTAAACAATGGCCATTTTTCAGCAGGCAAGACTTGATGGGAAAGACGATTTCTCTCTATTTCAAGCTGGTTATATACATATTCTTCTGATTGATCCCTGAGATCTACAATATGAATTCTATAATATGGCACATGTTCAAGGATCTGTTGTTCACTTTCCGATGGAAAGATGAGTCGTAGTGCTTCGTGTCGTTGGATAATTTGATTCAGCGCTGTTTCAAATCTCTCTATATTTAGTGTTGGGCAATCATATTCTTCATAGCCATAACAAGACACATGGCCAAGTTCAAAAACTCCAATACGTCCAATCAAGTAGGCTTGCTGGATATTGGTCAATGGGAAAGGATTGTAACGGCTATTTACATCGCATGTTACCAGCGTCTCTGGTGCGGACAATGTGCTTCCTATAATAAAACATACTCAAAAAGATTTAATTTCTATGAGTGTATAGGTTTTATACCGGAATTTCTATGTGATTTAAATGAAGAATTAAAGTCATTACATTGTTTTTTAGTTGCTTGTTCAATAAGACCAGCATGATTAGCCAGAGTTGGATGCTGAAAAAACTGAGCGATTCCGAGAATGTGCGAATCAAATTCGAATGATCTCTTATAATGTTGATATAGTTTCATTAGCAGTAATGAATGACCACCAATACTGAATATGTTCTCGTACCTTGAGATTCGAGAACAATTTAGAAGTTCACACCATAGCTTATGGATAAGTATTTCGAGTTCCCCGATTGGTTCTTGATGCTGTTCTGCTGGATCAGTTGAACATACTGATAAGTTTGGTGTAGGAAATTGTGAACGATCTATTTTTCCATTCGCATTCAATGGGAATCGGTCGAGAAGAATGAATTCCGAAGGAATCATAAACGATGGAAGATTAGAACGACAATGGCCACGTAATTTCTCTTTTTTGAGACTACTACCTTCAACATACGCCACTAGATTGTGATTACCGTACTTGATAACCACGCAACCTCGTACTTGACCTGGTGCTTTGATCACACATTGTTCGATCTCAGCCACTTCTATGCGCTGACCGTGTAATTTAATTTGGTAATCTATTCGTCCAACATAATATAGAAGACTATTCTTGCTTAGCCGCACAAGATCCCCTGTACGATAAAAAAGTTGCCCATCTATGTTAACTAGCGCTTTTGATGTTAAGTCTTCTCGTCCAAGGTAACCGGCAAAGACACTGCAACCACCAACAAGCAATTCACCTTCTTGGTCAACAATAACATTCTGTAAATACTGATCAACAAGAAAACATTCACAGTGTGGAAGTGGTTGTCCGATTGGAACAGTTTGCCCATCGCTTTCGATCTCTATGTAATGGCATGTACAATCTACTGTTGTCTCAGCTGGTCCGTATGAGTTGTATACGTGAGTATTTTTATCAAATAGAGGTCGTAATTTACGAATTAATGATGTATAAACAATTTCTCCTTACAAAAAAAAGAAATATAAAACACAATAATCTTTCAATACAACTCTTACCACCGATGTCAATTGTGCGAATGGTGGGCAATACCAGGTTATCGTGATATTGACAATTATCTATAAGAAAGTTTATGAATGCTGGTACCATTTGGATGTACGTAACTTGTTTTTGTCTTAGTTCACTAATAAGATATTCTAGATCTTTGGTCCCATGAGGATGCAGCATAATGATAGTCGCACCAATGATCAAAGTTCCAATGATTTCTTGTGTATGAACATCAAATGAGCATTGAGCCATTTGCGTTATTATATCTTCTTCACTGAATAGACCAATACTAACAAGAGAATCGATGCAGCTAATGAAATTCTGATGTCTTATTCGGACCTAAAAAGGATAAATAGCAGAATGTTATCTTAAGACGGCAAAGCTTTAACTAACTGCTTTTGGTGTACCAGTTGAACCACTTGTGAAGATAGCATAAGCTATACTTTCGCCTGTAATCATATTAGCTGAGAGTCTATCCAGATTGATGCCACCAGACAAATCATAGGTATTATCAAACGACTCGATCTGTATTTTGGTATCCAACAGATTCATTTTATCTAGTGTTGTGGCATGGAAAAGTGCAAGATGAGGTTGCGTTTTTTCAATGATTTTTTGGAGACGCTCCTGTGGATCATCAGGAGATAATGAACAATAGATTGCTCCACACATCTCGATTGCCATAATACCAATAACCTAATTATGAAAAGTGTACGTTGTATATGAAAAAATTCTCCTCATTTGAATTAACTTACCATTGATATACTGCGTTCCATACACTGGCAAATAATGTAACCTGGCTTGATATTGTACTTCTCAAGAAGACGAAGAGCAAGATACTGTGCGTGATAAAGTAGTTCGCCATATGTGAGAGATTGATTATCGAGTTCAACTGCCATCTTTTGTGGATGCATTGAAGCCCTTTGATTGAATCGTTCGACAATGTTGTTGCTGAGAAGTTGTTTTGTATTGTGGCTACTACAATTCAAAGCTTCGATGGCTTTCAAATCTTCAGGTAGCATGATAGATAGTTGATAGAGCGATTTTGACGGAGATGACAACAATTCTGACCCAAACAATTGATTGGTAACTGATGAAAACCGACGAGCCAATATTTCAACGGTAGATTGGTTGAAGAGATCACTTGCACAGATGAGCGAAAATGAAATTATATTGCGTGATGCCGATGGATTGTAAAAGCCCATTAACATGAAATCGAACTTGGTTGCTTCATATTCTTCAGATAATGAAACATGCTTGGCTTCAGTTCCATCAAAATTCAACTTGTCATCGTCCGAAGTCACAGTTAAAAGGTCGTATGCAGTCTCTAGGAAACTGTTTGACAATTGTTGTTTTTGCGAGTCAGCCAAAATGTGCTGAAGTGGATAATGTGAATGCTCAAGAACTGATAGACACTGGTCTCGCACTTTTTCTGCGAGTTGTTGGAAAGAATCGGTAGCATTGAACGGAATGCGATAGGGTAATGTGGAGACAAACATGCCAATCATCTTGCTCAATTCTTGCTTGTATCGATTAGCATGTAGACAAGTGACACACAGTTCGGTTTGTTCACTGATGAGTTTGAATAGAAAAGCAGTGAATATGGCAAGACCAAGTTGAAACAATGTCATCTGATGAGATGAACAATATGCAAGAAGGCGTTGCGAAAGCTCATTATCAAATGAAAATTCTGCAATAGAGCCTAATCCCAATCGTTCGTCAGTCGATAGACGGTGCCTATCAGCTGGTAATGTGATGTGACGATTCCAATCGTAATCATTCATTTGGGACCGCCAAAATTGCTGCGATGAACTCGTATCAAGTGTTCGTTCGTGCACTGAATAGTCTAAGTACTGAAATGCATTCACATTGGTGTAAACTGATGTATTGCAGTTGTAGATCTCACAAAGGTCATCAAAGAAGAATGACAAGGAGGTTCGATCAACTGCAGCATGATGAAAAGCAAACAGGAATGCATCCCCGGGACTCATAAATCTAGCAATCGAGTTGCTACTATTTTCTGATGATTGATTTCGAAGAAGTTCACAATAAAATACACGACCACTAGCTAAATCGAAAAGATTAGAATCAGTACTTGATCGCCGAATAATTGAGTGAAGTTCTTCGTCATTTAAGAAGGTCTTTGGATTTTCGATATTCAATAGCACTTGTGTAAAGTTTGTGCGCTGTACAAGCTCACTATTACTACTGTTGAAAAATAAGGAAGTGTCTAATATTTTATGTTTGATCAGCAATGATTGGATAGATTCTTGAAGGCGTACCAGTGATAGTTCACCTGACACAACATACCATACGGATACAATATTATAAACGGCGACACGGTTTGTGAAGCGTTTACATTCATCAAGGAAGATTCGCTCTTGCGCAAATGAAGCAATACCTTAATGACAGTCAATAATTATGCTGATGTAGCAAATTCAAAATAGATATTACCTTCATTGATATTTAATGGAAACCATGTTGTTGAGTCGGAACAATTAACTTTGATGTTTTCAAGTATCTTTGCATGTTCAACAATAGTTGCTTGTCTGAGAAATGGTGTGATACCAATTGTTTGACTATCGAATCCAAAAGCAGATTGATATCGGTAGTAGAGCTCTGTTAGAAGTAGAGAGTGACCTCCAACAGTAAAAAAGTTAGCTGTAATACGAATATGAACGATATTAGTTTTTATTACTTGGCACCACAAAGCATGGACTTTTTCCTCTACATGATTGCGTGGTGCATCCATCGAGACTTCGCAGGATAGAGTTGTTGACGAAAAATCAGGCGAAGGAAGTTGCTTGCGATCTATTTTCCCATTAACAGTCAATGGGAACTGATCAAGTATAATGATGATCGATGGAACCATATAAGGTGGAAGGTGAAAATGGCAATGTTGACGGAGTTGTTCTTCTCCGATACTCTGACTTTGGACATAGGCCACAAGATAGTTATCCCTCCATTTCACAACAATGCAAGCTGTCACTTGTGAAGATACGCCAAGTAAGCATCGTTCGATTTCGCCAAGCTCAATGCGTTGCCCTTTTAGCTTGATTTGATGATCTTTTCGGCCTATATAGTAAAGGAGTCCATTTGTATCAATTCGAACAAGATCTCCCGAGTAATAATAAGAACTAAAAAGAGCTTGATTGTTCAGTTCATCGTGACGATAGTAGCCCAAAAATCGTTGAATGCCCGCAATAAACAATTCCCCTTCAGCCCCAGGTATTACTGGTTGGTGGAATTCATCTAATACTTGAATTATTGTATTGGGAAAAGGTGTTCCAATCGGAATCCGCTTTTCTTCAATATTATTCATTGTTATTCGATGATAAAACGTAGCTATCGTGCACTCGGCAGGTCCGTACGAATTTTCAATACGAATTTTCTGGAAATTCAGATGAGCAGCCAGCTGTGATAGGGTTTTGGGAAATATCGTCTCACCTAAGGAAAAAATTATTTTCTATAGTGATTACCGATACAATCGAGACTAATAATTAAACTTTGGTAGCTGAGAAAAATCAGTCACAAGTTATGAGATCATTGTGTTTCAAAAAGCAATTATCATTCTGTACTTCAACTATCAATAAAAACTAGCATACTCATACAGCTGAAATAAATTATATTTTTCACCGCGCATGGAGTTCAGACTGACTACCATATATATTACATTTTCAGTAATTCCACTAGATCAGGAGTCTCACTAACTCCTGGCTTCACTTCACCCTTTGTATCTGTGCTCATTCTTGGTCATAGTTCATATATGTTTACTAATTTAACTTATTATAAATATGTTTACTGAAAACTTTAAAAATTTACTTCGACTTCATAAATCCATAGTATGAAATGCGAAACATGATCTAAAGTAAAATATAATCAGAGAAATAGTCTGCGACCATACCGATACAAAAAGGGTAAAAAATAATAATATTGATTAGTTCTTCAGTATCTGGTTGATTAAATTATCTCTAAGCTTAATTGTATTCATAGATCAACTCAATGAACTTAACCACTCTTTCTATTGATTCATTAGATCAATATTATATTTTTCTATGTTTTGAGTGCAGGATATGACGAGCAGTCGCAGATAATGAATAAATATAAATAAATCAGCTAATGAATTGAGATAATCAAAACATCTTTTGCAGTTTGAAATATTATTCTGGTAAAATTTGACTAGCGAGGGACAATTTCATACAAAGAATAGAGAATATAATTCTTATAGAACTAATCGAAAAAGTATGCTTTGTCCAATGCAATTAATATTATTATCATACTTTTCATATTTTTCAATTTCTCTCCTTACTATGAACGTTGTCTCAAGGAGACTTTCAATTGTTGCTTTGTAATTATGCTTTGACATACGAGTATTTTAAAACAAGGAAATCATTTGTGCAGTCATTAGGATAAATTTTTCATAGGTTTTGGTAGACTTAAACCGATGTAGAAATGAATGCTCTGGTATCTTTATATTAGACTTCAGCAATAAAATAAACATGAGGAATTCTGCAGACCTAAAAAGTAGGTCCAATAAGATCAAAGTCTACGACAACTAGATCTAGACTATCATGGACATCAAGGAACATTTAAATTTTTTTTCAGCCGAAACTCTTACTTTCTATAAATTAGCAATAAAATTTGTATTCTTGGAAAACAATCTTCCTAATGCTTCTTTTCTTAAAGAAAAAAGGCTATGATTGTACTTCTCCAGTAAGATATTTATTTATCTTTATCACATGATTATGAGCTTTTGCTCATACTACAAAATAAAAAACTTTATAGAACAAATTAAAATTGATCCATCACAGGAGTTTTTTTAATTAAACAGCTAATTTTTGAGTACATGTTGTTTTTTCACAGTGCTTCAGAGCAAGGGTATATGTCTAAATTTTCTGTCACTGAGTTTTATTCTATTTAAAAACATATGATATTAGCTATTCTTTGCCGCAGAAGGTTTTTGCCTAGTGAGATCAAAGAAAGACAAAACGTAGAAAGTCGAGAAATTTTAAATTGTAATGGCATACTATGTATGTGGATAATAATGAACTCTATTGGTGTTGAAACATATGCACTTTCATACGTATTAATCATGATTATGACTATCAATCGTGGCTGATAGTTGCAAATCATTGAAAACTCTAGTTAACAGTTAAATGAGATGTAACTTTTAAATAGTTTCAATCTAAATGAATTTGATAATAAGAAAAGGTTTCTCTCGAAAACATACCACCAATAGCAATCCATTGAAGCTTCGCGAGGCGGGAGAAGTTATCTGAAATCATTAAATGTTCGCATAGAGTTGACAAGAGTGATGGGACAATCATAATATGAGTAACATCGTGTCTCTCGATTGTTGTGGTAAGGTAATCGAGGTCTAATTGGCCTTCTTCATGAATTAGAACAACCGAGCCACCGAGTATCAGAGTACCTAAACTTTGTGCGACATGTATATCAAATGAGCATCGCGCAGTTTGAATGACTACTTCACTACCATGAAAGTTGTCAATATGTGCGAAGGATACCATGCATGCCGCAAAATTTCGATGAGTAATTTGCAACTTAATAAGAGGAAATAAAAGATAAAATTTAAGATCTAGCGATTACTGAGGAGTAAATTATTACCATTTTAGGTGTGCCAGTGGAACCACTAGTGAAGAGAAGACTAAACAAAAAAGATATAAATAATAAATATTGCTCTCTACAATAGATTTATATAAATCATCTGGTTTTTTTTACAATGGCAAAAAAGTATCCCGACATTCAGAGTTAACATATACTGTGAAATACTTTTTTCATATGGTATCGATATTTTTACAGTAGTTTCAAACTTGAAACTTGAAAACTCAACTGAGTATCAACTTAGGACATGTTAGAGATATTTGAGGTATTAGATATGGTGGGTATATAGGCAAGACTTTGTTTCTCCACCGTTCAATACATCCACAATTGGAGAGATGGACTTTGATCGTCTTTCACAGCACTCATATACCAATGTCGAGTATATCTCTACACATCTGGTATATTCTTGATCTCCGCTGTTAATACTTTTCAAGTAACGGCGAACAGTTATATGAAATATAATGTGTTTGAAAGTTAAAGATTCAGTGAAATCCAACTGTTAATTATGACACATATGGTATGTTCCTAATACGTTATGTCTCTATATCATATAAAATGTTTGGGATCGTTGCACACGCGTGATCGTCAGAGTCGTTAGTGCTACACTCTAAATTAAAATGTGTCGCATATACGTGTTGCGAGTAATAGTGTCGCAGGTTCAGTGTCGACAATATGTCACAGCAGATAGTGTCGCTAAAACCTTTGTCTCATTCTGTGTGTCGACTATCGATTTACCCTTTTCTTTTGCGTAAAAGATCATATATAGAGAACCCAATTGAACATTCGAAAGTATTGTATTTTCATTTAAATATGTTTTAGATAACTTCTTGATTAATAATTAGTCGAGAAAATGCCTATCTTGGTCATTGATCCTGGTGGGACTACCCGAAAATGGTCTAGTAAAAACCGGAACGACTCGAGACTGGACAGATCTTAAGATCTGGCCTGTTGAATTTTTCAGAAATAAAACTGTGCAATAGACACTAAAACCGTAAAAATTAGCATGATCTTTTTGATACAAATTTAAAAAGGTTTTGGCTAGTGGGTTCAAAAAAGTGTTTTCAGAATGTCTCGCATGTGTCGTACAAAATGTGTTATGCCATCGCTGGAGCTAATATGTCGCAACGAGCACCTGATGTCGCACTCGAATGTGTCGTACATTGTGTCGCAAATCACGACACATGCGACACATTTAAACTTAGTGTATGTCAAAGACTGCTTTACGGTCAGCTTTCTACCATGGCTGATCTTTGATTTTATTATGATAGGGAATTATTTAGTGAGGACGAATGATGATTTAATTCGATTATGAAATTTATTTTTGAAGTCAAGAGAATTTGTGCAAGCTCAGTTTAATACGTGTTCAGCCCATCCTACCGATTGCCTAAATCAGCAGTAGTATTATTTTGAGAAGTGCTTCAGAAAAAAAATAAGAATATAACATTAAATTGTTCACGTTAAACTCGTGAGTTAACTATTAAGACAAAATGTGAAATTTTAATGAAATAAATAACAAATCTTGAAATCTAATTGCTTACACTCTGCAGGCATCAGCAAGAAACCAATGCTAAGTATTAGAAATCGTGCTGCAAGCAACAGAGCATTACTGTAGAGTGATTTTAACAAGGAGAAAACTGATTTCTTGATTTCTAGTGATTTCCATCACAGGAAATCAGTTTTATATGTAAAAGTCGCATTGTCGAAAGTCGTTGAAAATGTTTATTAATGAATCAAATCGATGAGAAATCGATGGAATTTAAGGATAGCCATCAAATTTGGGGATCCTCATTGATAATAAGAAACTCAGAAAAATCGCCAGAAATCACTATAAATCAGTATGTTCATTTTAACTGTATAATTGGAGAGTTTTTTATATGAAATGATTTCTAGTGATTTTCAGTGATTTCTAATGGCTTCTCATGTTTTTCTAACGGTCAAAATCGATTTTCTGCCGTTATTTTCGTCCGACCACTGTTTAATGAATTTAAGTGATTTTTGGGACAAAAAAATCATTTTTTCCCCTTGGACTTTATTCCATTTTTTCTATCTAAAAAATGCTTAATGATATGAGCTACTGCTTGGCAGAGAACTGAAAAATGAATCTACACTATTGCAATCCTAAATTTGACAATCCAAATGATAGAACTGATTATCATAGCTGAGATCGATGATCTTGAAGAAAAGCGAAACCCTAAAAAAATCATGAACGGATAGTATTATATTATTTTCAAATAAAACAATAAGCCATGGAATGCACTATGACTTCTAATCAAAGGGTAATAGAATGATTAACTCACCAGACGCGATCATCAAGAGAACTGTCACATTTTTTGACCTCTTCCAGTAAACTATTCATATTGAGATCAATCATGCTACGAATTTCGGTGGTGATATCAAGTAGAAATTCATTAAATTCTTCACTGAAACTACTTCTAGTTGATGTTTGCACAAGAACCAGTTCACTTCCCGTGTCCTTGACAAGTGTTGCCAGGCGTAGCGATGAATTGTCTGATGACAAAGGGCAGTAAGCAGCTCCACAAAAAATAATCGCTAATTGGCCTATGATCATCTCTATACTTCGTTGTACACATTGACAAATGATTTGGGATTGTCGATCTTCGAAACGTTTTGAAAGTCGATGAGCATAGTATAATAGTTCACTGTAAGTGAGACTCTGTTCATCGAAAATAACAGCCACTTTCTGCGGTTGCTCATCGGCCCGAGTAGCAAATTGATGATGAATGCACATGAACGGAGAGAATGATACTTGCGTGTTATTTATTGATTTGATGAGAAATGTCTCGTCAGGCAGTATTAGCGATAATTCGCAGATTGGTCCAGGTTCTTTTATTAGAAGCATTTGTTTGAGTAAAAGGAAGAATCGGGACGAGATTTTGTCAATTGTAGACATCTCGAACAAATCGACAGATGAATGAATAATTAGTGACATTTGATCAGTAACTGGACAGTGTCGGACGTTCAGAAAAAAGTCATACTTACAAACAACTTCATGCGGGCTGATGTTAACTGAAAATGGTACAGTACACATATTTGCATCACCCAGTAGCTCTTGACTATTTTGACCATAAGCGTTAGTAGGAGAATTCGATTGAAACTCGAACGCTGTATCAAGAAAAGCTGGTTTCGACGAAAATGGATGTTGAGCAAGAATACGCTGTAATGGGAAATAGGCGTGTTTAAGAGTATCTTCTAACATTGCATTCACAGTGTAAATAAGTTGAGTGATTTGAGAAAGGGGATTAATTTTACATCGTACAGGAATCGCATTAACAAACATTCCAATTATTTGAAACAATGCTAATTTGTATCGAGCTTCAATATTCATTGCTACACACAAATCTGATACACCATTGGTTAATTTGAATAGAAATATATAGAAGCTGGTGAGAGCCAATCTTTCTAGTGTGGTATCTATTGCAGATGCGTAGGTAAGAAACGATTGTGATAGCTCTTCTCCGAAATCAATCGAGATCAATCGACCACGCCCGGTATGGAATTCTTCAGCTGTGCGCTGTCGATCAAATGGTAACGGTAAGAGTTGATCGATTTCACAATCTCGGAGAGCATCTAACCAGAACTTACTAGCCATAGTCATAGAATCTTCTCGTTCAATATGAGAATCTGAAACATTCATCGAGAAATATTGTTAGTTTAATCCTAACTATGAGACAAAAAACTTACAGTCTATATAGCGTAGAGATATTTCATTATGACTTGGCAACCGTCTTGTGATATACGCTTCACTGAGATCAGAAAGGAACACCTTCAAAGATGGAAAGTCAAATAAAGAATGATGAATCGTAAAAACCAAAAGATCCCCTCCTTGAAGACAATCTTCGTTAAAATTTTCTTTATGACGAGCGATACGACATCGGCACACGCGACCGATGGAAACATTAAAGTGTTTAGGATTACCACGTTCGTCATGCATTATACTATTCAATTCTTCCTCCGAAGTATATTGGCTTTCAACAAATTCAAATAGCTGATTGTTTGGATTCGTAGCATCAACAATTTTCTGCATCAATATATTATCATTGGAATCAAAGAAGATGGCTGTACGCAGTGATTCATGTTTCAAAATTATAATTTGCAATGCTTTCCGCAATTGTTTTATTTGAATGCTACTCCCAGGAGCAATTCGATACGGAAATGACATGTTATAAATGGCAACTTCTGGGTTTTCCGGATTGAAGCGTATACGTTCGTCAAGCCAGATGCGAGCTTGCGCAGAAGAAGCCGGAGCTAAAAGATACAGATAGTGATTTTTGAAGAATGTACTTTTTGAATGCGAATGCTTCTATAACTTATGTGCAATCAATAAAAAAAACAGAAACGCCTCGATCTTCTCCTAGGGAAAGTTAGGCTTCTTTCCATCAGAAAGCATAAATTCATGAACAATTTTTATAGAGCTACCTAAAACCAAGTCAGAGCCAGGCAGTACTTCTTACGAAATAGGTTTGACCCCTACAAATAGCATGGGATCATATTTTAGCTCGAATAGCTAAATTTGGTATTGTTAGTGTCGGTATGGATAGTAGGAATGAATCAATTAAGGCTTAACATTAACTTTAAGTGAGAAAACTTAATTCAAATTATGGACCTAGTAAAAATGATATGTACTACACAAACCATCGTTAATCAAAACTTGTTTTCTTCAGCACTAAACGGCCTTAGATAACAAACAAAAGAAGAACGTACTTGCACAGCTATGCCTTCTAATACTGGAGTAAGATCATTCAATAAAACAAATTTTCAGCGACCAGTAGAATCTCACCAATATATATTCAAATTCACATGAGAAATGCTGAGAAAATTTGATAGAATTTAACAAAGCGTGATGATCAGGAGTAGTACCACGATCATATCAAAATTATCAAGATTGAAAGAAATTGTTATGCACTTTTTCAGTGTTTAAAAACGTGTAGCGTCTGAAATAGATTATACTTCAAGAAATTGTATTGCTTGAAGCCTCCTGGTCTCGCTTGATATCATGACGCGATTATCTTACAGTAGATCGCGATATATTACACCAAGTACTGTTCTATTCACACGGTCGTTAATAGGTATGCCGCAATGTTCGTTTAAAATGATGTAGCGGGCTGACAACAGTTTAGGGTGGTATGATTTAAAAACTTGTCGATGAGTTGTTCTTAAAAATGATGTCAGACTATCCTATTCTTATATTAATGTTTTTTTTTTGGACGAAAACCCGAAATTACGAGTAAGAATTGAACTGTACCATTTTAATGAGCGACACTTCGAAAGTTATCTTCTATTCATTCTATTTCTCGTCGATTCCTACTGAACTGTTTTTTCAAACGAAAAAGTCAAGAGAATGACCAAGAAGCATACCTCTATCAACAATATTTGATATCCGATGAAATTTCATTTGTTGTACTTCCTCAGGAAGAGTGATGGGCAGCTCTGCAATAGATTTCCACGATGGAGCGTATTGTAAATTCAATTTCTTATCGATGCCGTTGAATGTCTTCGGGGTTGTACGTTCTACTGTTTTCTCTCGAGCACATTTTCCATGTAAGTTTAATTCCAAAATAGATCGTTTCACAAAATGAAGGCTATGGTTTTGATCGATTCTTACCATGTCACCCGTTTTATAAAATATAGCATCATTGACTTGAAATTTCAGTTCATTCATCAAATTTTCACGTTCAAAATAACCAGCAAACAATCCAGGACTATTAATGCACAGTTCGCCGATTTCACCAGGACAAACTAAGTGCTGTTTCTTATCGATAATAACATAGTCTATATTGGGGCATGGTTGCCCAATAGATAAGGAATCGATTTTGTTCGAAGAAAAAAGTTCATCATTACTGACATGGTAAGTAGTAATTAATGGACATTCAGCAGATCCATAAATGTTATATAGCTTACAATCAGAATGCAGATGACGAATAATTTCTGCTGCCTTGACTTCCATTATATCACCTAAAAACAAACAAACGCATGTTTGATACAAATCAAATCTATCTTGAGGGTGCGGGTGCACTGTAAAAAAAAATAAGTGTTCTACCGAACTTTGGAGGTTTGGTACTATTTTACGAAACGATTTTAAGTTCCTTGGCATGAAAATAGTTTCGGAACTTCCATAAAGAACCTTTTTAAGTTCCGAAAGTTGTAAAGGGTTTTGAAGTTTCACTACGAAACCATCTAGAAGTTTCGTTGAGTGTGAACCAAACTTTTGCTAGTTTCGTATTCTTCATACAAAACCATTGGGAGTTCTGAACAGCATTTAAAAGTTCCGCATAGGTTCTTCGAAACCATTCAGGGTTGCGAAAGTACAATAAAGGTTCTGGACACATTCTACAAAACTATTTCCGGCTCCGTCAAAGAAATACTGAACCTTTGTGTCACTTATGAAACAGTGAATAGTTTCGTACGATCTACGCTGAACTGTTTTATGTTTTACGAAACTAATGAGAGTTTCGTTTAACAAGGAAAGGTTTCGTGTATCTTATACGAATCAATGGAAAGTTTCGCGAAGCATCCAAAGGTTCGGCATGCATCACACGAAACCATTTATACTTTCGTAAATGATATAATAGTTCAGTATATCTTTTGCAAAACCATGGGTAGTTTCGTGAAACATGTCCGGAACGATTAGAGCTTTTAAACAACTGAGAATGGTTTCGTAGAGTCTCTCCGGAACTTTTAGATACTATATGAAACTGGCAAAAGTTTCGTAGTATGTCTGCTGAACCTTCAGACAACTGAACGAAACCGTTAATGGTTCCGCAAAAGATATCCAAAACCAATTGATGCCTTTCGAAGTAAGTAATAGTTTCGTAACGTGAATGCGATACTTTTGCAACCCTTATAGAGGCATGCATGGTTTCGTAACAGATATACGGAGCCATCAATCGTGTTACATAATTCACATAAATCATATATCTGGCTTTGGAAACTATCTGTAGTTTTGAAGTATGTATACCAAACCTCAAAATAAGTAGTGAAACACCTATTGCTTTCGTACACTGTATACGACACCATGAAATAGTTCGGGGAACCATCAATAGATCCGTACAAAGTATAGGGAACCAGTTATGGCTTTAGCCAAGATACTGAACCTTTTAACGTTTCATTCGCTCATTAATTAACCATCCAGGGTTCATGCTAGTTTACAGACCCATCTCAGATCCTCAACAGTTGCGGATATTTGAAAAGGATCCGTCCTGCATCAATTTTTTAAATGCTGAACCATTTTTCGAAACATGGTCTGGCTTGAAGCCAGATTCTATATTTTCGCAATGTGATTTAAGTCATATAAAACATTACTAGGCTATCGATGTCGAGGATTCTAAATCTGTTAACATTTTTTCAATCTGAGCTCCCATTGGTCAGATATTGGGTCTATTAAAAAATTAAGGATTGTGAAATTAGACATTTCATTTCAACTCGGATCTCAATTCTGATTGAAGTTCGAAATAGGTTATCAATGTCAAGGAATCCGAATCCGTCATTAATTTATCCATCCGAGCGCCCATTGGTCAGATATTGGGTCCATTGAAAATTCGAAGACGACAAAGTTAGACTTTTTATTTCAACTTCGATCTGAATTCTGATTGAAGTTTCAAATAGGTTATCGATGTCGAGGAATCCGAATCCGTCATTACGTTTTCCAACCGAGCTCCCATTGGTCAGATATTGGGTCCATCAAAAAATCGAGTGCTGTAAAATTAGACATTTCATTTCAACTCCGATCTTAATTTTGATCGAAGTTTAGACTAGGTTATTGTGGTCGAGGAATCGGGATCCTTCATCGTTTTATCGATCACATGGATGCGATAGCTGAATGGTAGAGCCGGTTAGTGGTATCTCCAAAATCGATTGATTAATTATGGATATCTTTTCAAGTATGATCGTTCTTTTATCTTCTACGATACGTCACATGTAATTATGAATACGCAGGTAATGTCTCTCTGGTCAATTGAATTGCAAATTTAATATGATATAAGGAATTGGTGTTTTTTTAAATATTTTAGGTATATGGGAATAATTCATTTAATCGTAAGTTGAATCTTACAATATAAGTTGCTGTTCTTTTTTCTTATTTAGGATTGTCTCAAAAACAACTAACTGGGATGCCACTTTCGTGCGAATAGCGGAGAAAATTCTAGCTCGTATTCTACTCCCAGCAAATCTAGGTAAATATAACACATAGTGATAAGATTTAGCAACTATTCTATTCGTTTAATGCTTATTTTTAACCGGACACGGATGAATATTCAATGGAAGCTTAAATGTAAGTTTTCTTCTTTAAATATAGTCTTATTTCCGTTCATGATCGATTCCTTTTTTCGATTTAGAAGTTAATCTATTTTGTTTTACAAATGATTGTTTTTCTGTTTCAGACTTGGTTGAGATGCTACTTTTCATGTTAGTTTATTGGTCAAAATAACTGGTTATTTGTTTCCTGTGGACGAGTTCGCAATCTTGATATGGAAGTAAGTTTATGCTTTTTGTCGGGTTTTTTTTTTAGGAAGACTTATTCACGGGTTTGAGGTAAACAATATTTTCTCTTTCTTGTCTAAAGAGGGAGCCCTTGGAAGTGATGCATGGTTTTTCGAGTTGAACTACCGTACATATGGTCGATTTCAGTGAGATAAGGGCAGCCTCTGAAGGATGCCTTTCATTAGTTCTTCCTTCGAAAGTCATCCTTATGTTATCAAAATTTCAGTGAAATGCCGAGGAAACCTTTGTAGCTGTCGAATTGGTTTTGAGTTTGAGCCCAGTTTGTCAGATAGATCTTAGTGAAATATAAAAAGCTCGAAATGAACGATGGCTAATAAGTCTTCTGTAGAAAGTTGCAGATATTTTCTTGAATTTTAAGCTAGTGTTGCAGATATCAGGGAATTGAATGAGACTATTTCTATTTAAGGTTTAATGAAGAGAAGAATTGATTTATTAGGGAAATGTCCCAAAAGGTTTATTTTACAAGAATGCACATTTCCTAGGGATAGTAAAGTTCATGGAAAATACCACATTTCATTATCCTTTTTTTAGAGACTAGTGGTATTGTTGAGCTTTGAAAACTCTGGAAAAGATGTGTGCTTTTGAGGAAAACCTTTAGAGCATTTCCCTGATAAGTGAATTACTCTCTTCACGAAATCTCAAATAGAAATAGCCTCATTCAATTCACTGATATCAGCCACACTATAGGTTAAAATTCAAGAAAATGTCTGCAACTTTCTATAGAATACTTATGAATCATCGTTCATTTCGAGCTTTTTATATTTCACTAAGATCTATCTGACAAACTGGGCTCAAACTCAAAACCAATTCGACAGCTACAAAGGTTTCCTCGGCATTTCACTGAAATTTTGATAACATAATGATAACTTTCGAATGAAGAACTAACAAAAGGCATCCTTCAGGGTTTTCCATATCTCACTGAAATCGACCATATGTACGGCAGCTCAACTCAAAAACCATGCATCACTTCCAAGGGGTTCCTCATCAGATGAGTATGATTCGGAAAGTTTTATACGAAACCATGTGTACGAAACCTTTTTAGCAGAATTTCACAGAGGTTTCGTACGGAACCATGTGTACGAAACCATTTTTTCCATTTACCAAGAAGAAGTTCCATACGGAACCTTTTTTCTACGAAACCTAAAAAGGATCTGACCGTGTGCCCGCGCTCAGATCCTTTTTTGGTTCCGTGGAATACCTTTTTTTTTACAGTGTGTTGGCTAATAAAGAGTTGTACCCACATCCATACCCGTACGTCTTCGCTCGCTTATAACTATGAATTAACTATATTTTATGTAAGTTTCAGTCGATTAATGAATGAAAAGTAGAAAGCTCTGTTAAACCAAACATGGATGCTCACGGTGGAATGTGGATGACGAGAAACTGCACATAATTTACAAGAAATATATTAGAGCAGCCAGATAGATATGGCAATATATTAATTTTTTTACGAATCAAATGTTAAGTTGATGTTACTCGTGCAGAGAAATATATTGCCCAAACATAAACTGATTTCAGTCATGTCGCGATTCACTACGAAGAATAAGGATAAAAAGGATAAATGCGAACAATTAATATATTTGAGTTCATCATAAGTTAGTCTCTATAGAAAATAAACTAATCGAAGCAATATTTACATACCAACTGAGCATAATCTTCTTATTGATTGTAAAGCTGGTTGATAATTATTCGACGAATCTTGCACATAACCATATAAACTTTTCATAGATAATGGAACAAAGAAAGCAACCGTAACTTGTTGATTTTCAATGCAAGCGCAGATATATTGTGCATCACGATTACCGTTTGAAGGAAGCATAACAAGTGTACCACCAAAATATAAAGCACCAATGATCTCTTCAAAGTGAAAATAAAAAGAGCACGGACTCGCTTGCAAAACAATCGAATTGGCAGTCATCATGTCGACTTGAGATAAAGAATCCAAACAGGAAACAATACTTCGATGAGAACATTCAACCTATAATGAACATTTTTCAAAATGAAAGCTCCGTTTATTACGATATTTTTTATATTGAGCTACAATTAAAAAAAGTTGTGTTTCCTGCATAAATGTTGTATTTTATTCCCTTTTCTGAAACAACGGGTTATACGCAGCTTCAAAAATCTTTAAACGTTTTTGTATGCTTGACAATACAATCGGATTTCAGTATGCGGTAAACCAATAAAAATTCATATTTGTCAAACTTGAAACTTGAATTCAATTGAAATTTGAAATTTTGCAATTTTCAAACTTTTAAACCAGCAGCATTGGTGGCTCACACATATATTGCTATTAGTTGAAAGCTGAAAGTTGAAAATTTCGATTTTCAATTGAATTCAAGTTTCACATTTGACGCTAGCGTCAAGTTGGAGATTGCAATCTATAATAAATTAGTATCACTAATTAAAATAATTTAGAGCTATTTACTGAGCTTTAATATGTGTGTCTTCTGACAGAATGAGTTAAGGGCCAAAATATCGATAATAGTTAAATATGTAGATAAGTGTGACACATAGAAATGGTCAGTTTGATGTGCTAAAATGCAATGATCCGTGGCGTTTATTCTACAGAGAAAATCGAAGTGAATTCATCTTTCCGACAATAAGAGGGAGATTTTCGGGTCTGCAGATTAACTAACACAAATAATTTGGTGTCAAGAGTTCAAACTGAATGCAATATTGTGTTCTAAAGATGATTAATATATTAATAAAACAAACCGAGAGCTGGAGCGGCTAGTCGTGAGTAGACCTACGGCAGTTCCATATTAGTTCCGATCTTTGGAACTGTGTCAAAAGTTCTTTGATCGGAACTGATCTATGCCAAACAGTTCCTCGGTAGGAACTGAACTCTGTCCAACAGTTCATCGGCAGGAACTGAACTGCTCGAACGGTTCTTTGATCGGAACTGAACTGTTCGAACAGTTCTTTGATCGGAACTGATCTGTTTAAACAGTTCTTTGATCGGAACTGATCTGTGTCATACAGTTCTTTGATCGGAACTAATCTGTGTCATACAGTTCTTTGGTCGGAACTGAACTGTTCGAACAGTTCTTTGATCGAAACAGATCATCAGATCTGAACTAAAACGGAACTGTCACAACCCTAGTCCGTTAAAAAGTTTTTTTTCAAACAATATGCATATTATTTGGAAACACACTACACCCTAGATTCATGAAAGAATGGAAATTTTCCTTCGATTGTACATTTTGTGAAAGTTACACATACGTATGTATCGATGTTGCGGCGAAATTAAAATTTTCAGGAACTCTAATGTTTCCAGCACAGGGACACAAAGCCCCCATTGCCTAAAAATGACATGTTGTCTTTTAAATATGTAAAGAGCTTGCTCTGTACAATGAGAAAGTTCGTATGTGTGTATAATCGTTCTCGTTGGGTCAAACCTACTTTGTCTTCATGAAACAGGATTCTAAGCATCTTTTGTTACGAGCACAACCCCACTTGTCTTTGAGAAAAATCACCCCACAGCTCGACCTGAACCCTATCGAAAAATTCCCTAAGACACAGTTCCGGAAAAGTAACTGTTCCGTAGGCACAGTTCCTGAAAAGTAGCTGTTCGAGTGGACACAGTTCCGGGCAAGAACTGTTCGGGTGGACACAGTTCCTGAGAAGTAACTGTTCGGGCTGACACAGTTCCCAGCCAAGAACTTTTTGGGTTGACACAGTTCCGGGCAGGAGCTGTTCGGGTGGACACAGTTCCTGAGAAGTAACTATTCGGGCTGACACAGTTCCGGGCCAAGAACTGTTCGGGTAGAGACGGTTCCCGGGTAGGAACTATTCGGAGGATCTGGTTCCTGGGCAGGAACTGTTCTGGGGATCTGGGTTCCCGACAGAGAACTGTGTATTCACTACAGTTCCTGGAAAGGAACTGTGTGTTAGAAACAGTTCTTCGAAAAGATTCGGTTCAAAGAACCGAGAGCTGTCGTAGGTCTAGTCGTGAGTGACAGTCCGTAGGGCCATCCACGAATGACTAGACGTCGATATTGAAGTTTTACCGTAGGTATACTTAAGTGAAGATTCAGAGAAGATATAGAGTGGTTTTCAAAAGAATTCCACCAAGACTTTGCTGATGAACAATTCTACTAAGATATTACTTTGAAGAAGTATCATCAAATAAAAACTCTGACAAATAATTCAATAAGAAGCTTAGATGTAAAAATTTGCTACTCTAAATTCCTGTATTATAAGAAAAATCATTTTTGCAAGAAAGAACACCTAAATTGCCCCGACGATGTATGGAAATTGACCATTAGTAGAGGAAAGATAATTAACTATGGAATGTCTAGCCGTGAGTGGCGATCCATAGGACCACCGACAAACGACTAGACATTGTGGTGCTACATTCTCTTTAAGATAAGGTTGTAATTAATAGGAAAAATGCGAAGTCTGCTAATGCAGCTGATTGCAATAGTATTTCACATCGGTTAACAACTGAAAGACTTTTCTACATACGAATTTCTGGAAATACTGACGTGGAAATAAAACATTTTGATGCTGAATCTGAAAAAGAACGCCATTGAATAAATATGAAAGTGCCAGGAATGTAAGTACAAAAGTATTCCTTCATCATTATATTTGTGCGGAATAGAAAGCTACAAAATCACTTTTTTCTAAACAGGACCCAAGTCCACAGATAAAGATGTTTGGGGCTTAATTCGAAGGTCTTTACTGCTAAACAATCGAGATATAACAAATAAAATGGACGGAAAAATTCATTTTCGTGTATTAATATTTTTTCACTCTCTATCGCTATCTATTTTTCTCTGTATATGCTTATTCGCTGCTATTTTCTAAAAAAAAATGGAAACTATTTTACCAATATTACAGATGCATCTAGTTCTTCTTTCATTTATTCACCTTTAATTTCAGCAAGTGTCATTTTTTTCAATTGAAAACAAAAGTGATATATATATACTAATATGTGAAATGATCAGAAACTCCAATAACCCTTACAGTAAAGATTTATACATTTCTTTTTCCGAAAGCAAGTAATAGTAAGGCAAATCCAGCTCAAATGGCACTTTGGATTTACACGGTACGCGTTAGCACAAATATCTGTTATAATACGGCTGAAAACTGTAAATACCTAAAATGTTTTTGTTTCACATAGCACTTTAGCTTATCAGTAACAGCAAAATATGGGGAAGCATTTAATAGAATTAGAAAAAGCTGGCATCCCGCAAAAACATCCTAATAGCCACTATCTATAAGAGTCGCGAATCGACTAAATCAAATATCTTATTGGCAATCAACTGGATTTTTCTGCTCTTTGTATTGATGAAAAAACATTCTTTCAAACAAGGATCGGGGAATCCGTACAATGAGCGTTACTTGTGATATAAAAACTCATTATTCTATGAAAGATCGACTGATTTGATCCTCGAATTATGATTAGAACTCTGACAGGATAATTCTAGTTTCTATCGAATTATTGCTGGTAAAATTGTTTTCAAAAAAAAAACTGTATGACAGATTATTATAAAAAAACAGAACCATAGTGTTAATTTACGAAAATCAACTGAAAAATAATGAGTGCCAATTGCTACATGCCTAAATCTAGGTTTTGCAATTCAATTAAATCTCTTCTTAGTTGCTAACTGGTGTTATAAAAACATCAGTGACTTTTCAAGATTTCGAAAGTGATCAGCTTGAAATTGTGATTAGAATGGCACTCTAACTTTAGAAAAAACTTCAAATAAAACGATTGTTCTATGAAAAATTTGCTTCCGAAAAACAAAATAATTCTCTGAATAAAAAATCTACTTTTACGTTAGCTCTGAAGTAAAGCTTAAGTTACAACTCCCAGTCATTGCTTATCAGACCAAATAAAAAGATTAAAGGCTAAATCGCTTTTTATTGTCGTTAAGATACAATGAACGACTTTGGAAAAAGGCAGCCATTATCAACGCTGTAAATGACATTCGATCACTGATTTCATAGTCATCTCTATATAGTTTACAGTGAGAATTTTTATTTAATAATATAAATTTACAATCAAAAGAAATATTTTACTCGACTCTTGATGCCAATTTTGTGATATGAATGACATTATACTGTTTTGGAAAATAACTGAAGTCAAACTCAAATTTATATCCATAAGTTTGGAAAGACTATCTTAATAAATAGTTCATAAAAGATAGATTTTCAGTTGAAATATGTTTTGGATTCGAATTTTTTCAGTTTAAACTCAACTTTTGAATTGTTGCTCATGATCTCCAATTGATATATAATTGAAAAACGTATAGATTTGCTTCTTTCTATACAATGTAGCAATGCATTGGCGCTGTCACAGGGATTTATAAATTGAGTTTACCACTTTTATTAGTTGTTATATCAGATTTTTATTTCATAAAAAAAAAACAGGAAAGAATGCTTTCCTAGGAGACTTGGATTCAAATTTTTAACCTGCATCCGAGAATCCTAAATTAATATTTTTCTTCTTTCTCTGTTCTGTATGTTCTTATTTAAGTGCCAAGAGTAACATATTGCAGCGATACTGTTGTTCAAGTTTAGAGGGACAAGATTGAAAAATGTCGATATAATCAAGGTACAGTTGAGTTTAAACTCATGATCTTCACTTCAATTTATCGTGATTTAAAGAGAACTTAGCAGCATTTTGGGGTCATTGAGAATTTTGCCTGAGGTATAGCATTAATTAAGACTCAGAAAAATGTGGCATATTTAAAACCTGATTAGATAATATATTCTATGCAACTTTGAATATGTTGTTGACCAATGCAAATTCTTTACAAAGACTTCTATACAATCTAAAAAAAAGATTCTTCCCGTATGGCTGAGGGAAAAACCCTTTCAGGTTTCGTACTCTTTGCTGAACCCTTTTACATTCGGTATGGAAATTTTGTTTTTAGAGTGTATGCTTGTAGAACTTGTTCCGATAATTTT